CTCTTTTCCTCATATCACATCCAGTGCACACAGGTTCCCCATTTCCGTTGCCTGTCACAACAAGACTGCCTATGCTGCAGTCAGGAAAAAGAGGGCTAGGTAGAAGTTTGACAAAGGCGAGATTTCTACAGGTGTTCTGTCTGTGCTTTAGCTGCGATGATGGCAGGCCTGGCGAACTTAGCGTCCGTACAATTATGTTTGCCCTGGGTGCATAGGCAAAGGCTGTGCGTCTCCCATGGGTTGCCTGCGCTGCTGCATCCGAACTTGTGCTTCTCATCTACAGGAGTCTGGCTTCCTGGTAATAATCATCCAACCACCAATTATGGTTTGGTCAGCTAATGCATTTGCCGGCTACATGGAGTCCAAAGCCGATTAGTGCTAATAGAGTCGAGCATAGGCATCGTGTTATTAGCAGGAGCCACGGCGCTAAAAACGGATTAGACTGCATGCAGGCAGAGGGGCTTTTCAGGTTTGATGAAGCAGCACTTTGTGAAGATGTAAGGTGGTGAGATGGTTCAATGGCTTGTACATTTTCGTTATCAACTTGTGAAATTGATGGGTGCTTATCCAAAGCCAGTACGTGCCATGTAGTCCCCATTGCTACGACGTTCCATGATGTGTCTTCATGCCAGCCTGGCTACCTAGCCATGCTCAAGGCAGGAGTGGATGGAAATCTTCATAAGCGTATTGTCAGCACTGCTAGGGTCACACTCTGAGCTTCTGTGCAAAGCCCGTGTGCTGTTTCTCTTTCACTAGGAACACTTGGTAGTAAATTTACGCCATACTGTGTACAGGAACAGCCAGTGCGTATTATTGTTTAACGGAAGGACGCTCTCTATAAGTGAGAGCTAGGGGTTCGGCGGCAGTAGTGCAAGGTTGCTTCGTAGATTCAGTGTGAAATTATTTTGTGAATATTAGCGCAGAGTCCGTGTGAGTCACATTCTTCGTTAATATGTCGTGGTTTATGGTGGTTTTACACTTCAGTACATTTTCTTGTCCCCGTATTGATCTGTAGTATATGCAAATGGCTTACCTTCTTCCGTGTTGGATTCGAGTTTCGTCAGGAAAAGGATGGCATGTGAATTGCTTCTTGATATTACTTCTAGAGCGTATTGTGGTGCATAGCAGAGCCCCATGACTGGCCGCACGAGGCTTGGAGTTGTCAGCTATATACGGAAACCAGATGCACTCACTATCGTGGCATGCTGACTGCAGTATGTACGCTCATATCCAATATCCAGGAGCCAGTACGTATTCTGGTCTCATCCAGTGGCACTGTCTACTGTGTCGGGACTGTTTCATTGGTTGCTCTATAATTTTTCCGGCAGACGTCACATCTCGAACGCGTACTAATATGTTAATATGATAAAGCTGCTCCAGATGCTTGATGCTAGTCATGAGGTTTGTGGTTGTTACGCCTAGTTCTTCATTGGCTTCCTAGGTAAAACAGGCGCAGTGTCATCAGGCTGCTCAGACACTTCTGAAGCACCTACTGCATGTTCACCTGTGATATCCGTCCTCAATATGCTCTGCTGTTTACCAGTGTGTGCATTTAAGGACGCTGTTATTTTACTGTCGCCACAGCATGAGCCAAACGATGTTTCCGATAGTGTGATCTATGCAGAAAGCAAATGTACATAAGTGGCACAAACATCCATGCTCATCGCCTTATGATGATAGAGGCACAACCCCTATCGTTCCTTTGTTTGCTCCCAGGCCGTCGTGGAGCCAACCACGAAACCACCAGCTTTGCAAGATCCTGCAATGCTTCGCTGGATGCACGTATGGCTTCCCCTTCTACTCCTGATCGCCATACTCTTCCATTATCACAAGCCTTTACATCGTTATCGCCAACCCGATCAACGAGACGCAAGAAAACAGTCTTGCTGCAACTGGAACACTGCCGTTCCTTCGCTACTGCCAGTGGATCCGTCTGGGATATACCTTTCAAAGCAGATTGGAGAAGCACTAACACATTCTGCTTTTCTTGTTGCTCCCGTGTATTTTCCAAACAACTAAAAAAACAAAAGCCTCAATAGAGGGTGGGTGCATTTTCAAAGTCATCGTGTGTTCCTTTGGCTATACTAGTGGGTTTTCTCCTACTGGAAAGCGTGAATTGTGGTCAAACGTGTTTTTCGCTGGCTAATCGGTATCCACCATCTGCCGATTGTGGAACATGGCTTCTGAAGAATTCATTAAGCACCCTCCCGTGGCCTGAAGTTTGTTTTTTTTTGAACGTGTGGCCTTAAGCAATTTATTTAGCAGCTGGTTGCCTCAGACAAGGCAAGCCCCTTGGAGATCCATAGCTTCCGGAGGCTGTTCGGCTTGATGCGAAGTCATACGAAAAATGTTCCGTAGTTTAGAGCAGAGTTAGGGTGACGCTAAGGCCCACATTGCAAGGCATAAATTGTAGGCAATACGCTTGCCGCCATTATCTTGCCAGTGCTGGTCTAGCCCATAGGTATGATATGTTCTTTTGATGCGCAAGGCTGGCCACTCTATGCGATAACATAAAACGTTCCTACACAGGAAAACTCAGACAGTTTGATAACCCATAGATCCCCCTATTAGCCCCTACCAGGAATTGTGAGGATGCAAACCAAAGTAACCATGTACACTGAATAGTACTTTGTTGTTTTGTGGAAAGACTAAATGCGCAACGATCAGGCTCACCAGGTTATCTTGCCATTTTCACGGTGTGGCACACGAGGTGTGTCTCATTGTGCGACAAGGGAGAAGCTCTTTAGTCGTGCTGCCGTGCAAGCCGTAAAAGTGATACGGAATGCACAAGAGGCATCAAAGAATTGCATTGAACAAGCCAATTTGTACTACCTCCCAAGAACAGATTTCCCGACAGCCCAGTGCAGGTTAGCTAGACACCACCGGTGGGGTATAACTGTTGTTTTGTTTTCTAGTAAAAAGTCGAGATACAATGCACTTTGAAATGCCTTTTCAAAGAATTACCTTATCTTCTGCCGGAATGGTTCATGCAAAGGCTTACGCTCCGCTTTTCACAATGGAACAAAATCTCAAAGAGAGCAACTGCCTCCAAGAGCGCCGACTTCGCGGTTCGATAGACGAGGACAACTATCGTTTAATATATTTTCAGGGCCTTACGCCTTAAGGTGAAAAATGCCCATCTTACGTACACGCGTGTACCTGATTCGACTTGGGAAGATTACGCGGAAGATCACTGGATACAAGAAACAAGGTAGATAAATTTCCTTGTAATGCAATCATCATAACGGAGTCACTAGCAAACCATTGTTTAAAGCATGCATGGCGAAAAAGATCGGAAAACCTTCTGGCGGCTTGTAGGGCTTCGATTCGCCTCTCAATTTCCAGACAAGTCGACTTCCTTCTAGACTGGGTACACCCCAGATGCGCTCTCACCCCAATGAGCAGCCTCACTCAACCACGTGAACCAATGCTGAGGCTGGCAGTTGGTAGCATAATTCCTAGAGTCGCGCCCCCTAGAGGCATCGTCACGCCGCTACTGTGCTTTACAGAGCAGCATTTCCGCCATCGCGAAATCGTCATAATAAGCTTTGGATGCATTGGCCGTGTAAGGGAAATCTGCTAGGTTGGGAAGATACTGATCATGAAGTCCACCCCCGGTGGTTTCTGACTGATTCTCCCCATTCGCCTTGGCACTAATCCATGTTGTGTTCGTAAGAGAGAGCAAGGCTCATCAAGAAAGCGTTTCTGTGCTTGGAAATTCCCCGGCTTATTGTCGTGTACGACTGGCCTGGATCCTCACCAGTTGAGATGCCTCCTGACTCAACTCACCCACATGTAGGTGTGGAGTAAGGACAGCGCATTTCAGGGAAAGTATGAGCCTCCGTCACACTCTGACTCATACGCTTTTGCAGGTCTTCTTACTGGTGCTTCAGAAGGAACAGTGCACGTTTGGAGACCGCAAACTGAGTCAGGAGGTACCTGGGCTGGTGCCAATCCTCGACAGCCAGATTGAACAAGCGGCACAGGCTTTAAACGTACCACCTACCAGAGGTGGTGGACAGATGGCCAGCAAGTTCAAAGCGCTTCACTCGGGACCGTCTTCATCGGTGCATTTAATTCTAATACAGTGGTATTAGAAAATTAGTTCAAGGGCATGCGCGCTTGTTAGGCTGTAGCTGCAACGACCATTTCGATAAATCAGGGAGGACCGGCGAGAGAGATGCCTCAAACAATGATGCCTAGTTAGAAATTTGCATAAGTGGGCATGGATCGAAAATGAAGACTCTCTTATAAGCGAGAATACAGGAACGTCGGCGTAGGCAAACACACACGCATCCGCCAGAGAGGAAGCACGGCTGTGTAACTGGATTGCGCCCTCGTTCACAAGCCCGAAAATTTCGGTGTATACCGAAGGGTATCGCCCTAAAATAGCTTTGGAAAGATTTGAAACTGGAAGGCCCTGATGTAAACCTCCATACCTTACCTTGTGGAGGGGCCGAATGGTCGTGAGGCCGCCCGAGAGCTGCGAGCAGTGCTCTTAGCGCAACAAACGCAGCTTCATTGGTTCAAAGTTGCGTGTCTTCTTGCTCCCGCATTATGTATATAAGGCATTGGTGCTCATAAAGAACGCTTAGTTGACGGAGGTCTTTTGATTTGGCTTCGTTGAGCACTACTGCTGCTGTGCAGCTGGGGCAGCTCAGGAAGACTTTGATCCTTCCGGCTCAACCTCGCGGTGTGTGGCCGAAGGCCCCTATACACTAGAAAAAATAGTTTTATTTGGAGGCTTTGTTAGAGTCTATGCCGAATGGGAAGACCGGAAAGCATGTGGCTCGGAGATTGTTGGCCCAGTGGTTAGGCATGGTGTGGCTTACAGCATGAGACGGGATCAAGGTACCCGGCGCGACGGGTGCTAAACAGGAAACTCAATGAACCGAGAAGAATAATCCCATGATGCATGAGGCGTTATGGGCCCAGGGAATATTACAATGCCCAATTCAGTGGGTCGGCAGCGGCCTGCAGGCCTTAACGGTGAGAAGGCAATGTCAGACGCTCCATTCCTCTCTGCAGCAGGTGTATCAGTGGACACTTGCCTCCGTCCATCAACCCCGCACAGCTCGGGGCTCCCCTCTATGCTTCAGGGTAAAGGGCCTGCTCATGCGAGCATGATACAGCACATCGGTGCTCGCTTGGGAGAAACACAGGATCTTCATGATACAAGGCCATACCAAAGTAATCAAGTGGAGAGGATTAGGGCAATTCCCATGAGAGGAGTTATTACTGGGCCGGCGCGTTGGCGTGGCAGCGGTGTCTCCTATGGGACGCCGAATCTTTACTGTGCAGTATACAAATACAGCATGGTTCCTGAAGCTGAGTCTCTTAGTAGGCCCTTTCCAGAATCGGGACCGAGCTCACCAGAATGCAACTCTCATCCACTCCCCCCGCCAACGCTTGTTTCTAGCTCCTGGGGCCAAGGGCCACTGGTTATTGAAGGAGTAACTATTCCTAAGAGGCCCATGCCTGAAGATATTGATGCTTTTAGGCAGGAAGACTTTCAGAAAAGGGACAATCTTCAAGCTATATTTGTAAGCTGCAAGCTTACATTGCATTCGCGCCTTACCTTTGTGCATACTTTGTTAATCGGATCTTCCGTTGGTTCTGCCCCTTGCACTCTAGTGCGTTGGTTCGCGTTTTTGTATCTTTCAGGTTTTATCAGTGGGTTTGTTCCGAGACTTCTCGGCATCAAGCCCTTCAGCGGCTCATATATCTTGTAGTAGCATTCAAGTCAGAAACGCCTCAGCTTCACTCCCTCGTCCAAGTGACCTGCTTGGAGTATTGCATATCCCTCTGCACTGCGTACACTTAACGGAACTGCAGCATGAGGTCAAGTTACGGCTGCCCGTTGCCGCATGCGCACCTTGCGGAAGAAATGTCGAGGAGCTTGCTGCCTTCATTGGAGATGAAGGGGAACGTGAGCTTGCAGCTATTCTGAGTCCTCAAAGCTCACTGGATGTGATTGAGCATGCATTTATGAATGGATTGACAGGCAAGGCGACAGGAGCCAACAGATGCAATGTCATGCTTTTTCGTCTGAGCAGCAGCGGCGGGTCATTTTTAGAAGCGTCCGATGCTATCTTTCAGGCAGCTCTCGCAGCCCCGGTAGTCCCATCAGTGGCGTCGTCCACAATCCAGCGGTCTTTCGATTCTCATTGCTACAACCAAACGGGCAACAAGCAGGAATCCCAGCATTTTGAAGGCGTCCAGGATAAACCAACTATGCGAGGTGAAATATCTACAGCTGCAGGGGCTGCACCCATACCGGCTGTGAAGCCAGCTAGCGTTAATGGGGCTAGATCCCACTGCCCGAGCATACAAGCTGGCCAAAAAAGCCAAGTAAACACTTCGGGTTCTCTTCCGGAAGTGGCTCGAGAGAAAATAAGAGCACAGTCTCTGTCTGCAGGTCGCGGTTATGATAGGACTTCAGATTCATTGGACAGTGCTGCATCACCCCCGTTGCCAGCAAAAGATCAGTGTCAACGCCACCAACGGCGCCAGCAAGAAATTTCTGTTGCTGCCATGTTAGCTGCATCAGCTATTGCAGCCGCTGCAAGGGGAGAAAGGGATCGAACAACGCGCAGTTCAGCTTCCAGGCAACTGCCGCAGTCCAGTCGTCTTGTTGGAGGAGCGGGCTTAAAGAACAACCAGCGTCCATCAAGCGTATGCGGTGTGCTACCATCGAACAAAACATCTCTTGAGGCGAGAGATAGCAGCCTACATGTACAGCCACAGCGTCTTGGGGGTAGCCGAATGGCAGATCTGACTTCCTGGGATTCTTCAGAGGGTATTGCAGTTGGGCGCACAGAAATAGTAGGTGAGCCCGAGTTGTCTCCAGATGATAGTGTATCCGTTCGTGGAGATGACACGCAACGCCTTGCAGCGAACATCGCTAATCGAACTGTCAGAACAGCTCACTCTCTAGCATGCGTGGAGCGGTCCGCTGCTCGGCGTGACTCTATTAACTTTCGTCTCTCCCAAGATGACCGCAAGAGCACCTTGTCAACTAGTATTCGGAGACTTGATCACCTGATGGCTCGTGCTCAGCTCCTTCTTAGCCAGCGACGCAATCGACAGCGGCCCCAAGAGGAGAATCAGCAGGGCGATTCAAGTAAGCTCAATCGATGTACATGGCGTAATCAGTCCGGAAGCCCTCAAGCCCTCCTATCCCATACTTGTGATGTCGGAGGGCAGCAATCCGGAAAGAACTCGCATGAAACATCGGAATGCAATGAAAAGAGGGAACATCATGTATCGGCACAAACACAGGAACTACAACACCCTCCTTCACAAGTCCATCGCGAACGTTCAGCAGAGTTTGCTCAGTCAGCACGTTCCCCGCTAGATGGCTTTAGGATATCAAATCAATCCCCAGATGACAAACGTGAAGCTTTGTCCATGATCAGAGCTGTCAAGTGGATGAATGCTGCATCAACGCGGCGCACAGCCCTTCTTACGCAAAGGTGATTAGAGGGAGACAGCTTCGGGATCTTAGTTTAGCTTGCAGGTGGCAACTGTCATCCGCATTAATTTTGTGCACCATGTCCCTTGTCTCTAAATAATGCTTCCTTCAGGCGCAGCTTTTGTCTTTTCAGGTTGATCTTGAGGGTTTGGATACAGGCAGTTCACTTGAGGCGGCAACGTCGCATTGCCACAAATTTGCGGTTCGCAGCTTCGTTATTCAGCTCTTTCCAAGCAGCCCTACAGCGGCACCGGCTTTTAAAGTTTGGCTGGACAACTTTACGAATATATGTAGCACAAGAGCGTATCCAAGCACACAATGCAGCCCGGTGCCAAATGGACTCGAGCGTAAGCAATAAATTAATCCAGGTGGACCATAATAGAGCCAGTCACGCGCTTTGGGGTACCTTCGAGGTAATCACCTCATCAACCCTCCTTACATTTTTGACGGCCTGTTTATTGTAAGATTAGTCTCGCGGCATAGAGAAGAACACCAAACCCCTGGACAATTAGTGTTGCTTATTCAACACTTTGCTGTGCCTCCCTTAAAATTAGTGCCAATGCTGCGAAGAGCTCGCCTCGATGTGCTTAAGGAGTGTTGGCACTAAACCGTCCATGAGGTCATTTGCAAGCTTTGGAACCCCTTCGTGCCCAATGTGGCGAATTCTGTGCAAGCTTTCAATTCTTGATTTTTATTTGGCTTATCAGGTTCCGAAGGCGAGCGAACACCCGCTGAAGGGATGTGAGAGAAAGCAGAATACGACGATGGGGGGCCATGAAGAATTGCACGAGCTTCGGCAACTAATAAGTGGGCTACAACAGCAAGTGCAGGCGAGAGACGATCGGTGCCAGTACCTTGAAAAGCGTTCAAATGAAGAGCAGCAAAATCATATGCTGGAGCTCAGCGCCCTCCGGCAGCGGGTCTCAGAGTTACAAGAGCAGATACACCATCAACGCCTCAGAGTTGGGAACTCGCCGGTAGTGCCAGCGGACGATAATGAAAAGGAACGACTACTTTTGCAGCTCCAAAAAAGCTCTCAAGAGCTCCGTCAGTTGCAGGTTCTAGTAGCGGAGCACGCTGCAGCGAAGGCGCGCACTGACGAGGAACAACGGCGATTCCAAAAAGAGTTTATTGCGAACAAGGAGAGAACTAAGGATTTGGAGCAACAGCTACTCCTCGTTGATCAGCAACTTGCAGGCACTCTTAAGCATGTCAACTCTGCAGCCATCAAACGTCCACAGGATAAAACGGACACTGGATTGGCGCAGTTGGTGCCAGCCGCACAATTGGGCCTGTGGGTGTTACAGCAGCTTCAGGGCATGCGAGATACTTTGAAGGTGGTGCATGAGAAAGAGCCGCTGGGACGAACGGCAGAACCGCGCCGCCAGCCACCATTGGAAGCTGCAAATTTCGCTCCCCTCCAAAACCTATCACATGAATCATCAGCAAACACTGAAGAAATCACCAGTCGCTCAGGGGACTGGAAAGAGCCATGCCTTAAGTATACACGCGGCCCTCAACGCCCCACAACCCCGCAGCACCACCAGCCGGCTGTCGTGCCCCACGAAAGATCAGTGGACAGGTCCAGGTTTCAGAGCCACTTTCAGACTTGCCCTGTGAGGGACGGTTCTGTGCAACAACCTGTTGGGACCCTGACACCTGGGAGGCGTCAAGCCTCCCCTAAGTGTTACTCGTCCATTCTGCATCATACTAGGGAAGGGCAGCAAGCAAGTGGGCAGCCAGCGGGAAGTGGTTCTAGCAGCCTGGAGGCCAAAACTGACATTGAGCGCCAGCAGCCACTTCACACACATCAGGGCACTGCGCTGCGCTCAAGGAGTCAACACCTCACGGAACAACTTAACCGACAGCGCACCCACAGGCAGCAACTTTTGCTGCAGTGTAGCCAACAACAACACACTACACCGTTGTGCCCACCGCCACACGCACCACCAAGTTCGCAGCTCCAAACTTCTTTCACCTCCCTCATCGGACACCCGCAAGTGAACGTTCAAAACTATGCTGGCTGCCCTGTGCCAACACAATGCAGCCAGGTAACCAATCAGCAGCCTGCTTTGCACCCCCGCATACGTGCTCCCTCCCCACAGGGAGCCGGGCGTGTCACGCTCTCCGGGATGCATATCCAAAGCTTAGGGTTTAGTCTAACCTAGCTGGTGATCAAGTGGACGCCAGCATTTCATCAGGCTGGTAGACTCTGCTCTGCAGTCTGCAAACAAATGGTTCGCTTTTGAGCTGAATATATAATCTGGCTGCAGCGGGCAGCCAGAAGTCGTATATAGACAAGCCTTGCGCATAACACATTTTAGAACAGACTATATCTAGTTGGAGAAGTCGTCAGAAAAGAGAGTTGGAAGAGTTCATCAGCTACAAAAAAAGTGCCCAGATGGGAACCTGCCAATAGGGCCCACGAGGCGTCCCTGTAGTGCCAGACTGTTGATGTAAGCCGACACCCCTTTCTTTGCTGTTCGGATGATTGGGCATTTGGGGGCTCCTCTGCTGAATAGCCCTTATGCACCGCATGGCTTTCGCTCACGCGCAGCACGGAAACTCAATGGTCCAACAGCCCTTTTAAGCCAACAAATAAACCGAGATAAACATCCCTGGAGCTCGTCTGGGATGCTAGTCTTCCTGAGCAGTGCTTTCCAACCTGGACCGACAGACTTGAAATAAACTGTGCTACTCCTTTTCCATCTCAAAGAACGTTGAAAGGCGAAATGGATTATTTGTAACGCTTTTAGAAGATTTCCGCTCCGTATCATCGGCAGACTTGTCCTGCAACCACCCAAAGCCCGAAGGTGAAATTTGAGAAACAAAGTACCTTGTCACAGGAATTACTAGAGTGCAGAGGCGAATGTCTTACTCTCTTCTGTTTCTTTTGCTTCCGCTTTTTATCTTTCTCCCGCTTGCGTTTTTTTTTGCGGGATTTATCGTCGCTGCTTGAACTTTCACTACTGCTGCTACTGCCGCGCCGCTGCCGCTTCCTAGCCTCCTTCTTTATAGCTTCCAAATGCTGCCGCTCCTGTTCCTCAATCTTGGAATTCCGAAAATTCTGTGGAGTGACACCTCAGCAAGATGCAACTTTCTTTTTGTTTGACACATATCGTTCTATCAACTCAAGAGCGTCAAGCACCCGGCACTCAGTAGTGAATGGCGCATTTTCGGGCTAATTGAAAGCGAGTTTTTGCCTCCGACAATGAGTGATACTAATGTACCCCATCACTACTACGACTACGGCTCGTACCTGTAGTTCTCTACTAAAACATTCATTTTCATATTTTTCCAAGAACTCGCTATTCGACGCTTCCTTTTTCTTTAACATCTTATGCAGCTGATCCCATGTTGGCCGAGAATTCCTGCCAAGCTTCTCCGCAAGCGACGGCCTGAAGAGCACCCATGCACAACCTTTAAGGCATTTGCCTCGGCAAACGCGAGTATGCTGACCAACGAATTCATCAAGGTTGCATCATTAAATCATCATACAGCATTTGCTGAAAACTCCGTGCACCGCCTTGCCTCTCCTCCCACCAACTACTGCTGCACATGGCCACACAATGAGACTCTTTGCAACGAGGCTCAAACCCATCATGCTGTCTATAGAAAAGGACATTCTCCAAGGACGATAGCTCCTCCCTCCCATAAATGCTGGCGAGAAAATAGATTCTCGAAAGCTTGTGATAGCAACAGGTATATAAAAGAGAATTTTTCCCGTTCATTGTTTACCCGCCACTTGCAACGCGTTTTATTGGATTGAGCTGAAGGCCCTGGGGCTTGAAGCCCCTGTTCTTCCCCATTGCCGCGCCACAGTTTGTACGGCACTATACCTAGTACAAAATAGTGCAGCAAAGGCAAAGAGAGGTTCAATACCCTCTCACATGGAGAGGTTTAACTGAAATTGACACCAAATGTCTACAGCCCTGGAGCCATCACATCCGGCATGCATGCAGCCCTGTAGTGGCCAGAGCGGGAAATAACACAACGCAATATTTTCTGTAATTCCCATACCATAAGGAGGTACTATTAGCTTAGGAAAATACATGTGAAACAAAAAAATGGTCAGCAAGGCCAGATCACCCGAACCGGGGGAATTTACCCATCAATGTTCCGTATACTTGAAGATCATAGCTGGCAAAAAGAATCACAAGGTTGAACCTCCAATAGTATATCTGAGCCATCTTTGGTTAGAAATTTACGGCAGAAGAGCAGTTTGAGTTCAAGAAGATTAAACGTGTACCTCTACCTGGCTAAGTCACACTTGAACACTCTGTACTACACTAGTTTTATTCAAGTGTGAACTGGTAAGAGATTACTTCATTGGTTTTGCTGTTTGCGCATGTTCTTTCTCACAGAGCATCTTCAGCTAAGTACATGATACCTCACTGTGCGGTTCATGTAGTGCTAGGCGTAACTTGCTGAAAATGCTCGGAGTTCCCTGAGGGTGCCGCAATGCGCACACTAGCTGTACTAGCCCTTTCATGTGTAAAACTTTGAAAGATGCACGGTTGGGAAAGAGATGATTTTACTGAGATTCAATAACGTGCTATGAGGCTTGACATGGCCCTGGATCCGTTTCTTCCCACATATACCATAGGTAAAGCCTTCCAGTTAGAAGCACCTCACGGTTTGATGCAGATGTTTTGTGCTCATCCACTGGCTGTGAATGATTTGGAGAACCAGGTTTCCATCCTGCAGCGTTCTGGTGTTGCTAAAGCCATTTTGCACTTTAATGCTTTATTTTCCTCTTACAAGGCTATGAGAAAAAAGCACTTTGGAATTCGAAATGATCGGTGGAGGAACGCCTGGACCGCCGTGACCCAAGTTGTTCCGCACTGGGAAACCATTATATGATATTTGCTAAAATATTTATGGATGCGTTGACGAGGCTTTGCCGACCAGAAAGCTATGAGAGGCGCAAGGATGGGCAACGATTGAAAATTTAATTGGCGCGTTCGAGGTGGACCTGTCTAGATGAAGAAAAACGAGTGCTCCATGCAGCGCACTTCTGAACAGAGAAGCCCTTTGATAGGGGTTTTCTCCTTGCAGAGGAAGTCGCCTATGTGCGGGAATTAGTACATCTTAACCCTTCATGCAGCCACTGAAAACATCGCTGGGATTAGCCTAATGGCGAGCTATGGCGGAACCATCAAAGCGTAGGCAGATATGGTTTTTGAAATTACCATACATCGAGATCTATGAGTTTTTGGCTTGAGAAAGTCACAACGTACACAAACAGCTACTTTATCAGTAGCTATGCAATATCCATGCGAGGTGTCATGTAAGGCGCAAGATGGGCAATGACTTAGTGAGTACACAATCAGCCAGTAAAACTCCTGCAATTAATGACTCCTGGGAGCTTCAGGAACACGTGAGGGTTGCTCCAGCGTCTTAAGCTCGAAGGGAAGAGTTATGTTGGAAATTACAACCTGTAGGAATTGGGGCTTGAACAACCTGCCTTAGACTACAATCTAAGAGGAACACCAAATCTGAGCCAGGGAGAGCCTGCGCTCTTATGCAACCCAGAAAACCGCCCAGCAACGCATGTATTGCTATCAAGATAGAGTCACGTAATACAGGACTGTAAGCGTATGCGAAAGGCCAAAGAAGTTGAACAACAGGGTTGAGCCCAGCGGGACAGGCTGCTTGGGGAGCAGAGAAGATGAATTAGGGAGATAGACATGACCCCACCCTGGCTGCGGCGCAGTGAAGGAGGCTACAGAGGATCAAGCGGTAATCGGGGACTCACCAAAGATCGATTGAAAGATTGCTCAAGTTTACATTATTGTTTGAGAATTGGTGACGGTAGTTGGCATTGCATGCGAAGCGGAGTCATTTTCCGAGAAGACGGCGCATGCAATCTGCTGGTTCACTCGTTAGCGCTGTTCGGAAGAGTCAGGTTTACTAAGGGGCGGCCGAAAGCAAGTATTGCCAGAGGAGTAGCAGTTTGATGGTGCTTAAAATTGAAAATGGACTTTATCGTCATGGTCTTGACTTCTCTGCTGGATCTGTGCACCAGAGCATAATCCTCATGCCATGGTTGACTGAAATTGTACATGCGGCCACGACTGCGCACCGGGAAGCACTTGAGGGAGCATTCGGCCTTCTTAGAAACGCTCATTTTGTCTATGGTGAGAAGGGTAGAGTCGGTGCTCTGACAAGGTGAGGCAGATTCTCCATGAGGGCGCCTTGGCCGCACAGTAAGAGAAGTGGCTTCTAAGCGTGCGTCGCATTTTAGTCGCTGTGCAACCATTTGCAGCCAGCTTTTTCTTAGGAAGTCTGATCCAACATTCAGCCAGCGAACAGCAAATATCAAGTTCACGGATGTGATAAATAATGACGAGCTGCCAGCAGGCTGGCCGCCTGCTAATCTTCAACCACACCGCATGAAGTTAATCGCTGTATCACCCAAAAGCTGTGTCCCATGGTATTATACACCGCCACACCTGGAAGAGCAAATTGAACATTCTCGGATGATTTGTGGAAAAGTCGAAGCGCAGGAATCGAACAACGCTTTCGGGCATAGTCCGGAATGGGTGCCGAAAAAGGAAGGAGATGGGCGCATGTGGGTAAGCTTTAAGCCTCTTGAAAGGTCATTGTAGAGCGGGCATTCCCGATGATCTATGTTGGCGCATTAGATGACAAACTATGGGGTTCAGTGATCTACTCAGCTTCTGACTTTACAGCCGCTTTCTTGTAAATCCCCACTCACCCCGATATTGAGCACGAAACGGGGTTCCACGCCCACACTGGCGCGCCCGAGCATGCAGGTGGTCGGAGTCAGACATTTCAATGCCCCAGCTGAACTGCAGTGACAGGTTAATCGGGACTTTTGGGAGACTGTCTAGGAGGGGTCGACGGCTGTTTACATACACTTTGTCTTCGAATTCAGCCGAAACGAGTAAGAAAACCTACACAACCAAGGGCATTGATTTCAGCTCTTGGAGGATTAAGCAGCAAAATGTAAAGGCTCACAGATGCTCGTTTTCACGAAGATAATTGTACATTTCATCCCTCTCTCCAATTCCGTCATGGCTCGGAGGTAGCTCATTCATGCATAGCATGTGTGCAAGCACCGCAGCGTTTCCAAAAGTAACAATACAAAAAAGTATTCGAGGTACGAGGTACTTTCTGGAATATCTTCATGAGCCCTCTACACACCCAACATAATATGACAACTGAATCCACCTTGAGGCACACAGGCAGACAGAATGCACTAACCGCACTCTTCTGCAACATGTGCGACTCTACGCTCAAACAAGTCCGACGGAATCGACTTGTTTTTCCTTCTGTATGCCAAGGCGTTTCATCATGTAAGAGTACACGAGCCCACCTGTTTGCTCGACCACATCCCTGGTCTACATTGGGGTGCCTCTCTAGGATTTTGGACTTGGACCTGCTGGTCAAAGGCTACTACTACCCTTGATAGCGGAGATAGCCAGAGAGCACCCGGCTGCACGCATACTGATGCGCAAAGCATAATAGAGACTAGCATGGAGGCAAACGGCGATTGCCTGTGTGTTTTGAGCCTGGAGAATCAGTCCTCGTCGACAGGCTCTGCGAGGCCACCACATTCTGAACAGGCGAGTTCATGGTCTGCCAGGTGGTTATAGCCTCTTGCTATTAGCTTAGGAGTCGAACCTTTTACTTACACTGTCGATTCACCCTTATTCGGGAGTGTCCCAGAGTTACCACTGCTGGCATACGAAAGTCTCAAAATCCCTGAGTTAATCGCGGACTTTGCCGCGCAAGCAATTGACCTGTGTGAAGGTGGAGGATTTACAGGAAGCCTCCGGAGTGCTGAATTTTGAGGCTATTTAGTGACGAGGACACAGTATACGAGAGTTTATATATAGGTTGGAGGACGAGCGGCTGTCGCTTTGGTACTTTGGGGACAGTTTGGAAATCTATTTTGTTTACAACCTTAGTCTTCATGGACAGTTTTTCTCACGTTACTTGGTAGTTCTTGCTACCGCATGCTCTGCCTAAAAATAGCTATCCTCTTCCATGGCTGCTGTTCAAATAGTCCCAGGCTACTACTGTCAACGCGCTCTCTACACTCAAAATTAAGCGCAGGCACAAAAAACGACTATGTTGCACGCACTAGCTGTACTGGCTGGCAAAGACTGCTCTATGAGAAGCAGAGCACTGCCGAACCCGTGTTTTTTTTGATATCCTTCATGCATTTTATTTCACCTTCCTTGTCTTTTAGCAGGAGATCAACGAATTCCATTGCTCCGACGACAGTGAGCCAGCGCACCGCCGTGGTCGCGCTTGAGTGGTTCCTCATTAGTTGTTGGCTAGTGTGTGAGTTTTTTTTTCCGGCCTGGTTTTCTCTACGATCTGATGCACACTTTGCGTTCCTCTTTCGTAGTGTTGATGTTTCCGCCTGCCTGGGGAGTAACTCGAGAGCAGGAACTCTTCCAGTGTCCTTTTTACGGACTGGTACGGGACACGTGGGCAGGTGTTTCTAAACTCGGGAGAGTGGAGAAAGGTGAACAGAGAAAATGTATGAGGCTAAGTTACACATAAAGTCTTTTTAATGCCCTAGTTATATTTACTAGGAGTTGGTATATAATTGATTGTTGGGTGTGTCTCTTCCTTTATCTTCATTATTTCTGAGTACAGCTAGCTACACACAATGCGATGCAGTGTTATGTACTTGTGCGCTACATGCTATGCGCAGGTAGCTTAATTTGCTCGCGAGAATGCAGCTACGCTCATCCTATGTGTCCATTACCCGTGATGTCGAGACAACTTCGGGATGCGGGCAAGAAAAGGTGGGTACAGCACCTACGTCCCAAACAGGGAGTGGGGAACTGGAGCGCTCTCGCATTGGTCAATTTGCTCAACAGATGTGTAGCGCTCACTGTGTTTTACCTGATACTAGTAGTCAGTGCAGGTGGGATTCTCGGCGAATTTCCGATGATTATGGAAAACACTCTGCAACTCTCCGCCTCATGATGTACAAGCTAAAAGAGCATCATTACACACAGCAGCCTGATGACGCTGGATCCGATAAAAGCTATACCATCCCTGCGCTCCCATTGGGCGTCGACATTACATTCCGTACACCTATGCATAAAAGTCTATTTTTGCTTAATAAAACCACAGATACATCGTCTAAAAATAAATGCTCTTATAGATGTTTTGATTTCCTGATGCATGACAAACGCCAGTGCAAGTTCTAGGATATGGTATTTTAACTCCAGAAAAGGCAGTTGAATTTTGTATTCGAAGAGGATTTCTAGCCTTTCAAAGGCTAATTTCATTGAAGTACCTCATGCACTATAGGATTCAGGGGTTTACAAAAGAATGCGAAACGGGTCACCTCTATTAGGACTGCACAATATCATTCGACTGTCCAAAATCTGTGTGCAATACAAAGAAACCAGTAAGCTCGGAGGTTGAGGGCGGCACTTCCACTACTCTTAGGCGCTTCCCATCTTGTAAGCGGATTGGAACTAATCCATAACTTTCCGCTCCTACGGGGCGGTGTGACGGAATCTCTTGCTGACAGCCCGTGGTCCCCCACGCAGTAGTAGACACGACGTGGCTAGTAATAGACAGTGCGCACATCCTGGCTTCAATGAGGAACTTGTGGTGCAGTGGGTTTTACGCAACACTTAATGTGGGCCCCGTGGGAGCCTAGATCTTGCATGCCTAATGTCTAACTTAGACGCACTCTTATTATACATAGCAAGGCTAGCGTCCCACCCGGTCCAGAGGGGTCGGTGGCTTACACTGGTGGTCAAAATGAGCAGTAATTCTACCCAAAAAGCCCAAGGAAGGATTTGGAGGGGTAAGCCTGTGAGCCCCCACAAGGTTGTGCTTGCTTGTCTTCTTCGCCCAAACATTAAGGGCTGAAGCCCAATGTCCCAAAAGATGAACGCCAAACTGGTGATCCACTTGATTCTTCTCTAGCGAGAGCACCTGTTTTGCCATCTCCCAGAGCTGCGGCTCTATCGTAAGGTCTACTACCATCGATGCAGCAACCGTTGGTTTTGTCCCCTTGCAGAACACCTGCCTCCCTACTGGCTATGTGTGTGCACCGTCATCAATCTCGTAGCAAGGAAACCCTGCTCCGACGAGAGCTATCCAGCACGATTTTTGCAAGGATGCGGTTACCACGTCTATCCGGACAGCCCTCCCTCCGTTCTACTTCCAAAATACTCAAACTTAAGGAATCCTGGTGCGGGTGTGATTTTCCCAAGTGACGCCCCCATCATTTTCAGCCGCGTGTCCCCGAAGGCAACAAGCTCGTGGACCAGATGTCATCAACGTTGAAACTAGATACTTTCGACCTCATTGAGGAGATAATTCACGATTTGAGGGGAAGCGAGTACTTTGCAAATGCAAGCTTAGCCTGTAGCTCGCCTACTTGTGTTGTACAAGATCCATACATCTCAACGAATGGTTTTTCCGGGCCATGTTTAAAAGGCTTCTTTCCACAGGGGGCAGAGCAGTCGAATGGTATGGATTTTGCAATAGCACAGGGCCCATATACGACGGAGTGAAAGCGACAGACGTACCGCTAGACTAAACGGCGACTCCTGCACTTTTGTTGAAGGTATGTTGGGTAGGTACAGCTCCTAAAAACGGCCCCAACCGTCCCCCGCTCTTCCACAAATATTTTCATTGTTCGAATGAAACCGGCCTCACGGAAAACATCAGTCTTCGCACTCGACGAGCCTAGTCAAAGGCCGTCCCTTGTGTTAGGCAGATAGGGTCGAGCCCACCCTTTTCTTCTTTACACTAGGAATTAATCCTGGAGTAGGTCTAGGTAGCTCTCACCGGAGACCCTCAGAGGTGGCATGGATCCAGATGATGATATGACGGGTGAAGGGTAGTACGTAAATACTCCGACCGCGCTGCAGGGGCTTCTGAACCGATATCCCCACATGCGGCTACATCCCAGAAGTAGGTGCAATTAGATGACAGCTTTGAATGACGTCCCCGGAAAAATGTGCTCTGGGAAACTCTTAGAAGCGACTTTCATGACGAAGGCGCAAGCTGCACAATGTGTCATGCAGACCAATCCCCACGTCCGTTGAGTAGCACAGGTGGCCTTGCTTCGAGCATGCCTGAGGGTTGTCTTTCTTACCTAAATGATGTACAATTATTCATGAACCGTGGCTTGCCAGGTGGACGTGTAGTATATACTGGATGGACCGGAAGTACCCCACTTGGTGCTGGTGAGGGCTCGTGACAAATCCATGGAAGCTGCGAACCATTGATGGGGTGATCAAGTGTATGCCACTGGTGTATCCTGACAAGTGCGGATTTGAATGTGGCATCTGGAAATGGATAAGAGTGTCATGCCAAAGGATAAATAAAGCAAATTTACATACGCTGACACTATTTAGATCTTCCGTGGCGCGCTTCTGAGCAACGAAACCGTGCATGACCCCTGCGAGTAGCATGTATACCTGTTGTCACAAGCTCACAGATCGGATAGGATATGCTGAATTGAATGTTAAATACCGAGTATTGGGTGTTGGAGTGTCTTACATATTGTGTTTTTGCGTGGCAGCGGTTCTGTATGGCATGGGCGTAGCATTGAGATAAGACCTTGTTGAACCGTGGGAAATTTTAATACGGGTTAGTGTATCTGTTTAACAACGCAATTTATCCCTTTCTGGAAAAAGAGTCGCATCCGTCTGAACAGCAGCTTGCAAGCCGAAAGACCCAGTGGATGTTTTGCAGGGGACTGTCTTAGTGCAGCTGTCACCCAACTAACCGGCTGGTACTTTGCAGAACGAGCCGTGCCACTTTTAGACACAAGGATGCTGAACATTCGCGCGATTGTTTTTGGTAGTTCATCGGTAAGACTTAAAGTCTACCCACTGTGCTAGCATTGGGAAAGGTATCTCTACCGTTCTGTTCTGGCGGACTCCATCGTCACGCTGTACTGCCGTTAAGAATAATTTGTAGCGAAGAATTAAAATTGGATTTCTGATGATGAGTCATTCGTATGCGGTTGTGTTCCAATGAGGAAATACCACTACCCACGAAGATTTGATGGAGTATGGCGCACACATCCAGGAAAAAACTACGGTTATGAGTCGAGCCATTCCACGTTTGATGAGGCCTTTTCAGGCAATTAAAACAAAAAATTAAAGTGAGCATATCCGTACTTGCACAAAACATGTAGTGACAATAGGACGGATAGTGAACTTCGGGGTAAGTATCCCGACTAAACTCTTCTGCATTTAGAGTGAAATACCGAGTGAAAAACGATAATAGGGTTATGAATAGTGTTTTTGGCCTCCGATTTCCCTGCCGTTGTTGGCTGTGGCGTGGGGGTAAGCAATTGTACATTTACGGTTGCCGTCAGTTCCTGGTGTACCACAATGGCAGGCTGTAGACAAGAGCTTCATGCCGACCTGCTCCACTGATGAGACGCGTGCTAGCAATGTTTTATTATCTGAAGGGCATCGGCACAGCTTTGGTGAACCCGATGCTTTTTCATTTCATGGCATAAACAGTTGCGCTTATCAGCATTGCGGGGTCGTTGGAAGGGACGACTTTTGGCCCTGGTGTGACATTTACCTTAGCTATTGAGAAACAATCCCGAAATACTCGACTCATTGGTGGCTTGGGTGGAATAAGGATGTCTGGCTTGAGCGAGAACGTCCATATGAGATACTCCCTTTCGGCTGACAACGCTTTGTTCTTATGATCATGCGCATTTCTCTTTGTCACCTTGAGAACCCTTTCCATGAAAGGAGTACCCTTGAAGCGATTCTGCCGCTCTTTGCTTTTGAAAAAATTTAATTGACAATGTAAGTAAGTAATTTTCCACATTGGAATTTTTTTACACTTCTGGTCTCCAGCGTAAGCCTGGTGTTTAGCATAACGCTAAAAAGAGAAGTGGCAAATGGAATGTGCTTTCATTGGCTGATGCATCGCGAGGGTACCAAAGGTTCCAGTTGGCCCCTACAACAGCTGAATAAAACGAAACTGACAGTAATTACCAGACACCAACTTCGAAGCATATTCGTAAGCTTGGCTCCCGTTTAGTCCACTCCTTCGAAATCTGTGTCACGTGCAACAACTGAGTAGGTCAATATATACGGGAAGCCGTGAATCGAGTAACAAATATACTTTCCCGCAGCATCAATGTAATTACAACTCTTCTATACGCGAAACGTAGCATTCGAATATGTGGCATCGTCCTGAGCGGGGGTGTGGGACAGCGCGAAGGACACCACCCGCTGCTGCCACCAGCGCGCTACAAAAAGTTTTCACACGGCAGATGTGTTGTACTTCGCGCAGGAATATAGGTGCTACTCCACACAGGACTCGCACATATCGAGAAAAAGACATGTGATTATGGCATCACAGGCTTAGCCCCCACGTAGTGCTGAATCCCAGCTAGCTGCCAGCGTAAAATGTTGATAAATGGTCTTCACGTATTGGTGAATACAGGAACCATACAACTGATAAAGCAGTCAGCTTCGCGCAGAATGTGCCTATGAATGCTAAAGCCACCGGCGAAGCCAGAACCACGGCGCATCGAACTACCCACGTATAACCCACATGGGTTGTGTACTCATCTACACAAATGCTATCCTGAACACGCATCGGATATCAGTCTAAACCCTTGTACTTTTGCCTGCTGAATGTTAAAAAGTGGCACTGAGCAGCACTTTAGGGCTCAATCACTGGGTATACCACCGCCAGGAAAGTCCGCATAGAAACGGTTATTCAGGCGTTGGTTGTCGCAACGGCAAACTTATACCAAAAGCGCCAGTGCGCGATCTGCTGAGCAAGAAAGGTGAAAGAGCCCTGAGAATAATCCCCTAGGGAAGCAAGCATATCCGCTCACAAGTATTACACGTTTGAGCCCCACAAAGCGAGTTCAGAGGGTCTGTTCTGGTACAGAATAACTTATCGGTTACCATCAACCCAAATACCTTCCTGTCTTGACAGTACCAGATGCCCGTTCATGCTGTGAAAATACGCGTTTGAATGGATTGTTACCCATCCACTACCAAGGCAATAACCAAAGCCATCACGGCAAGTATTTTGAATAGGCTCAGCCTCTTGAGAGTCAACTTTGCCTTGTCCTGCATGGCAATGCTGAGAATAAAGTTCAGGCCTCATCGTCAATGGTGCCACCTCCTGTTGCATCGCGTCCTTCATTTTCCACAAATTCCCAGCCCTGAAACCAAAATGCACGATAGACATCTTTGCATCTTTGCAATCCGAAACACGTTACCCCAGTATATGCAGTACCATAGCTCCTGAGGCATTGGATAGCCTTAACTGTAGTAGCGTAGAATAACCCTCCAGGCACAAAATAGTTTGAAGGATCATGAACACTATACAAGTTGTCACTACAGGATTTTCTCTTTTGCAATTCTGGGGCTTAGAGGCACCTGTCGGCGAAGAGCTGCTTCGTCGAAAAGTTCATCTTCATCTCCATCTAATACAGCCGATTCGGGGTCCGGATGTAGCGCCGCCATTTCGCTCATGACAGAGAAAACCTGCTGTAGGCAGCTGCACAATCACCATATCGAAAAATGCAAGCATCCCCATCTTTTGATATGCGGGCCATTTCGGTCTGCATACACAAAACCATGCATTTCCTCTTGTACGTAAAAAAGGTAGTACCTTGAGTCATCTGGAATGAACTTAAGCTCAACCATTGCATCATAATCCGATGGCTCTTCGGAGTCCTCAATAGCCTCGTCTGAGCCCGAGGGCGCGGTACCGCAAGCTTGGCCGTTGGCCGCGACCAGTTGAGTGTCGCCCTTAACTTGGCAATACAGGCACGGTCTCTCACATGTTCCTGGAGGAGAGAAGAAGAGCAGTCCTTGTGGGGAAGTTCAATTGTTGAGTGGCTACTATCAGGTAGTCGAGGAAATAGCGTGCTGGTTGAATCTATGAGGGGAAATAGCAAATAGGTTAATTTGTAGCGTACGCACGAGGATCAGTCGACAGAGCGTGCAGTACAATAGAAAGGTAACTTAGCGTAAAGCTTGCGCCGACTTGAGAAAGCCACGCAATACGCTGGGAAGTAACCAGGAGGACACCACGTCCTGCAATCAACGACATACACTTTCAATGTCTTTGGTCGTCCGCGTTCAGCAGTGCCGCCATGCCATGGTAGCAAATAATCGTGCGCCCTTTCATAGCAGTGGACGGGGCTTTGGGGACACACAATGAACTTTATTGCCGCTAACTGGTAGCCTTAGACAATGAGGGTAATAGCCACGAGCGACTGCGCAGACACCAATGCTACCGTCATATACCTCACCTGCATCCTTCCCTTGAATCAGGACAGTGGTATCCGGTACTCGTATCCCAATCGCTTCACCCTCTCGCAATTCGAAGTCCGTCGGGAGATTTTGTTGTGCAACATGCGACATCTTTGGCCTTCCTAGGATCACTTTTCAAACTCCAGCAGAACAGAGTACACTCACAGCCTGTGGAAGACAGAACCTTATATAAAATTCTCCTCCGAGGCTGCCTCGACCCTGAATTCCACCCCTGATGGCGCAGCCGCGGAGGAAGCAAGCAAAGCACTCCTACCTTAGTCGTTGCATTCGACAGAGGAATAACGATGCTCCAATGTTAGAGAGCAAATGATCTATATAGAATACACAATCGGGAATGGACCAGTCATACGATTACGGCAACAGTTGGAAGAATGCTCGCTGCTCATCTGCCGAAGGGGCCCACAGGGCTTAATGGGGCTTCTGTAGTTCTCCAGCTTTGCTCTGCATTGGATAAGGGCCTGCCCCACCCAGCGGCACATGCTGTATAATGCTTATGCCCATTTTATGGCATTCTCTTGCGAATCTTGCGTTGTGCTGCGGGAACCAGCTGGGTCTAGCACTACACTTTAAAGTTTGCGACTTCGTACTAGCTTGTCGGCTGTTGTAACCTTGTCTGCATTCAAAAAGGCCCAGGGAGTATTGAGTAAACATATGGGCCCTTGTGTTTGTGCGCGGAGCTACAGGGGGACGAGGCGAAGTTGACCTCGCACTCCTTGTGCTTGTCGGTGGTGCTTTGCCATTTGGAACTGTTCAGAGATTGAGTTTCCCCCTTGCATGACGTCAAGGACCATTGGGCTCTAACCACTTGGTCTCAGGCGGTAAGAGTCGGCCTCGCTGTGTACGATGGACGCAAATGCAGTGGAATCTGCCCTAGAGTCGTGGGGTGTGCAGTTATCGCCCGAAGGCCTCTCGGCTCTAGAGCAATCTGGTATTACTTCCCCAGATGCAGTCAAGAAATATATTTTGTCTGCCGATCTGAGGCGTGTACATCTTGCTTCTCATCCCGCGGATCTGAACAATTTCAGCGCCCTAGTGAGCAGGTCCATGCAAGCTCCACCTGAAGCTGCGGCATATGCCGCTACTGCAGAGCGCCCCCAAAGTGGCGCTTCTTTGGTTTCCAAAATTTCCCTTAAAAAACCGCTACTTTGCATGGTCATGTCGTTTCAGGATGTGCGGCTGCCCTCGAAAGATGTCGATGAAGACTTCTCATGTGGCTCTCAAGGAATTAAGGGGAATCAACGGCGGCTGCTTTCTTTGAAACTTACAGATGGTCGTGGCTCGCCTTTTACGGGCATTGAGTTGCGTTTCTGTGGGCAGCTGGATTCAGTTCCCCTCTTGCCGGGTGTGAAATTGCTGCTGTTGCCAGGCCTAATACTTTATCGCGGGATTGCCTTACTCAGCCCCCAGTACGTGCAGAATTTGGCAGGAGGTGCAGCACAGCTGCAAGAAGCATTCAAGCTCAAAGCTGATGTACAGGAACGTCGGAAACTAGTACAGCATATTCTGAATGAGCATACGGAACTTCAGCAGCGGATCAAGGCAGACAAAGGGGATACTGGTCCCCCAAAGTTTGTACCTTTTTCTTTTTCTGCTAAGGTTCAGCATGTAGATGTTCGAACTATCCCCTCTATGCAGGATAGGAATTCTAGGGCATCCCCACCACAGGAAAGTCTGATGCACCAAGTTGAATTGCCTCCTGAGGCATCGCGACCAAACCCTTCAGAGCGCGAAGGTCGTTCCCTAATAATCGATACCAACACGGCCGGCCTGAAGCAAGATCGGCTAAGGCGGCTTGAAAAGGTGAACCCAAACACTTTGGGTGCTGATAAGATAAACTACGAAAGAAAGCCAGGGAGGGGGGGTCGTGGGCGGCGTGGTCGGCGACTCCACGACGAAAATATCGCAGAGTATATTAAACCGTCGGGATGTCCAGTGGCATATAGCCTTCTTGATCTGATCAAAGCTGACGCAGAGCACACAAACAGCACCGCTGCTACGACATTACTGTATGCGAGTGAGCCATATGATTACGAAGCTTGTGGCAGCAATGCGTTGGCTCGACCAAGGGCCTCATATCAATCCTCGCCGCCGAATCCAGGGGTGTCGCAGGGGGTAAGTACCACTACTTACATCCTAAGAGAAGCCTCTCGTGGGTGTTCTCGAGGGACACGCTGCTCGAATCGAGGCAATGGGAGAGCGGGAAGGGGTAGACAACGAGGAAAGGGTTCTACGTAGTGGAGTCAAGCCCAGCACTCCTAGCTTTCAGCTTTTGCAGCGCAAGAAACGTTTTTCAAAACCGTCATACGTGTAAATTTATTGAAGCGAACAGCTGGCAGAATGAGCTTCTGCCTTATTATTCACCATACTGCTCCAGGGGGATTCAACCGTATCGATTTTGTTTTGTTGCTGAGTCTAAGAAGGTGGAGGTAGCATTAGAGAAATCTAGAAGATATCTACGGTAGGAGAGTGATAAGCATGCGCCATATGGTTTTTCTTCGCTACTCCAGCGTGCCCGTTCCAGTTTGAAGCGGAAGCGACAACGTTTACAGGCGAGCTCCTGGTCACGTTTCTCTAAGGTGACCAATGTGTTGTTATTGCGATGTACAAGAAGCACCAGGCTGCTTCGCCTTTGCAACCACAAGTGAATTCCGGCTGGCTATGCTGGAGGAAACTGTTGTTGCAGGTCATGGAAGCGGTGGACGGGTAATCTCTGTGTCTGGGCATCCAGTCTCCCAAGGTTGGAATTCCTGGCCATTGATTTGACTGTTCGACAGGGGCGCCGTAGGTGCTATCAAAGTTTTGAAGGGACTGTCGTATACTGTAATTTACTGGATCTGGCTGGCCCCACGTAGAGCTTCAAGGTAGCCAGACTTTTGCCCAAATGCTGTTTGTAGTGGACAACGGTGCGCAGCTTTACATCGCCAACAGCGCCGCATGTCTTGGAGATTCATATCAGCCTTACCATAAAATGAAAACACGTTCCTCAGGAAACCTAAAAGGTGTGCAAGCCATTTTTCCGTACTTGGGAACTGTGTTACGTTGGAACGATCTATGCATCTTTGCCTGCTACCGTACTTTCATCGTTTATACTGTTGCCTTAATTGACTACCAAAGAATCATCAGGGAGGTCTTCCTCGAAAGCGCCTATAGCCAGCCACGAGCCAAGAGGTCGTCTCTTCTCTTCGCATACAACAAGACCCATGGCTAGTTCCGAGATGGGTATGGCGAAAGTGCTACGAGGTCATACACTCTGAGCATGGAGGCAGCTACGCTTGTTTAGAGCAGAAATCGAAGTACTAGGGGGCGAGCCTGAAAGGAATCAGGGGCACAGCAGCACCTTTGTAAGAGAATTTTCGCCTGGAGCAGTGCACTGCAAGCAGTGGCCGTCACCACAGTGCAATGCAAAGCCAAATCTGTGATGACCTTTCTCCAGACCCCACAGAGTGCGAGGCTTCACTTGAGGCATTCAGTTATCATCCCCCGAGAAAGATAGTGTGTTTGTCCAGCGCGATATCGGAAAAACAAGAGTACTACTGCTTTGTACAAGACGGGTGAGATACTTGCCGCCTAGTTGGTTGATCACCACTCTCGCTTGCAGCGCATACAACGCAACTGGTCACATTCGTCAATGCTAAGTGCAAGTGCAGGCATCCACAGGCCAAAACCGATGTGGAGAAACACTCTAACTGCACCATCATACCGGAGAGAAATTTGGGGAAAGTCTTAGAAATACCAATACTGTGATGAGCGCAAACATCAGCTGCATTATGTGCACCAAGGAAAACAGGCAGGGCTCCTCAATATGCTGCAGAACGCACCAGTACAATGCTATGTAGCTGTGCTTTTCTGCACGATATGGTATCCCAGAAAGATTGATATGCGAACTCATAGTTATTCCATGTACCTCTGCACCGATATTTCCCGTTTTATTTCTGACTCTATCGCGCAAGTGCTGAGGAACAAGCGAGGCCGTGCCTCATGGGGTAATGATTCAGTCGAGGGGTAAGTGAATGAGGAGAAAAATGTTCTACAATGAGAAGCCATAGCGCTACTGGGCTGTCGAACTTGTTTGAACTCAATTTATTCTGCCATTCGAATTATCGAAGGGCGAAGCATGGAAGGATCGGAGTGCGGGGACTAATCGTGGCGCAGAATATGCAGGGGTTGTTGGGTAAGAGCTGCCCCTGAGCTGGTGGGTAGATAAACAAATGGGAGCAAGTAGCGCATGCCATTAGCATATCCACCTCCACCGCTTCTGCCGCAGGCTCGTGCTGGGTTGCATTATGTAGTGCTCGTTCTGCCGGTGTGTGGGGCAGTCCAAGCAGGCGAAGAACGCGGGAACCACGGCTACCCTCTATGCATTTGTTGTTGCGCCATAAGATCTTCTCGCGTGGTTGTTGCTGTATTGCTTTGGCACTAAGAAGGGGCGGCTGGAATTTAACAGGACCAGGAATAGATGCTATGTGGGGTGATGAAGTTGAGGCCTGACGCCGCAGCATGCTTCTCCGAGCAATTGTAAGGAACTGCTCGTCTACAGAACAGCCTTTAGCGTCAGGGGATAATTCTGTTCCCGTCGGTAGACTGCTTTGCTCCGATTCGTTCTGCGGGCAGTACTCAACTGCTGCTAGTGGAGCAAATGTGCCAAATTCTAGTGAAATAGGGCACCCGCAGCTCCCACAGCTTATGTCCACACCAAGAGGAAGGGCTTCAGAAGTCACGAGAGGCACTGTTGTCCCGCACAGAACACAGATCGTACTGCTCAAGGTTTTAAGAATTTCATGCATCCTAGGAACCGCTGCAGCTGAGGCTGATGCTGCTTTAATCTTTACTGCGAGGTCAGCTCTCTCCCTCCTTTCAGGGTCGCGCAGAGCAAGGCGCCATAGCTCATTACAAGCAGCCGCTGCAACCTGCATATACGCCAGAGAGTAACAGTGGTAAAAGTATCATTGTGCATCACCGAAGGGGATTTCTATGGGTTTACCATATTTTCTTGAGTCACAAAGTATCAACGTTTGCAGCAATATTGTGTTTTTTAATTGTTCTGTCCTGTTTGTTGAGGCCAAGCAGAGGTCAGCATATGGCATTGTATTTCGAAGTTCAGATCATAAAGCGAGCGGCAATGACATATTTCAAGGATGACTGAACAGCATGAGTGGAAAACAACTGAGCCAGTTAGTGTTGACGAGTAGTGCATTGTACGCTGATTGGTAGTGCAGAACATATTTGGCAGCAAACCTCATAGTCATGGATTTGAAGCGCTGCTTCAGCCATTAGCCGTAACACTAGAACCGTTCGGATGCCTTTGACACGCCGATCAAGCCGAATCCCACAACTACGCAAAAACCCCTGGACTGGAGGGCGGTCCAATGCTGCCTGTGCCTCCTGCCACCACGAATGTAAGCGCCAAGATGGCCGGAGCCCTCGACCAAGTGCTTGAGTGCCATTTAACCGACGTCTCAGACCTCCTACAAAGGTATTTTTGTCGTCGACGGCACTGCTTGCGCTGGAATCAGGGCTATCAGGTTTTGCTAGAGGTGCCAAGGCATGAGACCATAGAAAAGCACAGGCCCGTAGGAGGGCGTGTGCAGGCATCGCACGCCTCGCTGGTGAAGATGATGCATAGCGCCACAACACGAAATATACCCCATAAATCTCTGATATACGTCGAAAGTAGCAAACAAGGTAGCGAAAGATGCAACGAGGTAGATTAGCAGGCTCTAGATGGTTCATAGCACCTGCAAGGCCATCACTAGCCATTCCTGTTACCTCGCAAGCAAGACTGCATGGTGAACTGTCCATCAGTTTTACATCACCGGTTGCCATGTTCGCAAAAGCTATGGCCAGCGCCCAGCTTCTCGCAGCTGCCTGAGCATAAAGCTGTTGGGAGATTGCACATTCTAGTAAAGTGGCCTCCAAGCGCAGTGCCATCTTTTCCCTCCCAGCTTGCCGGAAGACCTTCACAGCTACTTCAGGCTGATCCCGGCGGATGAGCTCGTTGGCCCATGGCACAAGCACATGTTTTAGGAGCGTGGGATCCTGAAAAAAAACATCAACTACCAGCCATATTCTGGTGCATCCAGTCAGCACTACTAGAAATTCGCCGACTTGCTTGCAGCACAGCGTACTATAGTCTGATGTTACATACTCTTACCGAGCCTCCCTTTCGCAGCAATCATAGGCCAGATCCACTTATGTAGATTTTACATGCAACAGTTTAGCTGTGCAACTAGGTTTGTGTTTTCGTTCTACCTCCTTTGCTCTGGAGAGGGCTTCATGCCACCGACCCGCCCGCATTAGGACTTTTAGAAACCCAATTGAGTCCCCCAAGGACAATAGCGCCTCCTGAGCTAAGTTTATATGACTGCCGCTCTCAAAAAAAGGTATAGCCCAGCGCAAAGCATCTCGCATCTCGTGATCTCCACTAAAATCTTCGCTTGTTTCTAAAAGTGGGCAAGGTATTTTTGCATCGGTTTGATTCTGGTGATTGCCTAGTTTTTGATTCTTTCGAGGCCGGTACGTCCGAAACAATTCAATTAGGCTTTGCGTCGCTCCAATATTTGAGTACACTCGGCTCGCTCGCTCAACCTGTCCTGTGGCAACGTACAATCGTGCCGCTTCTCGTAATGCTTGCATAAATGCTTCCTCCAGCGCAGACTTATCTTGTTCTTCCTGTGATTGGTTAACGTGTATCGCAAGAAGGCATCAGAATAGATAAAGAATCCATATTGTATTTATTTTTACGGTGGGCCCGTACTCAGAACTACCACGATAGTGCAAGACACGCTCAATATTGTCAAGTCTGGTCAAAATACCGTTCGCAAAAGCTTCCCTCCTGATTCATTTGTTGATGTGGCAGATTTTTGCCTTGCACTACTTGCAATTGCCTCGCCAGCTTTGTTGGGCGCCTCAGGAAAGCCTATTGTTCCATCCTTTGGATCTACGTCTAGAGTATCGCACTGCGCTTTTGCGGCAATAGTGGCCCATTGCCGGGCTTCAGCCCACCTGAACTTTGGGCACGCATACAATGGGAAAGGTCTGCACACGCCAGCCGAAATACCTTAGTATAGTTGTGTTTACTTGAGTGCTTGTAAAATAAACAAAACTAAGCTACCGTGTGAACAGACTTTCGCAAGTCAGCAAACATCTCAGACGCCCGCTGAGGAAGGCCAGCTTTTCCCCACTCATCGGCTGCTGCCGTGAAGTTCTGGACAAACGCGTACGCGTAGGCTCTGCAAACATACTGTTGTAGATCTGTTGGAATGTTCAGTACATCCAGCTCCACCTGGACTTGATTTAGCATACATATTGCTCTGTAATCTTTGCGACGTTGGAAACATTTGCGTGCCAGTTTCAAGTCCCCTTCGCGGAGACATTCTAGCCCCAGCTGCTTCAAGTCGTTATCTGTTGCCCCCAGGCAGGCAAGATTATATGCACTCTTGAGATCATTTTTTTTGAGATATCGATAGATGGCAATCTTGTAGTCAATCTTCACTTGGTGCATCTTTTGACGATACAAACAAAATGCGGATGAACCCATGAAACCAACTACGATACCCTGGAAGCCTTGTTGGTACGGCAAGAGAGACCCTAAAAGTACAATCACAGTGTATTATTCTCGCGTGGGCGTTTTACGCATTTCCACATTCGTTGGCCTACTGCGTATCTTCCACTAGCGCGGGACTGTATCCTTTACCTGCTTTAATAATGAGAGCATTACGGCTGGTGACAGATAACAAGTCATCAACCCAAAGATTCCAAGCAACAGAAGTGCAGCCTTGCTGCGAATGCACACGACGTTTGTTCTGTAATTCGAAAATGTGGAGCTCCTTGTTTTCATCTATGATAGCCAGCCGGCTGCGTTCTGCTGACACGTCCACGCAAACAATGCCCGTATGGTGGTGAAGAAGTGGCAACGGTAGTTCCTGGTGGACGTAAACATATAACACCTCTCCATTTCTTAGACCAACTAATAGCGCCTCAGCTCCCGGTGGTCCTCCAAGCACTCGTACGTAACGAACAGCAGCCTTCAGATTCCACTGCCTTTGGGCTTTCCCTAAGCAAACGGCAGAGGTTTGCATCGACGGCAATTTAGGGGTGTCCATCAGGTAGCCTGAAGCTGAGCTGGATCGGGCAATCTATGAATACGTAAATCCACTTCTCACGTGGTGCAAGGGCACTGCTCTGAACTGTGCTTGACGTATTTTGGGCTGACAAACTCACAACCAATTAGAAAGAGCTAAACATAGTACATTTGCAACCGCTGCTGGCTTGGACCAGGGCTCGTCCCTACCTTCCAGATCATAGAGTTTCAGGGTGTTGCCGTGGCATAGAACCACTGAATGGGCAGCCAAAAGCAATAGAGAGCATTCAAAAGATCCTTTGAGGCGATGCACTTCACGGTATTCCAGAGTTCCTAGAGCAGCCTGGCAGGCCTTTGAGATGACGATACACCTTTTAAGCTGAACTGCCAGCAGCTGCCTGTAGACGGCTACCTTCTGAATGAGCTCATCGAACCTGCATATGTCTGCACTACACGGAGAGGGCTCATTATTTATCCAACGCATAGGTTCAGAAACAGTTGTACTATGCGAGGGGGGCACTTGCTGCTATGAGCTATCGAGATGTTTTCACGTTTGTATGTGCTCCTTCTGGCAGCTACCGGTTGATGGGGAGTCGATAGAGCTTCATTATTTCTTTTGCAGTAGTAAAAAAAACCTTGTGTTCAAATTGTTCTACTTGCGACCTATGCATGCCCCTAACTCTCTAAATAGGGCGAGGTAGGGCTCATTTCCTACGGAATAGTGACTGTCTTGTTGCACAGTAGGTTATGAACGGTGAGTTCGCAAAGAGTTGTCCGACGAGCATACACCTCGCGGTGAAGGCCATGAACCACTGGAAGCCGCAAGTTTAGTATCCCAACGTCGCCCTGACGGTTCGTGAAGGCCAGTCGCTGGCCAGACGGGAGGAAACAGCAAGCCGTGGCCTCGAGCCTCTCACCAGAAACATGGAGGGGCTGCAGGTAGATTCCATTAGAGCTCCACAACGTTATGCATCCGTCTACACCCACCATGACCAGATAGTCGCCTGAACCGCATAACTTGTACACGCCAAGTGAGGCCGTCCTTGCCGGTCTTCTTACCACCTTTTAGAATAACTAACCCACTTGGCTTGAACTACGTGTTTAAACTATTTCATTCCTGTGACTGTACTAAATTAGTCAAACTCTGTCTTTCTTTAGCCTACTCTTGTATTTGATAATGTAATTATGCCTGAGCCAAGGGTTTCGTCAATGTAGCATAGAGAGAGGCCCCCTTTCCAATTCCAATAGCAAATACATACGCCTCACTAACAGTGCCATGGGTAAGCATAAAAGACGTGCTAGGGAGAGCCAAAGCATGAAGACCCAGCACTGACTTCAAGTCGTTGGCTGTCAGGTGTTCTGTAAACAGAGCCCACCTCCTGGAGAGAAAATAGCGCTCAAGGGGTCATGGGTGAGGGGTGTTGATATGATGGGCACTTCCGCATCAACATCAAGTAGCCACATACTCGGCTCAAAAGTACAAGCCACTAGCAAACTGTCACGTATATCTGCACTCTTTGAGCTGCCTTCAGCAGCTGTACGGCGAGAAGGGCGCCATGACACGGTCCAAACAGCTGCCCCCAACTGCTGACTCCACAGCTGAGAACTTGATCTGTCATGCACTACAAGTAATCCACTATACTGGCCTTCATTCAGCGTAAAGCACATACAGCATATACGGTTTGCTTACCAGAGTGGAGCCATAGCGCAGTTGGAAACGTGGGAGCCATGCGAAACCACAATTATGTAGTTATGCGAAGGCCAAAATTCGTGTATGTCACAACGAGGGATGTGGTGCACCCCTTTTGCTAGCGAGGGTTTTAGGCATCTTCTAACCTGAAGCGAGTCGCTGGCCTTCCTCATCCCAAGACAGGCAACAGATGCGTGAGCTTACTTTATCTCTTACATACCGCTGGATGGAGGTGCTGGTAGCGCTTGACTTTGATTCACTAGTACTGGTTGCAAGCCGAACAATCATAGAACCTGCCCTGCCGAGACTGCTAGGAGTACTCTGCAAATCGCTGCTGCGGCTCAAGCGGGAAGCGGCTCTAGGAAAAAAAATGTTTTCGGAACTCGCAAAGCTCCTAGACTTTTCATTATCTGGGGCTTGCTGGTCTTCACAGCGCCACAAATCGAGCTCTTCTGCCGTTCCAATGGCAAGGATGAAAACTCGCGGGTTGAATGAGAGAGTCTGCACACTACCTGAACAAGTGCAATGCCTCAGGGGCTCCCCATCTGCATCCCATATTATCACTTGCTTGTCGCATCCTCCTGAAAAATCATGAGCCATAGGGGCACGCAGAAGAAAAGTTTCACGCTTTGCCTAAAGACAAGGGCAGGTTAGCTTATGGTAAATGGGAAGCCGTTTGTATAGCTCCGCTTCTTGAGCGTTTGACCTGAATTTCTGATAATAAGCAGTACTCAACTTTACAAAAGTCCAGCGACCCTGCTCTAACCTGAAGCAAATGTATTCCCATCGGAGGCAAACGCAACAGCATTAACGTCCCCCTTATGACCACCAAGTGCCCGCAACGTCTCGCCCGACTCAACCTCAAGAAGAAGCACGCAGCATCCGACTCCTAAAACGAGTCGAGCCCCGTCGGGGCTGCAAGCGACACTCCACAAGGTGCTTCTTGCATCATCTCCCTGAGCTGTCCGTTGTCGCCAGACGACGTTGCCCTCCATCGTGCCCTCTCCATAGTCTGCTAGGTGATGCAATAAATCTAGGTACTCCAAAACATGTGCCTGAAGGTCGACGTTTCACAATTGAACTGGGTAACAATGCACCTTCAGTTATGTTTCACGCCTAAGTAGATGCTACATCTATTGTTCCCACCTGAGAACGGAACGGATATTGTATTCCTACTGATACGTACTTCAGCTCGATCTTCCTATATAGTTAAACAACATATATATAAAGTGATAAAGTGATCTAAACTCTAGAAACTGCGTATACGGTCTTCGTAGGTGGCTGCTACGAAGAGGGTATGCAAAGTGCGCTACTGCGCATACGTTACAAATGTGGCATCCGGTTTTCGAAGTAAGTGGGCGGAGATTTTAAAGCGGACTTGCTTGTCTGCCCAAAGCATGATTTCCTCACTTCCGTTATGAATGTAAATGATTAAATACATATCGCATTGAGTGTTGAATTTTGCACACGATGGCCTTAGACTATGCTATATTAGGTGCCGGAGGCTCCACTTTGACGAAAATGCTATAATTGTAAAGGCCACGGCAGGGATGACTTCTAACAGTTAGTAAATTATAACCGTATGGGACCGTGCTGTTGCCCTCACTGAGTAAAAATTTTGAGAGGTCACCTTAAGATGTCGATTGCGTCGCAATTGAATGGATAACACTTGGCGAAGCCATCCGGCGCAAACAGTGGAGAAATAAAAAATGCAAACAGTGGAGAAATAAGGAAACGTGCCAAATAATTCCTTACTGGAGAGTAGCACTATAATATAGACTTGGATATAATTCGAGTGAGTTGCCATAATTTTTCCGGGCCCCACTTATAGGATGCCCAAACCAGAAGCTTAGCATGCTGCATGTGGCACCTGCGGGGCTGATAGCTCGCCTAGGAGGTAGATTCGAGAGCTGCCGTGGTACTTGCATATTCTGCGCCAGAAGGAAATGCTATGAAACTAGCTGAAAGGACTGCTGGCCGTGGCTGCCCTACCAATGCTTGTTATCAAGCCCGCCGCGCAGGTGATTCAGCTGTCGCCAAACATTTCCTTACCAGATACCCCTATTCGCAAGATACTAGTTGTGTTATTGAAGTTTAGCCTACCACACGGACAGGACTGCAAAACGGTGTATAGTAGGGCGCTCTCCGAGGCAAGCAACTGGCGGAATGGCATGTGTATAGCCGACTTGCTGCAAAGTCATCTTCGGTTCTCTTGAGCTTCACCAGCCTCAGCATTGGAACAGTAGTACCAGCGGTATGACAACTACAATACTGGGATGCCAGATGCGCCCTTTTGACGCATGTTCCCCTAAATTGTCAGGTTGTTTTGCCGGCAGCACTATTCCCATCGGGTCATGCACGAGGCTATTCAGGTCAACGGCATCAGAGGAAACTCATCAATAAAGGAACTAAGGATTTAAGGGTCCATCCTAGGTCTTGCTCTTTCGCGGCAATGGCGGGAGAGAAAGTTCGCGTCAAGTGGGTGGTGAACTGTACCGGGGAGCCAACGACTTTCAATGGTAAAAAGCCCTTTGCACAGTCTCTTTCTTCCTCAAATATTATCTAGCATAATACTTTGCGGATTGTGTCTGGAAGATCGTGGTAGTGCTGCGACAGTGGACTTTCTAATTCCTGTGCCGTTGCTTGGTTCGGAATGCCTGCCGCAGAGTCACTAGTAGATGTAAATGCCACCATCCGGGAGGTAAAAGAATTAGTCTTCGGGCAAGAGCTAGCTCGAGGTATGTACGCTGCAACAAAATGCTAAGAGGCCTTTCATAAATCATATACAGTATCAGAATGTTGAGTCAGCTGTACGTGTCTAGAGTATGCACCACATCAAATGGACCTCATGCGGGATATGTTGCCATGCAGGCCTTAACGTGCGTGTGATTTTCTTGGGACGAGAGCTCGCAGACAGCGACTCCCTAGCTTCTCACCTTCGTATGCCTGCAAGGGTAGCTGCAGTGGGACCGTGTACAGCCTCATCTTCAACCGATGCGCCTGAGGTCCCAGACGTTACTCTTCATGCTGTTCTTTCTACTCGCCTGCCGAGTGCAAGGAGCAGTGGTGTGAATGGCCGCACACACGTGGGTGCGTCTAGTTGCGGCAATTTAGGGTGACTGTGGCGCTATTGGGTGCCTTCATGCTGCAGTTCCTCTGTTGCCCACCCTGCCCCGTCCCCCTATCCCATCACGCCCACATGTGCGTATCCGTGACTTAAGGTGTCTTGTGGATGTTATACATCTCTTCAGTCTTAAGTCATTGATACGAATGCGATCGTATGAATTTGTGATACATCTTGTCATTGTTGGAGAATCGAACTCGGTTGATTGCTTGCGCAGGTGGAGGCAGCAGCGACGAAGGCGATTGGTCTGTGGTCGTGCTGGGCATGACTGTTTTTGTGATCCTGTGCGTTTGTTGGTACCATCGCCTTGCATTTCCAACGGATTTCACCCCATTTTCCTCACTGCTGCTGGTTTTCTTCACGGGATTTTACGCTTTCGCGATTCGCGGGGTTGTCATGCGCCTCCTCAAACTTGCCTTTGGTTGCTTGCGCCGCCCCTGGGGGACTGTTGACGCCTCATCCCAACCAACGAGGCCGGTAGCAACAGCACGTGCTTTTCCGGAAGTCCCCCACCGCCCTTTGAGCTAATGCCGGAGCAAAACTGGGGCGCTGGCCGGCCACAGCCGCGAATTGGTACACTCGCGATGTGGTGACGACCCCGCGGCCCTGGTGGTATCGACTCTCCTTTGATGAACAACGGATTCACGCGTATGTGTAAGACTATTGACGCACTCCCCCAGGAGCCGTAGTGCTGTTATATGCGCTGAATGCTGCATCATCCTCCACGAACACACTATCATGACAATGTGCGCTTGGAGACAGCACACAAAGTACACTCCACGCCTACAAAGCCTGAAGAGCCCCTATCTGCAGCGCAGTGCTGGAAGCTGCAGAGGCAGAGCATCTTGTGCGCTGGTGACCCCGAGAGCGAACTGTAGTACAAATGTAGGTACTATTTTTGAAGCAGAAGCTTGAATAGACAGTGGCTACGTCTGGCAGGGAGTAGGGCTTTTGCCGGCGTATGTACAAGATTCACCCACGCACTGCTATGATTTATTTGGCAGTCATCCGCCAACCAACTCGCCGGTTTAAGGGCCGTGAGGATCCTTTCATGCGCAGCTGTCGAACTCGGCATCGCCGCTGCGACCTGTCAAGTATTACATTTTCATAGTGACAGTGGTAATCCCTGTTGAAATGGAACTTACTAAAATGTGCCCAAATTCTGTATGAAAGAGCACAAAGCTTGCCATCTCTTTCCATTCTGAATGGCATCGTTTAGAGTCGGGGGTTACAGACCACGTTCCCCAGAATGCAACCTACGTGCAGCTACTAGCGCCCTAAGGATTTCGAATTCAATATTTACTGTAGTAGGGACGCGTTCTAAGCACCATACAAGGCCACCGGTGAAGGATCATGCTTTTGGGGCTTCTAGCTGTGGTCACTGATGCCACAGGTGTCTTACCCCCGTTGAGACAGATATAGATAAAGTGATCACCTTTTTCTAAAATCGTCTTATGGCTGTCCCAATCGTTGCTGCGCGATTCGGGCCACGGATGGCATCACCCCGAACTTTTTCTTTTTGATATTCTTCCCTGTAAGAAAACACATTCGAGACTTCAGCAAGACACAAGGCTGCCGCGCAACGTACTATTTTCTTACAGTTTACTACTGTTACATTCCTATGCACAATGCCCTCGGTGGCAAATCCACATAAGTCATTTATCTGTGGGATACCCGGCTCATGGCCACCTCACTGAATGATCGTGAAAAGCTTCATGAAATCCTCTCCTCGGGTGTTTATTGCGTCTGGGCTAAACACGTCAAGTGTGTTGAAGGCTTCTTCTGCCGCATCATTCTCTGAAGCCTTATTTAGCGATACCGGGGAGTGGTCAGGCGTCCTTTTTGGCGCTTCTACGAGGCCATACTTCGCCGATACCATGCGTGACAGGCTCGGAGCAGTTAAGCCGTTGTTGAGAGCTCGTTCGTGTCTGAAAGTGCGTTTAACACGGCAGAAAAAACGGGGGCTGCCAGTGGGACCCATGACAGAGTTATCACCAGTCGTGATCTAATTTATCAGCTGAACCACTTCATACTATCTCCAACATTCCTATGTACTTCATGGGCACACGACTTTCAACTAAAGAATCTGCTTTGGTAATGCAGATTCAAGGTGTGCATGTACCGTTGCTGCGCCTTTATGTTCTTTTTGAAATAATTAAACAGCACCTCCCTGGCCGGTTCATCCAGGTTCTCTCGAAAGCATGAACAGGGCATCTCCGGTGGGGCCCAAGCGCTGTAGCTTTGAGATGGGCAGCCGCCCACTGTTTGGCATCTGCGCAGTGAGCCGAGGCGGCGGTAATCACGGTGCTTCAATTCCCCACATGAGCACTGTGACTTTAGCAATGAATGATTCTTCGCTGGATCTGCTATATCGACAGGCTTTGTCTCCAGTAGTGTTGTAGACCTTGTATTAAGGCTACACCCCGGTGAATTGCCATGGACACTTCGACTTTTTGATGAATTCCACAACGGATAAAAAGGGTATTCTCGGATTCGGCGTGCCACCAGTGGAAGGCCCTTAATACCAGACTCCTGAATGTTTGCTTTCCTGAAAGGCTCAAACACAGGGAAGAACTACGAAACTCAAAAGTACTGCTGGCACGGATCATGCTTCTGGCAGTGTCTAGTTTCTAGAGCGTCACTGGGGTACCCAACATGCTCTGAGTTCTGACAGTAGCACGACAAATCCTAAGCATGAACGAATATGCCATTCGCCGCTTTATGTGGGCTGTTTGGAATACATTGTGTCAGAAGCCTGTATAGTCTCGCACAGGACATTACGCGCCATAGTCCGATTCTGATCTGACCACCCCTTGCAGTGAGAGGCTCACCGAGGCTCCATGCTTCAATCAGATGCAGTCCTGTAAAACTTTGCTTCAATTAGATGCAGTCATGAGAAACTTATTTTTGCCAAGCTAGGAGAGTGGCAAGCCAAACTGGGGGGTATCTCAAATGGCCCGAGTCAACTGGGCATGGGCACTTGAAGGACCAAAACGATCGCTAGTGTTATATATCATATAGCAAACGTAATAACAAGACAAAACTTAACGGATGATAGAGCAAAAAAGAGAACGGGTTGCAGCAGTAAAGAGCTGAAGTGGGATCCCTCATGTATCGCCGTCCAACGTAGTTCGACGAGCAGCGGATACTCATGGCAGCAACCAAATGCTGCTTCCCCGACTAGGCATGCTGATCATACATCATTATGCTGACTAGTATAACTATTAACACTGCTTTCTCTAGATAGTAGCACTCCCTCACGATACAAATTTGTCGCGCCAGAACCAGTGGTTAGAAAATGCATGCGTGCATGCTTTGTTGTACTTAGTGGATTGGGAGTGAAGGGCGTACTTTCTAAACTAATCGGCACACTCACAAAGTGAACATTCTGTGTATTTACTGTTGTACACTCCACTGCGTGGTTACATCGGATGCTTCCATCCTAGGCGAACACAGAGTGAATGCCGCCAACGGCCGATATCGGTACGCCGAGTTGATATCTACTGGAAGTTTATTGCGGCACAGTAGTGCTAGCTGCACTGTATCAAGGACCACAGTATAATCCACACTTGAAAAGCACTGCCTAGTGCCATCCGCTGATGTGTAGACCATATACCACACTTACACAACATAATTTGAGTCAGTTGCCATTCATTGCAGGCTTTCTGGATTTCGCGGCAGTGTGCTGTTTGGCATTGCCTGCGCCATTTTGGAAAGCAACTGAAATCACATAAAGGAATTTTCCTGCAATGGTATCAGTAATTCTGCATGTGGCAGGCCACTCGCTGCCGCACCGGCTACCCGACTGTGGCGGGCCAAGCTACATACATATAGGCACTTTTTACTACACAAGTTATATTTAACCAAAAATATTTGGCTTTTAGCACATATTATTTACTTTGGAGTACTATAGGCTTGATTCAAAAGAAGACGAAATACGTGCGTGTGTGCCAGACGCTATGTGCAGCTAGCTGCGAACGCTCGGCGTGCTTAGAGGGTGCAGCAACGCGTAGCCCCGCCGCACGCCTTCCCCCATATCGGAACCATTGAGGACGAGGGCAGGAGAATCAGGAAGCTTCTTTGAAATACACGCAATGCCTGTCTACGAATTGTATCGAGTCTGGACTGAAGTGTCAACCTAGGGAGGCCTGGTATAAAGCGTTGTACTTATGATCCCCTTCCCAGAATTCACAAAACTTGCATACTAAATCAGAGCAAGCTTTCGGGCCGCACATATAGGCTTACGCAGGTACTAGGGGGAGTAATCCTGCTGGCACTTCGTTTCCGCAGTGACAATGGCAAGCAGAAAGTCACCTCGATGCCACAACGTACAGATCGCTACCCTTAGCTGTTCCTTTAAGGGTGTCATCCACCTGGCTCGGCGTGCCTAGCCTCTCACTTCCACGCGATGGCTTTTGTGCAGCGAGGAGCTGTAACAAAACCCAGAAATGTAATGGTATGAATGTCACTCAAGCTCTCGATTTACACAGATCTACAGTTTTGTGGGGAACCGTGGCTTTGTATAGCACTGTATAACCCGAATCCCAGTATCCCTGGCCCGTTGCTCAGTCAGTATAATGTTGCCTATTGGGTAGATGGGGGCTACGCCGAACTCCTTTCCGGTCCTTGCGTCATTGGCCACAGTGCTGTGCACCTTGGCAGTGATACAAGCCTTATCAATTACCATGATTTCTGGTTCCTGGGATTTCTGATTTCGCGAAAAATATTTAGGAGCCCTCGCCTTGAATGTGACCGCCACAATTGAGGTGTGAACAGACTCATGCATCAGGATTGAAAGGCAGTGCAGGCGGTCGATTCAAGGATCCCTGAAGCACCCTAAAGTGGTGAAATATTGCCTATACCCTTGTACTGCACACAGAATTGTTATTCTCCTGCATGGGAGCTGCTAAAGCGAACTCCAGATCAAACATTCACTGAATAGAGGAGCTATCAGGTTGCCATGCCTCAACCTGGAGCACCAGGGTGCTTTGCACATAGGAAAATCAACCTGATTGTAAGTTTGCCTTCACTCTGAAAGATATGAAAGGACCAACCTCGCCCGCTGGACATACTGGTCTGGTTGGCAGGTAATAGCCGACAAGCATTCAGGCCTGCCTTCGGCGAATGAACACGAATTACAAAAATACAGAGCGGCGGGTGACTCATTGAGCCACAATGGAACGGTGAGAAGCCGATGTGATCTCACGGCTTCGAGGAGACTTGTGCGGCCTCCACAATAGAAAGAAGAGCTTCCGAAAGCGCTCACAGCGCATGCAAATAGCACAAAATGCATGCATGGTGCAGCACAGAAGCTATATGAATGAAAGTCGCATGCTGGCGGGCTCAAGATTATTGGCAGGCCATCATGACAGGACGCCGATCACCCGGGTGCCATGGTTTCTGCCGGGTTGCCAACGCTGTACAGTAAAGAGCTGCAATACTGCATATAACACAAAAGAGCTACCGCCTAATAGGAACGTTATGACCTCCTTCCACTCTAGTGCCGCAAGGCTCCTACGCCTTTTCAATGGTACGTACCTAAAACAGTCTTCGTGGTTCACTTGGACATCTAGCATTAATATATAGATTCGAGATGTAACGATCTCGCCATTTTACAGTCGCATGCTCGGCGAGGGTCATTTCGCCTTTAGGAATAGCCCTGCTCTACTTGCGGTATCACATGCCGCTGCATGTCGACCGTCGCATCGCGTTGCTGGGTGCGCTCAAGCCCAGTGGTCACTCAGCTGTAACTGGCTGTGGCTCAATGCAATCCTCATGAGGTGAACCCGCACGCTTCCCACGTCTAGAGCTGCCATTAGCCTGTGCTGCTTGATGGGTTTCCGCCCACTCATTAAAGTCTTCTGGAACGGATTTGCCGGTAGCGAGCATGTGTTCTTTATACACCTGCCATCCCCCTTCTTCGGCCAATACAGAAAACAACGGACCCGGGTGCTGACGGCGCCACGCAAGCCATGCAATTGTGGGCTGGCGAGCTTGTATATATTCAGCGTAAGTCTCTGGAATAGCCTTCTGACCAGCAAAAGCTGCACGATACAGACGCCATCCTAGTGGGTCACTGAGGATGGTATACCGGGGACCCGGGTGAAGCTTCTTCCACGCTAGCCACTCGCGAAGGGCCTTTTTTCGAGCCCCAACAGAGTTTTGCCATTCCTCGAACTCCTCAAGGGGTGCGCCGCTCGTTGCTTCTTTCATAGCGCTATAGAGCTTCCACCCCTCCGGATCCTGAAGCACTTCCACCATAGGGCCCCTGTTTTTCCTACGCCATAGTGCCCAGTTCATGGTGGCTTCTTGGCATCGACGCTGAGGAGACTCCATCCATTCATCGTAGGACAGCGGCACTGGGGAGCCCCCCAACTGAAGCTTTCTGACGTATAGATTCCACCCCTCCTGGTCCTTTAGAACTTCAGCCAGTGGTCCAGGATGCCGACGCCTCCATAACTTCCAGGAAGGTGTCTGGCTACTGCGTAATCTAGAACTTGGTGTGCGAAGCCACTCTTCGTAGGTCGCAGGAAAGGTTTCGCCATTCACTTGTGCAATAGCTTGTCTGATGGCGAACCCCTCCAATCGGCGCGGAGCAGTCCAGCGCGAGGAGGACCTCCACGCAGCCTGAACATGGGAAAGTGAATCTGCTGCATCAGGTTCCCACTCCTTAAAGCTTGCAGGCAGAGAGGTTCCTAGTGCTTCTATAAATGTTCTAAACAGCTTCCAGCCTTCTTCTTCAGTCCCCAGTAACTGCAGAAGTGGTTGCTCAGCATGACGCTCCCTCCACTGAACCCATTCGGCCGCTGCAACAGCGACACGCTGTTCAGGAAGCTGCAGCCACTCCGTGTATGTTCGAGGAATATAAACGCCTCTCGCATTCATAAGAGCGAAATAGAGCTGCCACCCTTCGCTGCTCTCCAGTACACTGATGAGGCTACCATGATGCTCTTCACGCCACGCTGACCATGCGTTCGAAGCCTCCTCCAGAGATCGGAACCCCTCGTAGGTCTCAGGAAGCGGCCGTCTAGGTTTGCTCATGGCTGCTCGGTACAGCTCCCAGCCTTCCGAATCCTGTAAGAGCTTTGTCAGATCCGTAGAACTCTGTGCGCTAAGCCAAGACAGCCAGGCATCCATCGCAGCAGTCTGTGGCTTACCCTTCTGCAGGCTGCTTGCTGACTTGCTCTTGGGCTTGATACCCTTGTCCTTGTTTGCATCCGACTCGCCACTACCAGCGAGTTTGTCCTTTTTAGATGCTGTGCGCTGTTGCTGCGGCAGCTGTAGCCACTCCTCGTAACTAGCTGGGAGTTCGCCCTTTAAGCCATTTTTCTGTTGCTGTTGTTCCAGCTCACTCCTGTACAGCTGCCAACCGCGGGGATCTGATAAGACGCGAGCCAAAGGACCCGGATGCTCACGACGCCATGCCTGCCATGAAGAGTTCGCCTTTCGGTCCTTCCATTCCTCGTACGTCGGATCGGCTTGTTTTCCGGTGGCCTCTAGCATACGTTTATATAAATTATAACCTTCGGGCTCAGCTAGCACCTTCCGCAAGGCGCCGGGGTGCATGCGCCTCCACGTTGTCCACGCTTCCATTGCCACCGTTTTAATTGTATTGGGCTCACGGCACCATTCTTCATGAGTATCAGGCAACTTAGTATCCTGTGACGCACGTTTCGCTTTGTAAAGGGCCCAGCCTTCGGGGTCAGCCAGGACTTCGGTCAGCGGTCCTGGGTTCTGGCGGCGCCACTGTACCCAAGACTCATATGCCAAGCTTCTTCGTTGATCTTGCTGCTGAAGCCATTCTTCGTAAGTCGGAGGCACTGTGGCGCCCTTCTCTTGCTTCATTGCGTAAAAGAGCTGCCACGCATCAGGGTCAGACAGAACTTCTCGGAGTGGCTTTGGGTGGCGTCGCTTCCATTCTACCCAGCGTTGCGTACATTTAGTGCTGGCAAGCCATTCTTCGTAGCTTTCGACATGAGCTTTCGCAGTGCCGTTATGACGCAGCATTTCCTTGTAGAGGCGCCACGCCTCAGGGATTTTCAGAGCCTCCTCCAGCGGCATCCTGTGCTTCGAACGCCAAGCCCGCCAAGCGCGAAGTGTTGCTGTTGCCTCTTCCGAGCTCTGGGGCCTTGAATCGCCCATCTTTGCCTCCCCCTCCATGACTGCCTGTGGGGGTTTACGTCAAGCTCGACTGCGAGGACGTCGCGGTGAAGGAAGACAAACACCACAGTAGGGCTCAGTATTTAAAAGCAAACCACGGCAACAACCTCTGGATTCTAAACGGTTTACAGATGAAGCGCCAGGATGAGCAGCTAGAGATATGCCAAGCAACCCGCCAGTGCTGTCGCTTGAGGGGATGGGGAACTTGCCCTCTACAAGAACGCACGAATCTGTTAACGCCTATTAGGTGGAAGGGAGTCCCATTCATCAGGTTACAAAAGCACTTTACTGAGGAAGACTCACACAAGGGGCCCACGTGGTAGTAGTAAGTGCTGTGGTATCGGGTCGGTGACCAGGGCACTAGGAGGGTTAAAGTAATGCACAGGTGAGCAGCGAAGTTGAGTTCCGAAAGAAGCACACGAAATAACGCAGCAATCTTTTGTGGGCCATAGGTATTTGACCCCTGACTGTCACCAGACACCGTACAGCCGGGTAGCCGACTAATTCCAAGTGGCAGAGGCGGCGCTGAACAAGGCGCTGAAGTTGGAAAAGAAGAGTTCCGACTCCAACAAGGCTGAGAGGCTGGTATCATCAACGAACCCAAATATTTGGCTGAGCATCGGTCAATTACCTGACAGTTAATGGTTGCGGAAAGCTGTTGCATATGCCAACGGCAGCGGACAGGTGGCCCTCGTCCACGGGACGGTGGCAGTGGCCCCGCCCCGGCGGCAAGAGCCAGCAGCATGCAAATCCCCAATACACAAGTTAGCGTAGTGTAGGCACAGCTACATAAAACACATTTCATGAAATTATCCTTGCCACTTTAGACAAGGGGAATGCCATTAGTGATTCGAAGCATCTCCCAAGCGGATTTGGTGTGTGATTGCGGCTAATTTGAAAATTCCGGTGCTATACACAAGCATAGCAGCAGAATTAATTACTCATTGATAACCGCATTTCATTTCAATGCCATACCAATCCTTGCGCTATACGTTGCCAGAAGCCCAAAAGGTAGGAGCAGTAACAGCATAAGTCGTTCAGCAACCTTGCAGACTGTACCGTTCCATCTAGGGTCTCCGTATGGTGGAAATAAACTCAAGAGTATTAACAAATAGAAATGTACTGAAGATCACCAAAAGACTTTCCTTCCTCCCCTGTCCACTCCCCGCGGAGTTTCAGCATAAAGGGACATAAACAAATACGGTAAGATTTCCTACAACCTGTAAGCAATCCGAACGTACACAGCTAGTTGCACACAGCATCTAGCGTACATGCATACAACTTGAAGCCCCCCAGTATCGAGCTCATAGTACTCTGCCATACAGAAGATACGACCTAACAAATCCAATTTGTACACTTGGCTAACTTTTGGTAGGCATAACAGCCGTAGTAGAAGATGCCCAGTGTAGCTTAGCACGCTAATGAAAGTGCTCCCTGGGGAGGCTTTACATTGAGCGTCACAGTTTGAAGCACCCCATGGCTCGGCGCAGCTGTTCTCGCCCACTCCACCGGCAGTGGAATGTCATATTTTCAAACAACAGTTGTTTGTTCTCCACCAAGTCGTTGCTAGTTTAACATATTGAATTTTCTTGGCTGCAATTCGGTAGAAAGAAGACCCCTCTTGCGATTGGCGTTGACGGTGACACAATGCTTGTTGGTGCAACAGACGTCGGCTTGCAAGCCAATGGGAACGCAGCACTTTCAAAGCTCCACAGCCGGTAGCAATATATGGCTTGTCACCAATTAAAGTTAAGGGATGGCTCGACGGAGCAAGGCGTGAAGATGGGCACTTGCACGGAGATCTCATCGCTCACAAGAAGCTGTACTCTCACTTTGTACCAGCAGACGAAGAGAAATGAGTGCGTTTTCTAGCATATATTTACCGGAGAGAAAAATATTCCACTGGTGTGCTTATGGAGAGGAAGTCATACGCCTGCAGGGATTACTACAGCTCAAGACACCCTAAAAGCCCTGACACAGCGGTTCACGCAGATAGCGGCCCAAGAGCAAGCATTGCGAGAATTGAGAAAGCTTACACACAGGAGCTCATCGATAGATCCATATATCGAGATCTCTGGGACTTTAGTCAGCAAAGAGCGACAAGGTAGACTAAGAGCTGCTTTCAGTGGATTATACAAAGTTCGCGTAAAGTGTCACGGCAGGCGATCACACTTTGTGGGCATCAACTAATTGAATGAGTTTTTTTACCTGTGGGGCGTCCGCGAATAATGGACTGCTTGGCATTACAGGAGCAAATGATTGCAGACCATGCGCCTTTGGCTGAGAAGGAAGATTCAACTCTGGAGCTAGAACCTAAGAATATCGGGGATGTGTCTTCGACAGTCTGAAGTGAAGAAAAACACGCCACCACACAACCAAACAACCAATGAAGTCGAGCAAGTCTACTGGGCCAAGGGGGAGCTGGCTGCTTAGTCAGCAGGGCAAACGCATCGAGGATACAAAACTACCTCACTCGGGCTGAGCCAGTGAGGATGGCAAAAATGGAAAGAGTCACAGTGGAGGATTCATCACATGTCAATTCTGCGTTCATCCAATTTCACATTATTGCCTAAAGATTGCTAGCGTTAGTTGGCAGTAGGTGTAAAGCGCCTATCAATCCTTCTAAAACGGACCTTTTGAATCATATTCCAGCTCTCATCACAATTCAGACTGACATGTATAAGGATATTACGGATGGATTACCGAAGGACGAGGATCAGGGTAGCATCTATTTCGTCGTTGACAGACTTCGCAAATATGCCCATTTCATCCCTTGTGCAAGCTCTGTTACAACTCAGTAAGCCCATAAAGTATATTAATAAAGGTTTAAAGGCGTCATAAATTCCTCAGAAAAACTAATTACGGACAGACATTCGAAGTTTGTTAATGAGGTCTGGCGTGCCTTGCTGATGTGCCTACACATTGGCTACAAGATTATTATCACGAAGCACCCTGAGGCGCATGCATCAACAGAGTGCACCGGTCTCACTCTTTAGTAATAGCTACGAAATTCGGCTCTTAGTTGGCATTGATCGAATTGCTTACTCTGGTCTTCTCGCTCGTGCTGCGGCGGTGCATAATCAACTGTCCACGCGTATACCTGTTGATCTCTGGCATCCCTGGTGTATGCTGCGGAGCTCCTACCCGATGTGGGCCTGGATCTGGCGGTCTGGCACCAGCACACGACTTTGGCTCCGGAGGAATCCTGAGATAAGCTGGTTAGCGCACGCAAATGTATGCTGAAAGCTCAAGCGAGACAAGCACCGGTTATGATAAGCTTCAGTTAACTGTATGTTTCGAGCCGGATGATTCCGCCTAAGTAGATTGGCAGCCTTTATGAGGTGCATTAGAAGGTGACCAGATTAAATTGTTTGCGATTAGGTGGCTAATACCACTTGCTCTCCTCTCAAAAATCAGTGTTCTTTCGTACATTCTCAGTTTACCTAAAAGTTGGAGGTACCCCAAACCTACCAATACTTTAGCTTCATATAATAAATTTAAAATTCTTACAATTATACGTGGAATTTTTTGCGCGAGCAAATGACCAGGAGGATCGACAAGGAGCCGTAGAGTTGCTGGACTCCAGGACTACCAAGCACCAAACACCGGCTCACTGGATAGCCACGAGGGTTTCTAGTGAAATAGGAAACGAACCTTATATTTACTAGCTGACAAAGAGGCAGCTGCGGGATTCGGCTTATTTGATAGAGTTTGCGGCGCTGTTTGGCTTACACTGCTATTGCCATGAACGGTACTTATACTGCACGGCACCAAAATATCGAAAGCTTGTTACGAATGGCTGAGCTTCGAAAAAGCAGTAGATTGGCACATTTCAAACAGAAACGAGCCTAAGCACATACATTTTCAAAGTCCTGGATGTACGTCCGCCATGTAGCCACCGTCCTCGCGCTGCTGTGCGGGCGGAACCAAGACATGGAAGACTACGCCGGAGAGTTATTTTATTGGACCCCGAAAATTTAACACTCGAATATTGATTGTATTTCTGAAAATCAGGCTATATTTTGGTCGGGATGCAGTGTTAAATCGTTTAGTGATCCCTAAACAACGGCAGCATGGCATTGCCTCGAACTCATCATACAATGTGTGCTACAGCCATCGTGGGAATTCCCCTTGATTCTCATTTCCTGTGGGTATTCTGACTGAAATAGCTGCGTTCTTCTATTAATACTGTTTGAAACGCTCTGCTTTAACATTATTAAGTCTACACTCAGTTTTATGCGTAAGTGTTCTGAGGCAACTCGTACCTACATTCTTCCTAGTGCCTCGTTGAGGGCTTGGACATCGGCTACGATGCATGCATCGGCGGTATTGGAATGCATGAAATCGGTCTATGAGCGGCGATGCACTGATGTGCCAGTGAGAATTTCATGTTTTTAGACACGTTTTCAGTGTATTCTATTTTCTCGTAGTAGGAAGTCCACTAATGTAAGCTCTCCGACGACACCGAGGTATCACGCCTCCTAGTCCTTCTGATATGGCTATTCACTGGCTGCGGAGCTATATGCATACCTTTCTCCTGCAATTTTTACCCATCTTTCCTTTCATATCAGCACCATTTTGTGGTTTTACATGCATAGGGAGTGGGGAGAGGGTGGAAACTCTATCGCTGTCCTGCAGACTGATGGTCTCGACGGGCGGGTACGAAACATGAGGGCGTTCGTTACAAAATGGGAAGGGAAGGGAGAGTGGGCGAAGGTACACTTTGATACTTTATGTTACGCAGCTTCTCATTAACCAAGAAGTAGTACGGAATTCAATAATCTGTTTGGCTATTCGCGTATTCTTTTACTGCAGAGTAGCGTTATCTCAAATCATCAGGACGCACTGTTGTGTGCGTATGCGTTAGATGCCATGTGCAGCTAGCGCTTACTGCTTGGAGGTCTTGAACAATGCAGCGAACTGCAGCATATTTCTCCCTGTGCTCTACCCACCTGAGGTCTTCGACATGAGTTATGGACTCTGCAGCTTCGTAAGGGGCTCCCAGGTTCGTGATGTATTAAGCGCACCTCAAGGTTTAACTGCACTCTGTGCGAACAGCCGTGCTTTTGTCCCCTTTTGTTTTGCTTGACTCCTACAGACAGGGATCACCTTTGGGGCCTTGAAAAAGTGAGTTGTAGCATTAATACCAACTAAAGAAAGCGCTACAAGTTAAAATTAAGTAAGAATGTGGTTTCTGTGCTCGGTATAATAGATTCGAATGCTATGGACCTTGTTCGAAGCCTAAGCGTATTTAACTGTGCACGATCTTATGGAATAAGCTTATGAATGTTTTCTGCCATAAGTGGCGTGAGACGTTAGGCATTTGCCAGTAGCAATGCATGAGAGTTCAGATAATTGGAACATTAGGGAGGGCAGCTCCCTGAGGGCCACACACTTTTATAAAACCTCTTATTGCCTGTGGAGCGCTGAAACCCAAGTCAATCACTGTGATTTTAAACTTGGAGGAGTTTGAAGGGCTATTTCAGCGCATTACTTTGCCTTCATCATCTTTTTCGTATTGAGGGGGCAAGAAAGTCTCGTATTGGGCGCCAGGAGAGCTTTGCGCATTGCAGAGGAGCTTATTGTGGAGACCACAGATGTTGGCCCATAATGCTGTTGAGAGGCAGAAGGAAGCTAACCATTAGCATTGTAGCGTTGCCAGGCCTTTAAGAGCTAATGCCGTGTAAGACCGAATTATTGAGTGTCAGATAAGGGACTAGAACCGCATGACTGCACATGGATACCTACGATTGCTGTGGGACTTGCAACTGTCATCTTATGGGAGTGCCAGACCCCTTCATGCAGGGGGATCTTAGTCTCGGCGGCAGATCACGAGCAATAGCTATTTGAAGAGCCTTTTCTAGCAAGTGCCTCGCGTCTGCGCAGGCTCTGATTTCGGTGCTACTCCAGTGGGTTGCAGGTACGTATCCTGGGGCTCCTGCTGGGGCTCCTGCTGGGGCTGGGCAGAATCCCTGTTTGACTATATGAGCTTTCCCGTGCCTAAATGCGACTAATTGGTGATTATTATTAGAAAGTAGCACTAAGCCCCTAGGGAAGGTCAGTGTAAATGCATGCTCAGTTACTCACAAGCTTATTAGGATTTTGAGTGAGTGGGGTTATTGTAGAAAAGGATGGTGTTTCAGACTGCTATAGCTGCTTAAAGCTCCCCGTAGCTAAGCTCAGCAAGGATAGTGAATTTAAATATCCTCATGGCCAAAGAGTCAGCAAACAGAAACATTTTATAATGCAGTTTTTGGTTTATAGCTGAAGCTCCATTGACACCCACTAAAGTAATTGGGAAGCTACTATCCAGCAGCCCAATCTGGACTGCATGCAATAGTGCACGGAGGGAAAAGCGTCGATCGCGAGAAACCTTCACGCTGTTTTATGGATTTTCCAGTTCTCTTGGATCATTATTTCGTTCCTGGTGCGAAGGACGCTTCATTAAGGTGCTTAGGTCTGACTTACAGGCGTGCAGCAGCCGGCCTCTGGTGTGTCAACATTCTTTGAAGTACTATCATCTTCCACTACCAAAAGATATTTTTATCTGACTGCTGCCAAGGATATGTAAACTTTTGAATTTTTTTGGGTACCAAATGGCTTGATCACACTCAGAGACGAAAAAGAAGGAAAGCGTGGGATTCCACCGCATCCTCAACCAGTGGGTTAGCAATTACTGATTTAACCCACCAAGCATTGTCAGATGTACCGCCTCACTGAGAGCCTTCCCAATGGCACTCGCCACCCCAAGCACCCAACAATCCTTACTAAAGTTATCCAGTGCTTCTTTAGAGAATTCACTTCTGTCCGTGCCCTCATGCTTGCTGATTACGGCATGATGGGAGGAAGAGAGCTGAGGCTAACATTGCTGCAGCCTTAAAGCACTCCGACCACCCACAGCTGCACGTAGCATGCAGTCCGCGGCACAACTTGGTTCTGAGCCGGCAACAATGATGTGCAAAATGTCAAAGTAAGTAGCCTACTCTGACATTTTTCAGTATTATATGATGAGTGTAGTAGAAGTTCTAGCTTAGCCTGCTACAGGAGGCTTTGGGGCCCAAACCTATAACAAGATTGAAGGGAAAGTTATTAATCCTCCAGAGGGCTCTCCCGTCACATTGCCGGGGGTCGTAGGCTTCTGATAGGAGCGTAGACCGGAGACCTGAGGTGTGAGCTTTTGTACCTTTTGAGTAGTTTGATCATTAGGATCCACCTAGACTTCCCACCGTTGCGCATAGCCACACAGCGTTCATTCTTATTGTATGAGGTCAACACACTTCTTTGCAACAAACATGAAAGATGAGCAGACAAGCTAATCAGGGAATTCTCAACGAAGTTTTAATTCAGTATAACTGGTGTACCAGGAAGTGCACAAGCTTAGGATGGCCGGGCCGCTACATTGTGTCATTCAATGAGCGACAACTCAGCCAGAAATTATTGTATAAAGGCACACACATACATTGCAGCGCCTTCTTTAGTACCTGTAACACACGTACCGGAGGAAGTGGAGAATGACATATTCCACGGATTAGCATGCCTACGAATACCTGAGGCAGTAGGGAGTTCTGGGGTCAGCCACATGGGCAGACTTAGGTCGATCAACGTGTTGACAGACACAACTAATGAGTTTAAATGCAATGAAACCGGAAGTTTATGAAGCTAGATTAGAAAGTGAGAGATAGAAAATGCTGCATATGGCAGCGGAAGCTCCTCAAAATGAATATTCGCACTGCAGGTATACGACGGCCGGGTTGGTAGTCTGAGAACAACTCCTAGACAAAGCTCATTTCATGCTGCATTTGACTCGTAATTGAAGACGACATTCATAATTATAAATTCTTGGTAAGCATCGTACCCCATGCAGATGGCTGCAGCATCGCATGCCAATCAATAAGGCCCGATGCCTGCATCGACGCCAGCAGCAACCTTAAGGCACCAGGCAGGAGCCTTTCATGAGCGACTCTACTGGTTTTTCACTAAGCTAGTAATGTGATATGGCATGTAGACGGCTTCATTGTTTGATTTCTAGCCAGAGTAAGTGACATGTGTTCAGCTATGTATCGCCAAAGCGCTCATTTGTAGAGCGGTGACATGTGGACTAGCAACCCTCTATGATGCGATTAGGAGCTTCTCTGCTTCTGTCCCGTAATTAGTCAATTAAATCTGCCTTTAGAGGTACTTTGCTCGTTGGGACTAGCTAGAGAAGTGCTTCGAAGCGCTTTCCACAGCTCCCCCGTGCGCTTCAGGCGCCGAGTACTGTAATTTCTTGACCTTTTCCTTGAGGTGACGCTTTGCTATTGGCTTTCTCGGCAAAAAATGAGTCCTTTAGCCACGTTATTTTGTGGTATCCTGGTGGTTTGCTCCTTTGGGGAGCCATATCCGACATTGGCTGCTCAACAGAAGCTTCAACGGGCCCACCCGCGGTTTGGTAAGTACGTCAAAGTACCGTCTCATTCGATTTTGAGCGGCATTAATCTCTATGCGAAGCATGCTTTGGGGGGCCCATTACCTGCGCTTATGCACCTTAACACCTATTGCTTTCCGCGTTTGCAGTATTTGGATGAAATGGTTGTTACGGCTGGCTGTCGTTGCATTGCAGGAAAATGCACCGCGGACGATTTTAGCAAGGGTTTTATCCCAGCTGAAGGGCTAAGCTTTCTTCAAGATGGAGAATCTTCCATGGCGAGCGACGATTGCATGCAGATGGCTGCTGAACAAAACGGCATTTTCTCGTCTGCTATTGATGCCGCTGAGACGCGCGGTGAAGAGGATGGTAAGAAGATTTAGATTTAAAATTCTTATGTGATGAAGGCATGGCAATACGAAGGAGGCAGCAGTCGAATGCGGTTCTGCATCTTCCTCACTTGTGCTGCAATGCTTCCTGGCCGTTGAAGCTCCACTGTGTTTCCAGACATTGGTATTACTGATACCTCTACGGGGGAGGAAGTTGTCGCCCGAGCAGTTAGTCTCTTGAAAAAAGATTCGCCAGCTGGCTCTACACACTGCTTGGGGGTTCAGAGAAGGATCCGGGATCAGTTGGCTAGAGCAGCGCAGAGCTCCACAATCTTTGTATTGGGTTTAGGACCTGAGCTTTACGCGCTATCACAGGTTAGGCCTTAGCCCACCTATCCGCTTAAGTCACAGGAACATGCGATTTAGCAGACTTTAGGAATGGTGTGCCGCTCATGCCAGAGGGCTAATAGAATAGTGCTGCTCACAGCTGTCGTTGTTTTCCTCTCAGTTGGCAACAAACGTCATTGCAGTGGAAACTGATCATTCAATCTGCAAGGAATTTCTTAACTCCAACATGTCGGCCTGCGCAATGCAGACAAATGTGCATATTTATTGCAGTCAGCCTAACTCTAGCCCGGACAATGATGCTCAGTTGATTGGAGGAGGTCAGAGTAGTTTTGAAGCGACAAAGGCGCTCGTTGACGATGTGAGTCAATGTTCGCATTACTGGCTCTCAGTTGCACCTTTTCTGCGACACCACACCGGTTCAGAAGAAGTCCTCTGCTTTGGGGGTATTTTGTTTTGAGTAGTTGCCATACGCGCACTGGTGTTTTATGCGTGCAATCAATTGTGTATGCAGCTCGTCCAGCAGCAGTTTGGCGGCATACCCGTGAGCACTTTAGTGGTCCTCGGTCGTTATCCAGTAGCTAAGCTATTACTCATGTGGGAACATTTGGATCAGTCATCAGTCATTGTAACACGCAGTCGCATGCCTGCCAAGGCCTTGGCAGCCTTAAACGGGTTGATACGCGTCGTGGCTTACTTGGATCCACGATGTCAATCATCGTCACAGTCAGTGAGCCTCATCATTTGTCCCAGTTCAGGATTTCATTCAGTTGGCTTACTCTGTACATGTTCATTCAGTGTGACCTGGAGGAATGGAGCAAATAGCATCCACAGAATGCTGAGCTCATGCCTGTGATCCTGTGGCTCAGATCGCATCTATTTTGCTAATGCAAAAAATGTTTAGCCCTCCGATTAATGAAGAACTTTGGATGAATTATGTGACCCCTGAGTGGGAACTAGAGGATAACAAGGCACCGCTTCAGCTCGTCGCAACCGCCCACCAGGCAGTGGAATCGCTCACCTCCGAGGAAAGTTTGGACCCCTGGAAACGTAGGGCATTATCTACCTACTTGAACGTCCATGCACAAGCGGCGAGAAGGGCCTCTGATGAAGATTGGCCAAGAGTCAAAACAGCCATTGACTCTGTTCTGGATAGCGCTGGTCGGGGAAAAAAGATTGATGATGTGCTTGTAAGGAAATATGACCCTAGTGCTTCGAGACCCTCTGTATTCAAGCATGAAGGCCAAGCAGAGGACAGCCTGACGTGAATGTGTGCGGTCTAGCTACTGACAAGTGTGCGGATTGTTGTCACTCAGGCAGTAGCAAGAGGATTTGCTACCCAGGTAGCCCAGGCGGCTGCGATCAGCTCAGGGCTGCAAGCTTACTTGCAACTTCTTCTTGCAACCCTTGCTAAACAAGGTCTGGACTCCGATTCCTTTGTCCACTCAGTCATTTGCGAGCTTATCCTCGAGGCGGAAAGCCTTATTTCATCGAGTAAGCCATTGTGAACAGCCAGAAGGTACTGGGTAGTGCAAACGGTGACATACCATCAATTGGATAACTCTTCTTGTGAGAATGTCTTCTAGAGTTTCCAGGTAGCTTTTAACGAATGAGTGTGTTCCGCTTATGTCGAAGTAAGTAGCTTGTCGTGTTTTTCTTTGACTGTATGTGCCACAGCTAACATTCTGGATATGACAAAGGATGCGATTGAAGAGGCCTGCGAAACGGCTGAGAAAAACAAGCAGTTGTTTTTGCCAGGACTTCGCTTAATCCAAGAAGGGCTTTCGAGTGAGAGCTCCATGGGTCAGATACTCCAGCTCCTCCTGAAGCTTAGAGATTTAGGGCCGGAAGTTGATGTATCCGCGCTGATTGAGATGTCCAAGGCCTAAACGTTTTGATTGTTGTGTATCGAACATAGTGGCTTGCGAGCTCTGTTGCATTACGCACATTCGTTTTGCCTATTACCGGAAATTATGGTTGAAAAGTTATGGGATGAAGCTCAAGTTTGCTTGCCGTAGTGAGCAACGGCATTGCATAGTAGCTCTTCCTGTCTAGGGAGCATCGGTATATACAATCAACTCATTAGAGAGGCACTGAATGCAGGTTCTTGTGGGATCCAATTATATTTCAATGTCCAAATGTGACGTTTTTTTCTTTGTAATGGAGTTCAAGGCAACAGTTCCTTGAATTTATATCCAGCAACAGTTGAAGAGTAGCTTTTGCTTCGCCGGATAGATCGGTTTCTGTTCCACCATTGCTGAAAGCTGTAGTAATCATGATGTGGGATTACTTCAACAATCAGCGAAGTGGGTTTCTGAGGGAAATCCAGCCATTCGTTTTTGTTTAAGCATGTGTCTGCCCGAAATCTAATGATCTGGAGCGCCCATCGTGTGATCTTGAACGAGCCTTTCATGGAGACCTCGTGTGTGTAGAGATGAGGACTGCTTGTTCCCCAAGTCCTCAGTTAGAACAGCAGCTTGTTGGGGTTGGCCGCTGGTAGGTTGACTGCAAGCTGCTACTAGCGTCTACCTACGATGCGTATCTGCAAAGGCTGCACTCTTGTGGAAGGTGCAGGCGCAGGTTTATCTTCGTGTAGTCTGCACAGATGCGCTGTGTTCGTGGACGGCTGGGGGCGTTAAAGATATCAATGCCTCCTTTGGAAGGGTCACCAAAGGTGGCAGTAAATTCCTATAGTGGGTTGTCGACATCGGCGCTTACACCCAAACGCCGCACATAAACCCTTTATTGCGCACCTGATTGGTTAAATCTGAAATTTGTCTACTTACGAGGAACGCAATAAGCACTGGGGACTCGCGGCGCAAAGTGTGGGGCGACGTTTGCGAACTGCAGCGGTCGGCTAGAAAAACAGTTCCAGAAGGAACACGACTCGCTGCGTCACATTTCGCCGTAAGGGTGGCGTAGGATCTTGCATCAGCTTAAGCCAGGGGAAGTCATTTCGGTATGATACTGGAAAGTGAAGAAGCGGCTTGTGCCGGGACGCTCATTCCCGCAGCATGGAATTTTCCTGGGCACTTACAGGGCGATTGCCATGAGTTGTTCAAAGTGCCAGGGGACCAAGCGCGGTCAGCTCGTGGTTTTGCACCACAGCGACCGCTCGAATTCGCATGCCTTGTAGTAGCCCACGTGCAGTAAACACAAATCCCTTAACCGTAGCTTATTTCACAGTGCTTTTCAAAGAAAGCGTTAGTGACGTCCGCAGCAACTTAGAATGCAGCACTCGAGAGTAGTCAGTTACTTGTCTTGGAAGTTTTGGAGTGCATTGACACTCTTCCTTAGGTGCCCTTAGCCCAGTCGTCGCTCTCAGCGATGGGATACCTCATAGGCCAGTAAGACACACCAGCGCTACGCCATTTCTAAATAACTAGTTCTCTACAGCGTAACCCATACCGAAAAAGCGACCCTATATTCGAGCATTCTTTGCACACCAGATTCCGGTGAAAGCAATACCCCAGTGTACTACAAGCAGTCACCTTTCTGTGGTCAAGTTCGGACAAAAAATAATTTGATCACTCCATTCCATAGCCGATGCCAACTACTGCGCACTGCAATATGCCTCAAGTATCATGCTGCAGCGGGAACATCACATTATGCAGCAGGATGAACGTACTGTCCTGTATACCTTTAGATTCACTCTTGTACACAATGCAACGCTATGCTAGCAAATCGAAGGTCTCAGGGGAAGATCAGCAACGGGGGGAGCAGGATTTTCTACAAATTTTCCCACTGACGGCGCAAAATTCACTGTCCATACCATGCTTACCTCCCAGGAATTAGTGTGAAATCGGCGGCGGTAGTGATTGCGATATCTGCACAAGAACTGATGTAGCACGGCCACACCTTTGGAAGATGAATCCCATTTTGCGGTGCCAATGTGTAGCTGGTCGAGCACTCTGTGGCAGTTGCAGCTCTTTTCAAGCTAGGGCCGATTCGTCGCATTATCCTTTCCTTGCACTCTGCGTAGACCATTGAGTAGTTGTTGGTAATAGACGCTGGGAATGAGCCATCAGAGCCAAAAAGCGCTGATAATATCAATACTGACTCCGTGTATGAGCTGGTGATACACTGGTCAGCGTAGCGTCTGAAGTTTGTAGACCTCTTCAACTTGGAACCCTCCTGTAGCGAAGTCATGAACATGCAGCCGCACTGTGCTGGTGTACGGATTTTGTTTGAAATTTGAGCAAAATTGAGTAACACAGTAAATCATTAGCAACTTCATAGTGGCGGGTGGAACTCGAGAAGAGTCGTGGCCTTACTCCAACAGCGAGCACCGCCAGTGCAACGTCCCAGATAGCCCATGCAAGGGCCGGTGTAAGGCCAGGGTACAAATTGCGGTATTGCCATACAAGACGATCAAGGTGAAGTAGCTTCCGGCTAGCCGCTGAATTAGACTCTCGAAAGCGAAACCACTGAGCGGCGATCCTGAAAAAGAGGCCCACAGTTTGCAGACTGGTAGGTGAAAGTAATGGAGGAAAAGCGCATTCCCAAGGTTTGTCCGCAGCACATCTCCACATGAGTCAGCTGCAAAGAAGTACGACATGAGCAGAACGAATTTCTGTATTCATACCAATGAGTTTTGAAAGTTAGTCTTATGACAGAGTCAACAACTAGCCTCTCGTGTTTATCCAGCATATTCCACATTTTTTTGAGTATCTGAAGTAACGTTTGTACGTCGAGATGGCGCAGAACCTTGTAAGCTCCTGCATCTGCTATAGGCAGTCACCGAAGAGAGGCAAAAATGTGCAAAAGCAGGCAGTCAAAAGTCAGAAAACTAATCTACTTTGAGTCGGCATGACCACGAATATGCGCACTATACAGTAAAGCTGAGAGCTTACCTGCATCTTCACTTTCGTCTGAGTACAACGACTGGGGAATCTCCGATCGACTAGATCCACCAGAATGACTCATAACGGGTGAATGGCCAACGGATTCACTGCCCAGTTCATCCACGGTGGTGGCTGCAGCCTCCATGGTTTTCTCTACAGCCAATGCCCGCTTTTTCTCATGTTCCGTCCATGTAAAGTGGCACACGCAGCAGCGACCGGTCCGCGGAATCTGCAACGCTCGATAGGCCACTTGAGGGGAAGTTAAGTGTAGCACTTGATTCAGTTCTGCAGGTGATCCCAATTCAGATACAGTAGCACCCTCAGACAGTGCCTTTTCCCTGGGAAGCAGATCGCCGTTAGCTGAGCAGCTCTTCCCCTCATTCGCTGATGCATCAGCCCCTCCAGCAGCACTACTATCAAATATTCCAAGTTTGGTTTCTTCAGACAGCAACCGAGACCAAATGGTGTATAATTTGATGTCTCCTGAAACTCCTGAGTTCTTCATCCCATCCATATGTGCAGCAGACCCGCGGGCGGTGTCAGGATACAGCTGCTGGGGTGCAAGAGACTGTCGCCAAGAATCTGGTCCTCTCTCGTTTGGAATGGAACAATCATACATGTTGTCCTTGGCCGACCTTGGTAGGACAGCCGCTGGCTGTTCTTCGTCCGGATCCATAAGCAGAGTACCCCTAAAAGCGTTCCTGGATCCAGTTTCATCAGCACTGCGCATAACAGTCAGCCGGCCTGAATTTGTCTGGAACGGGCACCCCAAATCAGCCTTTATCAGGTGCTAGTAAGCATGGTATTGAGTATCGGTTTGTATTCACAACACTAAGCACATGGGGTGGCAAGGGCAACTGGTAATATGTACTCTTACTGAACGTAAATGACGCCTTTCCGGCAGCCAGGACAGCGGAAGCCGCGCGAAAAGTCTACAGGAGAGGCACACCTAACGAGACACACAAGCAGCTCCGTTCACATAATGGAAAATCTTCAGAAGCCAGAAGTTATTCACATGTGTAATCATCTGCCACAGTCCATGCCAGAGTCCCACCTTTCGCACATGCAGTTGAAGTCCTTTGCTCCGTCAAGCAGTTCTCGGCGGTACGATGTGTTACGTAACATATCATCCTCTGACAAGTACGTCAGCGTGATTTCGTCACCGGCGCTGTAAACATTGAAAATTCCTCTTGTGATACAGCAATGCTGACGATTCAGTGGATGACTATAATATTGTATCCTAGCTATCAAGGCGGAGTCAACCCCATCATTCCTTCTATGGATACCTCTTTGCACTCGTTCCCAAGGGCACAGAACATGAAGGTCCAATATTGCAGTCAACTAACTAGGCCTAGGCTGGTTGAAATGCTTGTTTTTAGACCTTTTCCTGCCTTAGTTATCCGCTTACCTTATGGTGGCTCGGGGGAAAAGCCGAAAGTTGGAGTCGTTGTCCGTGCACCATAGGGCATTAGGGAGACACGAATGAGAACAGAAGGAAGGCATGAAGTAAATGGCGTACCCTTCGGGGGACCTATGGTGTTCGAAGCAATTGTGGAGCCAAATCTGGGGAAGACACGCACAACGGCAGTCCTGATTTGTCCGGGGACCACGCCATGTTGTGTAGAATTACTTAATCTGCTATTTCAAGGGAGCCTTACTTGTATCATGATTTCCATATCGATGTCCTTCACTATCCCACGTAAGCCCATGGAGTCAACAAGAGTGATGGCTGCAATTCAAAACCCATTGCGATGCAAGAAAAGTATGGCTCGAGTTGATCAAACTAATTCATGATGACCAAAGAAAGTGCATTTTCCAAACACGTACCCTCTGAGCTTGGTTTGGTACCTTCTGGTATAAAAAGGATGCGAAGAAGGTCCCACTGCCTCTTTGTGATGGCCTTCAGGCCCTCAACAGGAGGGTCATCCTCCACCAGAACCGAATTCAGCGCGCACCAATACCTGTAAAAGGCCATATAAATAGCGTACCAGTAATTGTGCAATGCGGGTTACTCACCCGCGAGCAACTGTGGCGGTACTGAGTCACCTTTCACATTAATTTTGATACGCTCTCGTGGCAGCCTCACCAAATTGGAGGGTGCAAGAAGGAGCATTTGTCACACAACTCCATCAACTTCACGCAGGTCGGGTTGCTTGGATCAAGCCTGACTGCGTGAAGAGGTGGCTCCTCCAGAATAAGCTCACCAATTGCAAAAGGTCTAGTCGCATAAAGCGTTCTACCTTTGATAGGATCCACGGTACAAACAAGCTTCCCGTCGTGTTTATCATTGCAGTATTTGTTAATTATCAATGTGGAGTCTTCAAGTGAGGAAGGAAAGGGTTGCATCTTGTCCCTATGCCCTGGCTCAAGGGCATTTTTTTCGTAGCTATCGAGGGAGATAACTCAAATTCAGTTGGCAAATAACACAACTAACTACACGGGGCAGAATTGTGCTGAGACGGAAAGCCAAAGCAGTGCACCGCCCCTATGGTGTAATCACAAGTCAATGAGTGGATTTAAACGACCTTCCTGTGGGCATATTGAGGCAAACGAGAATGCGAAACATCTTGTGGGGCTGTGCATACTGGGGCCCCCTCTTAATCAAATGCATGTCTGCACAAGATATGTTGCGGTTTTGTACAATCTGATTAACGAATCTCTTTTATATATGCATTATATGCTGCTTTTCCATGAGAATGCCGGTGGATATGGGCTGTGGTTGGCGACACTGCTCTGGAAAGTCCTGCAATTGTTCACGGCACGCGGCGCTCCGTGCTATTGCCTGCAGTACCTGTTTAAAATTTTCCATTTCTAACCAGATTTCAGGCTCTTGACCCTAGGGGCGGCCTATTCGTTTCTGGAACATAGGGGCCTAGGCTGTCACAGAATACGCAAAACGAATGACTCGACATCCCGATTGGATTCGGAAAGGCTTTACAATCATTTTTGCCGGGCCTCCAGGATCTGGCAAGGGAACCTATGGAAAGATACTAGCAAAGCACTGGGGTATCTGCCATGTTTCTGCTGGAGACCTAATTCGCGGGGAGCTAGCCAATTTCTCTGCTGGCGTACAGTTGAAGTCCAGTGTCGAAGAGGGCTTGCTTATCCCTGACAGCATCGTTGCCCAATTGTGCAAGAACTATATGTACAGCAACTCAGGTCATAAATCCTGGATTCTCGACGGTTTCCCCAGGACACTCCCACAAGCTGAAATGCTGCGGGGTTTCGCCGGGCCCCACGTATGCGTGAATTTCCGCCTGCCAAGCAATATACTTTTGCAGAAGCTCTTGGCTAGAAGAGTATGCAAAAAGTGTGGGGAGAATTTCAACACCGCAGATATCCGCGATACACCATATGAAATGCCTGCCATATTGCCTAGAAAGGACTGCAGCAAATGTGGTGGAAATGCTCCGTTAGTCAGCCGTGTAGATGACACACTTGAAACAATCCAAAGACGACTAGACACACATGAAAAACTTACTAGGCCAATGCTTGATCAGTACAACGTGGAAGGTATATTATTGAATTTTGACGTAGTGAAGGGCATCGCCGATATTGCAAGACTGCAGTCAGCGATTTGTTCATTTCTGCACAAAAAATATGGTGCGAGAAGTGACAGTGTTCGTTTCAGCTAGTGTCAACGAACGTGTATTTCAGTGGTAACGTTCTCAAAGTCCCTGAAACTGCAGATCCCTGTTTTTCAGCAACAAGGTCTGCGCGCAAACGGCTTCGTCTAACCATTCCAATTTCTAATGGTGCTAACATATCGTTTATCTCTTTTCTTTATCCCTTTAGTGCTCATAGGCACTTTAGCTCCTTATTAAATGCAGTGTACGAACGCACCAGAACAGTGCGCGCGTGGGTATTCTCTTCATGGTACTCATGGGCGTACATGGTCGTTCGTTAACAATGGGGCGAGTTCGCATCTGAACCCAGCTTGAAGATGCGTCTCGGAATATTGCTAGTTGCTGCTACGTCACTTGTAGTAGCGGATACTTCGGAGATCCCGCCAAGGTCACGGAGAATCCGGTCGACGCATGAAGCCAACATACGTCAATTAATCGAAAACGATGGTGTCAGCTCAACTTCTAGCTTCACCTTACCAGATTCTGCCATTCAGAATGAGAAAATTGAATCCAAAGGTATGAATTTTCTGCGGTTTCCCTGCTGTCCTTGGACATGGATTCAGGTGTAGCGCCTGCTGATTCGGGAGTGCGAATGCCGAAGTTTGTTGGGGGTAAGAAAATTTGTATGGTTTCGTGTAATACCATTAATATTTATGTTGAGTACAGTTCCGAAGGAGGAGTATGACGATTTCAAGAAATCCGTAAGGGTGCCGGCATCGAATAGAACGCCCGCCTGAGTCATGAAATTTATCAGATCCGAGCTTTGACGAAGCTCCTAAAGCCTGAAAACATAGAAACGCTGAAACAAATCACCAAGGCTAACGTGACCGATTCGGCGAGACAGGCGGGCATTCGGGGCTACGGGTTCGCTCCTGACAAACTTGCAGTGGGTTGGAGATTTTTAGTGGCGCTCAAAGTCTAGCATGTTTCTCTGGTGCTCAGTCACTCGTTCAATCTGCCATATCGGCTCGACAACCTGGTGGAGATGCTACAAGCCGTAACACGTCCATGCAGACATGGGTTCAACAGTTCACTCAAGTTCCTGGAGCTGCCTCGTTGCAGGCAATAACTCCAGACCTTCAAATGCAGCAGAATCAATTGCTAGCAGGGATACCTCAAGCATTGGCCACTCCCACTATCCCGCCACTCTACTACCCGAGTATGGTATCGGCGCAGGTATAGTCTGATCATCAATACCTGCCCCAAACCTGTTCGGAACATCGTAACTAGATGCAGGATCCAAACTTTAGGCAGCTAAGCTCTCCCTTTTATCAGTCTCTTTCTTACTTGCCTATGGCTCCCCAATCTGCATACAACTCTGAAAGGTGAGGCTCGTCTACTGCACTACGGGGGGATATTTTTGTTTACCCTCTTGAACGTGACAGGCCGGTAGAATTCACAAGCCCACTTCAACTATCAACGCTCGGATGAACAGCGCTCCTATATCTGGCTTCAGACTTGCGCTCAAGTGAGATTCTTATCTTCAACCCCGATACTGTCCTCCTCTTTCTTCGCTTTTGACACGGAGAGATTCTGTACCTAGCCCGGGCAAGCCTTCTCCCCTCCGGCCTCCGACTCGTACCCCATTCAGCAACATGGGCACCAGGGACCCATCCAGTGCAACTGCAAATGCGTTTTCTTTAAATCTATTCATCTATAGTTCCACGAAAACGCCAAAAGCGAACACACAAGCCGTTCAACACACTAGACTACATGTATACGCACACACTCTGGCTGGCTTGTCGGGCCCTCCACAAAACTTTGCCTTGCTTTGAGCTTCCTACAATCTGTTTAGACCCATAGATTCGTGCTCCACCATGCGTTTGGTGCGTGGCTGACCAGGATTCTAAGCAATCGGCATGCATACCTGCTAATGGAAACTCTCTACGAAAAATAGAATGGTGCTGGACATACATTTATAGACACTGGCTGGCATCATTGCGGCTTTGTTTCTAATTGCTGTGGAAAAATGGCTATCTCCAGGGAAAATAAAGATATAAGCAAAATACTCCTCATCATTGGAAATCGGTGACATGAAAAGACTTATACAGGCACTGCGCCGTACCGCGAGTGGCTTAACAACTCCATATCCTTGATTGGTAGAATTATACCTTGTATAATTGGTGAGTTTGCTACTTCTGGGCCCTAGTTTTGAAGGTTTACGACCTCCTGGTCCCAATAGTGGGTCCCTTCGACCGGCAATCCTGAGCGCTCCGCATGGAAATGCCCACGAAACCTGTTTGGCAGGCCGTATCAAGGCGATGGTCACTGCCAAAAACACATAATTGTGCAAAAATTGAAGAGTTTCATTCATAATTAGAGAGAACGTACTTCGAGGCAGGGCTGATCGCTGCATCGCGAAACAGCTGACTAGATCGTCTCCACAGCTTCCCTGGCAGCCGAGCCCGGTAGACTGGTAATTAGGGATCTTTTTGCTACTTTCCCTCTTTTTTGTAGCACCATACTGGCTAATCTTCGGATTTCAAAGTGCTTGGGGCAAAGACAACGCTCTGCTGTACAGATGAGTCTGTAGGCGTAGGCGTATGCCCGTGGCAGGGAATACCTGGCACTAAACATGCACACAAGAGGACAGAAGTTCCATCAGAGCCGGCTAATGTGGTAAAATTAATCAATTAAGCCAGTTTTGGAAGACCTAAGTGAGCTAGCGCCGCAGGCTGTCAGCGCGGGAAGCGTGAACCACAGGATGACCATCGTTGTCCTCTCTAGAAAGATGCTCAGCGCAAACGAGGCCGCCTCTGTATTTTAGATACTATTTGAGCGGAAACAAATCCTTATTCCGCCATCTATCCGTGCCTGACTGCCCCATTTGTTTGCGTCTCCCAGCACTTTGACAGCAGCTGCTATACAGAGCCGCCAACCAGTTTTTGAAAGACAACGAAGACTGCAACAATCAGTTATGCAGATAGCATTGCCATGGTACTGTAGCGGTGTCTCTGCTGGACTGGAATGACGCCGCCACTCAGGCCCAGCGACAGCTGCAACGCCACGATGTGGGGACCTCAATTCGACAAAGGCAGTTTTCCTAGGGTGCCTCTTGGAGTGCAAGGCGGAGGGTCTTCCATGCACAAAACTGGCTCAGGCAACAGTAATTCACGCCGGCCTTCCCCGTCTTCCCAGACTTCTGGGCCCTCGAGATTAGCTGTGGCGTACCGTGTAGTCAAACACTGGGTCGAGGATCTGCTAATCTCAGACCTTAACCCAACTGTGAACCACGTGTCCAGGCCTTCTACGGCCTCTGCCGATGCACCTGTTTCTCTTGCTTCAGCTGGATGTACGACTATCCCACGGGAAAGCAGGCGGGAAAGCAAGGCAGGTATTGCTTCAGAGTTCAGTCATTCCAGCAATTCGGTTATTCCCTTGAGCCACACGCACTCTCAAGATGTAGGAGCACCCCCTACAACCATCCCAGTCTCTCTATCTGAAGGCTTATGCCTCTGTAGCAGTGGCCCTCCTTGGCAGGTTGTTCCCGCTTACCTGTCCCCGCGGTGGCCCCCCGCCAGGAGTCATTTTGGAGAAGCGCGGCACGGCCGCAGCAGCGACCGGCTGTCCCCTCAGCAGGCAGTGACATGCTCAATGCTGGAAGTGTATGCGTCGCCGGAGATTAAAGAAGAGCCAGAATACAAGCCTAGAGTTCAAGACGGGAGAGTGTCAAGCATTGGCCACCATGAACTTTCACCCCATGCCGCCAGAGCGGTGGGGGAGGTCGTTCTCGCCAAGTCAAGTGCGCTGACTTCCCCCTACGTTGGAAAAGCTACAGCAGTTGCCGGCTTTCCAGCTAACAGCACTAGCACCCATAGTCAGCAAAATGGCTTTCGGACTGGCGCAACAAGGGGGAGCAATGGTAATGTGCTGCGGGTCGAGGCTGTAAATATACCTGATGCAGGCGGAGGAGCTCCTAATGGAGAAAAAAGCTGCCTACAATATAACCCCTTCAAAGTCAGATGGGGGAACATCAGTACAGAGCGTTCTCCGCAGGGGAGGCTGCGAGCTTCATCGCTTTATAAATCGGCGACAGACTGCGACTTATCCAGCGCTGTGGAGCCACGAAAAGCCCCTTATCAAGCTCAGCAACCAGTAGAACGTCAAGGCCCACAGTTTGACATACCCCTTGCTGGGACTGAGGGCAATGCCCAGACTAGCGGCGGGTGCACAAAGATGCAGGGACTTCAAAACGCAGACAGCCTCCTGTGGCGCATGAAGGATCGCTTATCTTCGACGTTTTGGTGTGTTCAATGCTTCGTAATAAAGACAGGAAAGCTCACAGCAGATGCTTTCCGCATCTCTCAGAGCGGCGTACTGTAACGCCTCCTGCTTCTGCCAGTACTTGAAAGCGAAATTGGTTGTACTCCGATTCTTCTGTTTTGTTGCAGGAGTAAAACGAGTGGTGGTAGCAGAACCCACCTGTTTAAAGAGCCTGCAGAGTATCCAGTTCGTGCCCATCGAGCAGTGGATAACGTTTACAGACAAGAAACCTTCCCCCAGAAGAAGGATCCCCGATTCCATCGGCATATGACCCTGGTTTTCAAGGATCCTGAGGTGGAACGCTCTTACGGGGAGTTTCTGCGGCACGCACGCGTCAAACGCCTCGTAATTGTCGGAGTACTGACTATCCTCTTAAACACGATGTACGACTTGCCAGAGTGGATTATTACTCTCTCTGCCCCAATGCTGAGTTCGGTGGGACAAACCGTAGGGGAAAGTGATTTCTCTTCAGTATCGAATCAGTTGGCATCTCGGGACTTACGTTCCTCCTTAGCTTGGTTGCTCGTATTCCTGGACGTTATTGAGGTGCTTCTCCAGGTACTGCTTGCAGCATCGGGCTACCTTCCACTTTTAAGGAACCACACAGAGATAACCACAGTCACAATAATACTGAGCACCTCTCTCCTCAGCTCAGTTCGCCCCTCATTGGTCCTCCTGCTTCATGAATCTGAGGCAAGCTCTGATGGACTGCATGGACAGGTGAGAAGGTGCCCTTTTTTCCCAACAGCAGCAGGTTACTACACAGGTAGTAAAGATTCCATCTAAGCAACACAAGCTCACTCAGTCCTTCTCTGAGTGAAAATCTTCTGGCCAAATTGTTTGTGAATACTGCTCTCGTTGTACAGGGGCTAATAACTCCAGTACAAACTATCATGACTTCCACTTTTTTGAGGAGTATCGTGGGAAGCGTTTTAATCGACTTGGTTTGTTTAATACGGAGAAGAAAGCTCTACCACTTCCACAAGCTCCTTTCGCTCCTGCTTTTAAGTCTCCTAGTGACCTGCACAGTCGGAGGCGTGCAGCTTGGGTTTCCATATTCGTTTTTCGTCTTCTCATGGACTGTCGGACTGGCAACAGGCGTTGTTATCGCAGCCTGCCATGCAGGCGCCTATATGAGTGAATTAATGCATCGTAAGGCATTCCATAGCGTTTCAGCTATTTCAGCAAAACTGCAAAGAATCGAGGAAGAGAATAAATCACAGCGCGCCACTGGAAAGAACATGCTGGAACAGCTCGTAGGACTGCTTAAGCAAATGGGAATCTCTCTGAGCTCTATTGATCCTAATAGCTTGGAAATGCCAATAAGAGACACTCTCCTGCAGGTCACTGCACTTCAATCCAAGTGTTTGGGGGTTCTCACCAGTGGAAGGGATATGTATGCTGTCAACTGGCTCTCGCCCGAAGTCCCACCCGAGATGCAAGTGTTGTATAAGAAATTCATCGAACCCTACGTGCGCCAAGATTCCATATTAGCGGGTGCACATGATGTGCAAACTGTCTCTGCTGTAAACGCGTTACGCGGAAGATCCCGCACAGACACCAGTTTCCCTACTGGGACCTGCCGGGTAGCAATCACTCCTCGTCAACAGGAAGGTGCCCATCACGAGCCGACTTCTGAAGCAGCTGCTTTTCAGCCACTAGATATTCCTATTCATGAAGGCATCTGCTTGCCTGAAGTGGAATCTGCATACTTGACACCTAACCTGGGATTGGCCGATGCTACTGCGGTTGCGTGTAGTACCTTGTGGTCACTGCCTACACTAGCAATGAAGAATACGGAAAGCAAAGAGACTACGGATACAGCTCCGGAAACTCACGCCGAGCAAGGAACAACAGCGCAAGACAATAGTGAAAATCTACACGACGTCACAAACCTCCAAAACCAAGACTCACGTGAAGATATGCGGCATACCCCAGTAGGACATGCCAAGCGGAGAGACGCCGTGACCCGAAGCACCGTAACCGTATCTGGGTTACGAGCGGATATCCACAGCGCGGTTGAACTCACTGAAGGGGGTTGTACTCCACAGGCGAGCCCACTCTGGGGAGAGTACTTCGCAGAGTCGGACTCAGCAATCGAGGAGGCTCTAAAGTGCCCATCTGTCAGTAGCACCATTGGAACCATAGGGACTGAGTGGACTATCGACATGTTCGCTTTAGACCGGGCGACAAATGAAAATGTAAGAAGCTGCAATCCAGCCGTTTTGTTACTGCCTCACCCTCGGATTGGCTATATTGCAAGTTCTGTAGGCGCTTTGCATTTGCGGCTTTCCCCACACTGTTTTAATGTGTCCTGTGCTTTCTTGCGCTTTGTGTCGATCTACCTAACTCAGTGCCTCGTACTAGTCGGATTGCAGCTCATGTTGCCCCACGTAAGAGACGGTGGCCTAGCCTGCTCCCCATCTGCTCTTTACGCTTTCCTCAAGTTGCTGCAAGACCAATATCTTCCAAATCTCTACCACAATCGCTTGCACGGTGCCATGGTTGCACACCTCTCAGTAATGCTGTCTCGAATAGCTGGGCTTTCCCGTACGTGTCAACTTCGTCTGGGAAGCCCCACCGAAATTCTTTTAGCGGCTGCCCCTTCGACGCAAACCCTAACACGTGGCAATACCGTGTCATGCAAACACGTGCCCTCACGAGAGGAGAGGCTCCTTCTGCCGAGTACAAGTTCCGTCACTCATTTGGAAGCTTCGGTGGCCTCTCGGAAGGCGCTAGACGATGAACTAATCATGTGTATTGCCGCTCTTGGCCATGATGTTGGGCACCCAGGGCTCAACAATGCTTTTCTAGTGTCAACTAATCAGTCCCTTGCTCTCGTCTACAACGACAACGCCGTCCTGGAAAACTACCATTCATATATCACTTTTAAAACAATATCAGCCACAGCAGGTGTTGATGGAGGAATACTAAAGGTTCGCCAAGAAAAGTGTAATTTCCTACAAGATGGCAAAATACAAGATTGCACTGCTAAGACCGAATTCCTTCTTCTTCAACTAGGGAGGCTATAAACGCGCTGGGGCACATCATGCTTTTTACTCAGGGGAAGTGGGCTGCTGAAGGGGTTGCTTTGCGTGCAGGGACTCTCTGCAGGGGCATATCGACAATTTAGGAAGCAAGTGATAGAATTGATCCTCGCGACTGACATGGCGCAACATTTTCCCATTCTCTCTTCCTTCCGTGCACGCATTGCATCCCCAGCCTTTTCAGTCTCCTTCAACGAAGAAGATAGGTGGATGTTGGCAAAGCTGCTAATAAAAACAGGAGATATCGGACACTCCATGCTGGCCTGGGAGCAGCATTACATCTGGGCCAGCCGAGTTAATGAAGAGTTTTGTAAGCAGGTATGCTCGCCACGTACCACACGCACTAACAGCAGGCATTTCCCCCCTTTAAAAAGCAAGCGGAACACGTCAACGAATCAACTTCCCGCACTGGAGCAAAATAGGGAGAAGCAATAGACCCTTGCTCTGACGCTTCTCTAGTTAGGTCGTCCAGCAGAAACTTCATACAAGAGCTCTGCGCGTTCATTACCCATCTGCAGGGTGACGTGGAAGAGCGGCTAGGACTTGCAATATCGCCCCTCTGCGACCGTCGAAAGGCAGCCGAACTACCTGCAGCCCAGTGTGGTTTCCTAGAATATATTGTGCTGCCTCTTGCGACGGAAATAAGGTCCTGCTTGGAACGCCAAGTGGGAACGCCGTTGGCGCATGCCAGAAGTGCATCACTGGAGCCTATCAGCACTGCGCTCTACTTGATGGACGGTGTGATTGCCCACGCGAACTACAATCTGAGGTGCTGGAAAAGCATGACTACGCCGTTGACACCACAAAAACAAGCAACTGCCGGTCCCACAGAACCAGTGTTGGTCGAAAAGGAGCACGAAAGCCTAGGCCGAAACGCAAACAGACGGGCTTCTACAAACTCTGCCGCACCTGACTTGTGAACTTACAACCGCCTTTCGTCGCACGGCTTTAGGGCCAACGACACAGATGCTGTAGGATGTGCGGCGGGCAAGAGGCTTGCGCCATAACGACTTTCTTACGCCTGTGCAGTGTGCCACCAACGGGTGATAGCTTCAACATAATCCATGCTTCTCTGCCATAAGATGCCAAACGCTCGACCCAAAGCAGGCTAGAATCCATTCAACTTGCAGAATAAAACAGCGCATATTTTTCTCCAGAGCACTTACTGCAGCGGAGGAGTGCGCGCTTAAGCAACGACACACACTTCGTGTCAAATAGGAAGTGGCATCCTGCTGAAGTCGCGAACGTAGCTATATGAGCCCCTGTGGATACTGCATGCTCGAAATTATTTGCGCGGATTCGAGCGTGACGAATAGAGGGCATCAGATTAATCACCCCCATTGCCTATCATGTCAACTAAGAAGCTTACCCGCCAACTATAACTAACGAATGCCTACATGGAAAAGGCTATAGCCTGAGCGGTTTTACAAATGAGGTTCTATCAAAACCCAGCTGCCTAGCCGTGCAAAGATTCGGCCGCACTATGACGCGTGGAAGCCCTGGCCTCTCACCTGGGGCCCAGCACAGTTCGATTCCCCGTATTAGAGGGAAGGCCCTTGAATGCACCAACGATGCTATCCGCATACACATGGGGCGCGTGCCAGTAACCACGATTGGGTGACAATGCCAAAAAGCGATATCCTTCTTTTTCTACAGCCTCTCCCTGACTTTGTTAAGGAGGCCCGGGAAATGTTCGGCATGGTAGCGGTAGTCTAGTACCATGTTTTTTCATTTTTATCCCAGAAGACATGGTTGTTGGGATACTCTGGCTGCGGGTAGGGGGGCATGCGGGCAAGCTGGCAAACGGGGTTCTCCTTGCGCACGAACTCTGAACGATAAACGGTATCCCCATCAAATGGGAGGGATGGGGGAAGTACGACCTGCTGTGGGACAGGGGGCTTGGGCAAGGGCTTTGGCCCGAACTCTTCGCGATATGCGCTGTTTGCCTCGAAGGGTAGTGATGTCGGAAGTGCCACAGGAGTAGGGGGTACGACCTCGGGCAGAGGCTTAGGACAATAGTCCGACCTGAGTACCAAACAGCTTGAGGCCCTTCCATTAGTGAACTATAACAGCGGTAGTGATAAGTAGGTGAATACCCTAGGAAAGGCCCTTTTTCCTACGGTGAGCTCATTAGGGGGTGGGGAGGTGGATACAGTGGCAGGAACTTTCGTTGTCAGCAGGCTTGCTCTAAACCAGTGCTACCTTAACTACAAGCTTTCATGCTGTTGGGGGGAAAAGAAATACCTGTACGAGGAGTTTGCCTCAAAGGGGAGGGATGGCTGAAGCTTTACTTCCATTGGCTTTGTAGGCGGCGGAAGGGGTTTGGGTCCATAGTCGCTTCGATATGCGGTGGTCTCCTCAAACGGTAATGATGGTGGTAGCTTTACCTCCGTGGGCTTGACAGGGGGTGGGAGTGGCTTGGGGACGTACTCCGATCTATAGCTGCTTTCTCCCTCAAAAGGCAAGGAAGGTGGCACCTTCACCGGCACTGGCTGGGGACTGCAAACAAGAAATAGGGAGAAGCAGTATTGAGGTTAGGTGATATACTTTAATTAGTGGAAATGAAGTAGCACGACTCACGCAGTTGCATGCTATGCTGAAGTAGGGCGTAGCGCTTCAAGCGTCCTGAAGGCATCTTCACAGCCGGTCAGCAAAATGCCATCTCATGCTACACAGAATAACTTACGGTGTTGGTAAAGGCTTCGGTCCGTACTCTTGCCGATAAATGGAGTTGCCTTCAAAGGCAACAGGCGCCTTCTGCGGGATGCATTTGTGCTGACCACACGTACAGAGCTCATCCACACAGTACCCGGGCTGCCGTGAAGGGCTTTTGGACCTATGAGCCTCGTCCAATTCTGAAAGCTGCAGAAGACGAGCAGGTATTTCTCCTGGGGCGGCAACTCGGGCTCCCTTCAGCTTGGTATAAGGGACGGTGGTGCTCGATGGTTCACCCAACTGTTCCGGTTGCATTTTCGACCGGAGTGTATTTGGTGATCCTTTTATCCCTCGTGAACATCAAAAATTAAAGATGCTTGTGGCGATAAAATGTCAAAAGGTCCACCTCGGACAGCTCCTATCCTAGAGAGAGCGCGTGTCAGCGGTCCGATGATGGCTGGAAAGACGCGCCTGCAGTGATTTTCAGGCAGCTGCAACAGCAACTCACGCGAAAGGAATCTGATATACAAACAGGTATATTTTACATAAAATATGCGGTGGGTTTGGTGCTGATGTCTTGACCAGGAATCAAAGCTCAGATTGGTTGCTAGCTGCCGACTGCATTTCACACCTACGGTGATCTCAGCCCGCCGCCGACAGTGCCTCAACCACCATTTAGAATGGCGTCCACTGGCAGACATGAAACTTTTAAGCCGATCTCTACGATATGGCAATATGATTCATCGTGCTGCTATTTTACCGGCCGAAGGCGATGCTTTTCCTCTGCCTGTGGCCGTAGGCTCCACTGCTAGCTGTCTTCCTCATTGCGTAGCCCTTTGCCTGAAACCGCCCGTAGCCCTATAAGCCTGTGTACGCGTTTTTAAATCACAAAGCTAGTTTTGCATTCTGCACGTACCTAAGGCTCCTGCAATGCGCTGTGTTGCAAACTCGAAGTCTGTTACATACGCGGAACTGTAACATCTCAAAAGGACAAATAGAGCACTCAGGGGAGTCCAATTCATACAAATCTCTGACTAGATGATATGAATGACTATGTAAACGCTGCACAAAATGGTTCTCGATGAAAATCGAAAAATGTGTCACCGCCTTGGGGTCACCTTTCAATGACTCCAGGCTCTCGCGCACATCTGAATGCATTCAATCATTTGAAACTCTTTATACAGCTGCGCAATAATATTAGTGAGAAGTGCGGAATGTATAGAAGGCCAACTTTACCCTTAGCATTCCTTACTAACGATGCTGTTTGTATGGACGTCGTAGATAAACATTCAATATGTAGCCTAATCTTAAACGACCTACCAAGCCTAAGCCGCGAATTCAGCAAGAACACAGATTTTCTCTGCACCTTCCGTGAGAATGAGTTTGTCCTTCTTAGGAAAAGGGCAGGAAATCGTGCAACGATCCCTCAAAATCTTTGCCTAAAAATGAATGTACACCAGTGTGTAGATGAAACGCCAAGCTCCACGCCAATCCCCCAAGCCATATGCAGGTAAAGGCCATGGGATTCTTTTACCTACATGGGACGCTTGGAGACACCCTTAGAATCGCCTGTGTTCATCGGTTAATACCCACGTGTAATACTTGGCCGCCACTCAAGAATGGCCAAAGCCATAATGACCTCACAGGAATCTGCCTCTTTAAGCATATATCAATTAGTGCTACCCTTCCTTTCTGTTGCCTTGGTGTGTTTCGGAAACTGGAGTCCGCTGGTGGTGACTGTAGTTGATGCGCTATGCTCTCCGAAAGGTGCTTCAGACCTGCTGCTCTCCATGCATGTTGCCTGCATGACACAATGGCAATGAAGTGAAAGTAAGAGCTGCAGAAAAATATACTAAACGCCCATCATGTGTGAGGGCACTTCAACGTTTTTATATCTATCAAGCTTTAATGCCAGGAGCCAAGCTAGCACTCACTTGTAGGGTGTGATCGCCCAGGTGTTGTGGTGCATGTTTCTGCATCGCTAGCAGGTTCCTCCTCTGGCATACGAGGGCAGGCTGCGCTGGCGCATATGGGTGATTTGCAATTGGGGCAAACAGCGTTGCGCAACAGCCAAATATCGATGCAGCTGTTCACAAGCACATCAAACACCAAAAAGAATGGCTGAGGCTCCCAGCATTGTATGCTTCAGTAATTGCTAGCTTAATACCTTACAACTCTTAACTAAACAGCCAAACGTCATAGTTCCCCAGAAGATAACGCAATATTTCTTTATGCCCTAGCCTGTCCGACCTTTTGTGGAATATGTGGCCACAAGGCTGTAGAACACGGACGCAGTCATTTCTGACAAACTCCTCCAGGCAAATCGAACACGGCGTCAAGTCGATAGGACCACAGGTTAGCTTGTGTGAGGGCAGCTTCCTAATTTGTTCTAAATCAGCAAGCAACAGTAGCAGCAGCACGCAAGAGCCACTGTATCGTCGGATATGGCGCACAAAAACTGACGTAGGATGCACACGCAAGAGCGCACCCTCCTTTACACCCTTTTCATTACAACGAATCAAAATGCATTCCAACAATACTGGTGGAGCAGTGAGATGTCTGCATAGATGCTACGCATGTTACAGATCCACCCATATGTCGACGCGCCAAAGATTGCGGCAAGTGGATTATCTTACGAATTCAGACACACCTGTCGTCAGTCCGCGACGGAAAATATAAATTCCATATTGGGAGAAAAGTCGGAGGCGTCCCCACCTGCCCATTGCAATTGCCACACCCACGACGAATTTGGATGCATTGAACTCTGACAACACGGCACATATGTCCTTGAGCGGCCCAAAACGATCCCATGACAACGTCAGACGGTAACAACTCATCAGTTCAAGTTTTTTTGTAAAAAAGGGCCACACACATGCAGTGTGCCGCATACCGCCGAATCATGTCTTCATTTTGAAGGATGCGAAGGTCTGCCTCTATTCTGCGTGCGCGATACTCGAAAACTGCCGCTATACCTAAAACCAAAAGCAGCCGAATAGCACAAACGAGAAGGCTTCTTAAGTGCTAGCTACTGCATACGAAGAAGCCCGAGCCAAGGTCACTTGCTGCCCTTCTTACCGATGAAGATTATGTATATCAGGATCCAAATATAACACAGCCCCAACCAAAAGGCGAAGAACCAAGGGTGGCTCTCCCGGGGAAGCTGCGAAGTACACAGACAATGAACAGCGGGGGAAATTATGGCTAACCAAGAGTGTGGCCAGTCTCTTACACGAAGACAGCAGCAGCTTTCTGTCTGACATGTGTAAAAATATTCTACACCCTCATGTGTTGAGTGTGCATTACAGACAGAAGCTCACACAGTATGGCGTTTTATCTCGAACTTCAAGGAACCAGAATGTGCCTAAGATCGTCCAACCGAAGAAACAAGGAAACAGAACGCCCAGAATGAGCACATTCACCCAAAAAGGAGGTCCCCTCTGACGATATAGGATAAAATCCTCATCTCCATCCTGCAAAGCAAATACACCAGCACCCGCAACATAAAATCATGTGTACGCCGTAAATGACAATTAATATAGATTCTCCTGCTTCATTGTACTTTCTCAAGCTTACATCAGACAGGTACTGTCCAAGGTAGTGAGACAGCCTGAAGGCGATCAACGCGACATAGGAACCCAAAAGCCAATAGTGAATCGGCTTTGCGCAGCTTGCGAATGAGTCCCACTCGACAAAGACGTCAGAAGAAGAATAAAAGAAGGCAAAAAGGAGGATGGCATCATTGCTGAGTAACAACCGCAAAAATATATCACAGCAAGGGGTGCCCTACGGGCATGAGGCCTCTATATTCGTGGGTGCGGACAGTTTAGACTGCAGTGCTAAGAGTAACCAGAAATACAGAAAAAGAAAACGGTGTTCATCCCTTCCTGCTCACAGGGTGAATCCAGAAAGCACCATTTTCTTGTCGTTCGCTTTACTGCTCTGTTCTGTTGACTGGAACGAAGATATGGAAGGGGTACCAAACTATGAAGAGACGTCACAGCCGCACGATTCCATCATATGATGATTCAGCACCCCAACAAGGCATTCAGCATCTCTGTGGGAATCACGAACTCCGGAGGATGATGAATTTACATGTAGCTTTGGGGCCGTCTAGGAACCACAATCCACGAGGAAGAGAAATGCGGCTTCTCGTGTCCCAACAGGAGCACTACTACGTCGCTTGCCCGTGCACCTGACAGCACCTGCAAAATAGATGGGAAGAGATCCAGTTTTTGTTCCTAGTTCAGCGTGAGAGCTAATAAAACCTTGACCAAGGGTGGTTCGGATTCGAGGATGACGAGAAAAAAGCTGGGAAGGCTGGCTTCGTCTTGAATGAAATGCTATTCCGTGTGTTCGCAGAATCAGGTATAATCATGGACAGAGGTCCAACTAAAACTGAGGTGGGAAAGCCTTGACTGCCTGGAACGGGGCAGGCAATGAAACCCCTGCATCTAGGGTGTCACATGAAGTGCCGGAGTCAGAAGAGAGCTTCTCCAATGCTTAACATCCCATGACGCATCGAAAGGTAAAGTGTACGGCACCGTGCGGTTGAGGAAGATTATGGTACAAAAGCTGGAAACAACGACACCAGAAGGTGGGCCCTTCTAGCGAAGCGCCCAATGCAAGGGATCTTTGGGCAAGTTGGAAGGGAAGAACAGGGAATTTTACAGCACTCAGAAAAGGAATCCGATAATTATGGTGATTTTATGCCAGTTCAGGGGTCGCTGGCAGCCTGCTTCGAATCTAGTATCGAGCCACACAATCGGCTGCCAGAATCGATTGTGACTGGCACCAATGGCTCCACTCTTCTTTCCTTCTCAGTACAGAATGATAATGTCATTGCTACTCAAATATGCTCAACGATTATGGATCAATTGATGTACCCCGCTGGTTAAGGGCGAAGTCCTAGCTATTTTTTTCACTTCACAATACGAAGGAATACCGTTGGGATGTCCAGCCCTGTTCTCGGGTTGTCCGGAGCTTACGGCAGTGCACCAAAAGGCCGATATAAGTTTTATAGTCGCTTGGCTTTCACTAGCAATTTCAATCGAAAACTGCAAGAAGAAACCACATAGCATTGCCTAGCCTTCCTACGATGAAATCTTCTGGGGGCATGCACCTAGAAAGCATTCAGAGATCATAGACTCTGGCTTTCCTTATGGGATAGTGGACTGCATAAGGCTATACGAGCATCTTCCGAGCCAGGGGATACTACTCTACCCGTAGCACAGCAATGCATGAAACGAGAGAACGTGCATCCTTCAAAGTGATGGGACGACGCTGCCCCATTCAAGTTAGTGTGTCACGCCGCTGATATTTTATAACTAGATTCGAGCCCTGCCGACTTCAAGTTTTAGTAGTTACCTGCTCGACATATTTTCTTTCCATATGTGGATGTAGCCTCCGCCCCTGTTGCAACTACCCAAAGTGTGGTTGTGGTATTTGCATTTCTTTCTAGAAGGCAACTGCAGGTTTCCGCTCTACACAAGCACATCTGGAAGTGCGCATGGCTATAGCAATTGTCTTTTCTCTTCAGAAGGCAACTGCAGGTTTCCGCTACACGCAAGCACATTTGAAAGTGCACACACGGCGCGCTTGAGTGCACGAAGAGGGAAGATTAAAGTGTACCAGTGCAAGCGAGTGAATCCTGGAGGACAGTATGAACAATGAAGGTCACCAGCTTTGCACTCAGAATGTGAAATTTGGCGGTAGGAAGCCTCATGCGGGGATGCCTGAAAGCAGGTTTCATGGGGGTTGATGCAGTGTTCATATCGAAGTTTCTCGGATAAGGGGTCATTTTCGAAACAAAGGACGGTTCCATGAAACTACTGCTTATTTAAAGGCCCAAAACGTGTACCCATTGCTTGTCCAATCCCTGAGAGTTACCATGATAACTGCATCCATATGCAGACGTGGTTATTACCCTGGCAGCCAACCAGGGCTGCGCCATCAGTCCTCTTTAGTCTGCTAAGAAAGCAGCAACAGCATGCTATATGAAAGAATGCCTATAACCACCTGACACACTTTTCTGACAAAGTGACCTTATTACTAACTCCATCCACACGTGCAGCATCCCGTGACGGTAGCATCTTATGAACGTCGCAAACCGGCAATGTCGGTTCTGGATAGCACTTCTTCAACCCTGGTGGCATTTACAAGACGCGTAAACAGCGAGCATGTGCGCCCTGTTGTCCAAAGCCTTTTCAGAAGAGCTGTAGCTGTTCCTGATACCGGATCCCCCAATATACGAATTCCCACGTTTTAAGATATCTTATTTATTTATAAGGATGGAGATATTCAAGAGAGGAGAGAAGGAAAGTGCCAGTCACATTGAGGCAGCGCTATTTCCGGAAAGGAGTTCCTCGCGAACTTTTATGTGTACGTGCAAAGGCCTCCCTTCCGTGATGAGTTTTGTCATATCTGCTGATTTTCCATCGTGCGAGGTCAAGTATAGCTGTCCTTCTCCCAGTCCTCTGGCTGACGATTTTCTCGCACGTAAGACACTGTTAAGGGCTAGTGCGTTGGCACAGGCAAGAAGAAAGAAGTCAATTGACTAGTGAGCCCAATAAAGTAACTCGAGTTAATACAGTCCCATTCTTAACGGGGATCTCGTTGTGCAAGTCCGATTTGTTGCACTATGACGACCCCTTCAGTTTTGTGAAATCATGCCTTTTTTGTGACGGCGGTTATGAGGCTAGGGATCTCAAGTAGTTTGTGAGGCACGTTAACAGGGCCGAACAATAGATGAACGAGACATAGAAGCCCATTGGGCGTCTCCTTAAGCCATGCTTTCTAGCCCAGCAAGGCATCAAAGCACCGAGATCAATTAGGGGGCAAGTGCATGCATCAAGATCGTTGATTGTCTTACTTCCTGTGTAACGCTTATCCGAGGGTCTCCGTAGCAGACTCGCATTGCGCATAACCTGCTAAAACGACTGAATATGATGTTTTCATTCGGTTCTAATAAGGAAGCATCTCCATTTTATAGTGCGAAGTGCCGTGGGCCTAAGTAACGGACACAGCCTGAAAGCAGCTAGTGGCATTTCTAGGGTGGTGGGGACAGGTCTACGGACCGGTAACTGACTGCACAACCACACACTATTGGTCACAGCAGAGCTGTACGTCCCCAATGAATACAATATGTGGGCACTTTCACTACTCGCCTAATTTCATATGCCCAAATCAGACGCAAACTTTCCTGAAAACAGCACTGAACTCTGAAAATAGTAGAACGACACCAACACAGCTTGGCATGCATTTCTCTGTTGACTCTGCTGTCCATGCCAAACGATATTGAATCTTCTCCGTCCTGCAGGAGCGCATTTAATCTTGACATCGGTACTTCACGAGCCCCACGAGCATCCTGGGCTGCGTCGGGTTGCTGCTGTGACGAAGGTGAATACTGGACGACAGTGCGCTGGTGGGCTTCATTCCACAACAGCCGACCCACGGAGAAACAGGAATAAAGTAGCCAAAGGGGGGCTCTGTGACCCTGTGAGTGGTTCCCATGCACACACAACGTACACGCACTCGCATGCGGTACAACGTTTTGCATGGGTTTTCAGCCTTTTGTGCCACTGACTACCGGAATGCCACCCCTTTCAAAGGGGAACTGGTTACTAAAGGCACGTATGCGCTGACAGCTAAGGTCACGCCGGTTCCTGTTGCACTTGTTTCCCCGCGGAGACAAATAGCTGCTGTATCGGCGCAGCTCATTCAGATAAGTCAAAAATAGGAGCTGTTGGAGAAAAGATGCACTACAAATGTCTAGTTTTGGTGTGCTTCAGACCGACTCGCCGGTTGAAGAGTCCGCAAGCAGACTTTGCAAAACCATGTTGGCCGTTGGTGTTCCCTGCTTGACCGTAATTCTCTGAGGCGCATAGACAGACTACCCGGATTCCCAGCCCTTCTAAAGAAACAGGTTACTGATGGCACGTAGCCACTGACAGCTGAGGTCATGCGTTCTCCCACTAATGTGCTGGATTTCTCAAGGCAGCGCATACACGAGACATTCCCCAGGAGAACTTTGGGGCAGTTTTCTTTAGCTCATGTGAATTCTCAGGGACGTTTTCGAACGTTCGGCTGTTGGTCTTCAAAGGAGGTGAGACAAGCACGATCCAAGGAAATCATGAGCTACAGACTAAGCTAGCGTTTCGCGCCACAACCGCCGAGGCGAAAACGACCACGCCACGTGCTTGCTCGTGGTGAGAATGCGCGAGTGCGTATCTGCTAGATGAATGAGCGAGGCCACCTGCTTATGACCGTGTGCCGATGCAGACTTCACACGTGCGCTGGGTAGCGCATCGGCCAGCGCCCCTAAACAAATAAAGGGGGTCACGGAATCAAGCTTCTTTAACCCTTTCTAGTACAAGGGCTGCTGCGTCCGTGGCAGTAGTGCCTCCACAACGTGCGTAAAAAACGCGCATAAACCCACTCAGTGGAAGTGCGCCTACAAGAACGACACAACCGTCGCACACATGCTATGGGCTGTGCACGTTCTCTCGAGCCACGAACAGTGTTTAGTTCTTCAACAGCAAGTTCCGCAAAACGTAATGCAGAGCTCCCCCGTTCCGGAAGTATTCAACCTCGACGTCCGTATCGATGCGGCATTTTGTGTCGAACGACTTTCCGCAATCCGTGGTCACTTGGATGGTGGAGCCTGGAACCAGCTTTCCCGCGTTAAGCTCAATGCTAAAGCGCTCTTTTCCTGCAAAGATTGCAAAAAAGTGCTACCGGCGACTATCAAAACTGAGGGAAGCTCCTCTCCTGGGAGGAATGTACGATACGACTGCCTACCGCCTGCAGAGGCAGAAAACTCAATTGTGTTGCTGATTGATTTAGACCCCTGAGCAGGAATTCTTCCCGGTGAGAAGAGATACTAGCCGCTCCCAAATAAAGCGCAACTGCGCCGCCGCCGCTGTTATATGCTTGAATGACATGCCAAGGCAAGAGACGAGGCAGACCACGTACCTGTGAGTCCAAGGGCATCTGCAGATTCGCCCTCAAGGAACTGGAGCGGCAGAATACCCATGCCAACAAGGTTGCTTCTGTGGATTCTTTCGAAAGACTGCGCAATGACAGCCTTCACGCCCTGTAAGTAGGGACCTCTGAAGAGCCACATGGGTCACAAGGTGCAGCGTCACGCCATCATCATCAAAACCCTCTGCTGCCCCTTCCACCGACCTGCAGACTCTGGAATCTCGCGAGCACGCGCCACACGCTGGCCTTTTGCGTCCGCAGTTCGTCTGTATGCGAATACAATGCGTGTTAACAGGATGAGGACGCGCGTGCTGCACAGGACGCTGCCCCGCGCAGGACGAAGCCAGTAGGCGAGCGATCCCGTTCCAGCAGGCATGCATCCGGGGTGTCTTACTTGGCTGCCCAGTCGCGGGAGCTTCCGCTGCCATATTCTTTGCCAGCAAGCACGATCATAGAAGCGCCTTCTGCACGATACCTTTCGGCGGTATCGGATACAGGGAGAATTTCCCCCGAAGGCAGGTGGATAGCTTTCGGGCCCGCAGTGGGACACATCTTGTTGACAAGCCGAATGTTTGCAAACGTGCCACGCACCATTACCTGCAAAAGAGACGGCCATACGCACGGGGCTCGAGGTCGCGCTACCCACCCCCAGTGGCGGTAAATGTGGCAGCTTCCGTCCACTGGGTGAAGCTCTGAACCCGAGGAAAGGAAATTCTAAACTCCCTATCGGCGGGGGAAAATGCGCACTTCGTCATTCCCACGGCGCGCCCCGTACGTATTGAAATCCTTTTGCGCGACGCCTCGTTCCATCAGAAACTTCGCTGCCGGCGAGGTCTTTGCGATATTGCCGGCGGGAGAAATGTGGTCCGTGGTGATAGAGTCGCCGAGGCTCAAGAGACAGTATGCCGATTTGATGTCGGGTATCTCGGGAAGCGTCTTTTCCATCGTCTGCAACATTTACACAGGCAGCTGAAAGTAAGCAGACAGCTGCTTGATCGTTGCAAAAATAAAACCCGACTAAACGGCCTTTTCTGCTGAAAATGTCTTCTCCACTGCACACGGACCGAGCAACTGCAAAGTAGGGGAGGATAGGCACGACGCCGAAGGGCGCTGCGCTGGCTCAAAAGAAGTAAAGTGAAAGCGACAATAGCACCGCCCCCCAAAAGTAGGCATACCTGGAAGAAGGGTGGGTTGTGGATGTACGTCGAATCTTGCTGCCACTGATACAGTACGGAGGAATTGGACGTGCCGAGCGCCTGCCACGCAGGCGTTCCTTCCGTAATGGTGCTGTAAACCTGCTTGAACATCTCGGGCCCCAGGCACTGCTCAATGACTGGCTGGATTTCGCTGAAAATAATGAGTGGAAAATTCAGAGCAAACGCAGCAACCAACGCGCTGACGGCTGGAAGGACAACAGCTGTGGCAAGGCAGCAAGGCCCTCTCTACCGAAGCAGCAACTACGGCGGCAACAGGAGCTCGCAGGCTTCCTGTCGGCGTATCGGCTGCAAAATGGTGCGTTTTTGCATCTAGGAAGGACGCTTCGCATCTCACTCTCGCGTGGGCCAGATGTCCTTCAGGAAAACGGGCTTGCCGTCGCTGCCCGTGGCAATAGGTTCTTTGGAGAAGTCTATGTCCATGCGCCCCGCCAGCGCGTATGCGACAACGAGAGGAGGAGAGGCGAGGTAAGCGGCGCGGGTTAAAGGGTGGATTCTGCCTTCGAAGTTTCTGTTGCCGGACAAGACAGACGCCACAACGAGGTCGCCCTTGTTGATGGCCTCCGTCACTTCGGGGTCAAACTCTCCCGTATTGCCGATGCACGTCATGCAGCCGTATCCCGCCAGATAGAACCCGAGCTTTTTGAGAGCCTCGTCTAGCCCGGCAGCCTTGAGATACTGCGAAACAGCCTTCGATCCAGGGGAGAGCGAGGTAACAATGTACGGCGCTACCCGCAAGCCCTTGGCTACCGCGTTTCTCGCCAACAGACCCGCGGCAAAGATGACTCCCGGGTTGCTTGTGTTGGTGCAAGAAGTGATGGCCGCGATGCACACGGATCCATGCTTCAGCTCGTACTCCTTTCCCTGATACACGAATTTGACAGTCCGATCCCGCTGCTCCGATGTTAAGCCGAAACCCTTGAAGCCAACTGAATTCGTGAGGCAGGCATGGAAATCCGTCTTGACGTCGCGTTCTGCAACAAGGTCCTGAGGCCGCTTGGGGCCGGCCACGCTAGGCGCCACTGTAGACAGATCAAGCTCTATGACGTCGGTAAACTGGATGCGCGACTCCTCTCCTCCATCGCAAAACAGCCGATTTGCCCGCATGTAGCTCTCAATGAGTTGCAACCTCTCCGTAGGTCGCCCCGTCATGCGCAAGTAGGCCAAGGACTGATGATCGACGGGAAAGAAGCCACACGTAGCGCTGCGCACACCAGCAAAAGGCCCTAAGGAACACATGTGACCAGCCCTATCCTCTCTTGAGGCGCACGTCAGATGATGTACACACCATCGTGGAAGAAGCATGCAAAAGCCGTAAACACACACAAACACATGGACATACACACATATTTATATAAACACACACATATTTATATAAACGCACATAAACACACACATATTTATATAAACACACATAAACACACACACATAAACACACAAATAACCACACACAGACACACACATATTTAAATAAACACACACACGCACATAAACACGCACACCCACACATACAAACACATAAACACGCACAAATAAACACAGAGCCATACCTTTTGGAGATGCACATGTATTTTGAGGGGCTGAGCTCGTGACCCTGCGCCTTACCCATATTCTGGCGCCATATTCGATACAGTTGCGCGATCTGCGAGACTGAGGTTGCGGAGTCCGGGTCCAAAGAACTCTACGAATTTACCCACGACGCCCCTCTTTCTGAGCATCTGCGTAAGCGTCAAGACGAGGTCTGTGGCAGTTGCCATCTGATTAAGATCTCCTGTCAGATGGACGCCAATGACTTCAGGTAGTACCATGGAGATGTGCTGGCCAAGCATCACAGCTTCGGCCTCAATGCCCCCAACGCCCCAGCCGAGGACGCCAAGGCCGTTGATCATCGTGGTGTGAGAATCCGTGCCAACTACCGAATCGGGATACAGCAAATTCTTCTTGTCCATCGTAACAGAGGCCAAAAACTCCAAATTCACCTGATGCACAATGCCAGAGCCTGGCGGCACTATGCGCATGTTGTCGAAAGCCCTGCTGCCCCACTTCAAGAATGCAAACCGCTCCTTGTTCCTCTCCATCTCCCTCTCCAAATTCTTCTGCAACGCGGCTTCAGACCGGCTATAGTCAACCTGCACAGAGTGATCTACCACCAAATCCACATCCACCAAAGGATTGATGCGCCGAGGATCGCCCCCCAAACGCGCCATCGCGTCCCGCATCGCTGCCAGATCCACCACGGCTGGCACTCCGCTATAACAACACACACACACACAGATATACATACAGATATATACACAAATATACATACATGGACACAGATATACACACAGGAACGCAGAAAACAGAGATACACACATGAACACATAAAACAGAAATGCATACATAAAACACATATACATGCATAAACACATACATACACAAATATACACACACGTACAACAACCCCCTCCCCTCCCCCTCTCCCCGATCTTGATCAGAGGAGGCTGGCAAAGCCCGGAATCCGCGATGCACAGAGGGGAGAAGATACAAAAAAAGAACGACAAAGCCCAACGCCAGGCGCCCTACGTAAAGTCTTGCAGCAGCACGCGGGCCGGCATGAATGGAATTTCCTTCTGCTGCCTGCTCGTCTTGGACCATTCTAAGATAGTTTCAACATCTCTTTCGGTTACCCTGCACGAAACGCATGCAGAGGCAAGTCCCGCCACTCGACCGGCTGCCGGCATCGCTGTAGGAAGATCGGGGTGAGGTGTGCCCTTACGCAGTGGGCTGGGGGGGGGTGGCCACCAGCTGTGCATCAAAAGCCTTCGCTAGTCACCGCATGAAAAGGGGAAGGGGAGGACAAAGCGCGCACCGGAAGTTGTCACAGTTGCGCACGGCCGATTCCAGCAGCACGCGGATAGAGAAGGGAAGCGTGTCAAAGCGCTTATCTTTGAGCTCTGCACAGGAAAGGAAAGAAACAAGCGGTACAGATTCGCTTGCCGTTTGCCCGAGAGGGGAAATCATGGAGTCGCCGGGGTAGGAAGGCGCCTCGACGCGCGAGCACGCAGAGGGGAAGGGAGCAGGCGGGGGAAACGGCACGGTAAACATGCATGGGCCAAGTGCCTCGGTAGCGTACCTGTCAGGTCGTAGTAAGCCTTATTGGTGCCTTGCAGTGTCTTGACAGTATACTCAAACGGCTGAGCTATGCCACTAAATGCACGGATGCCCGCGGGCATGCCGACAGGCGCGATGCAGTAAGGCTTCATCGCAGACGCAATCCAAGAGCTGGCTCCCACATGGGACCGCAGGGAGGAGAGCAGCGCACGCATCTTGTGTTATAACAGCGGCTCGGCGGTTTGTACGTCCGTGTGTTTGCCCGATGAAAGAACAGCAGGGGGCGGCTGCGTTGAATGCGCCGTGGGGGGCGCGTTAAGAGCGTGTACACACGCGTGGAGCGTTATTTAGAAACTGGAGTAAGAAACAGGCTAATTGAAGAGCTGCACTCTTCTTTCAAGCAGGTCCTGGGGTCGCATGAATGCAGGCCAGCAGTGCCATTGACTTTGACCATTCGCCCCCGCAAAATTTATAAGTTAAACCGAAAGCAAAGAGGTTTTTTCATGAGACGTGGCCCAAAGTTTGAATAATTCTCACGTAAGACTAGAAGATAAGGTGCGGTGCACGCAGCTGCTCTGGGGCTTGTTCTGATGGGCCGCTGCTACTGACACGCAGCATGGGCTAGGCCTTTCCCATGTTTGCAGTAATAACGTTTTGCGCTTTCTAGCCTTGGATGTTCAATTCGAATGCAAGCGGTAACGCCTCTCCCTCTCCTTACACTGCAACGTTTACGTAGGTGGGAATGGGGGGCGATGGCGGCTCATTCTCAGGCCGCGCCGAAATGGTGCGGACCAAAGGCTTTAAGTTCCTGAGGAACCTTGGTGGTATGGGCTACACCCCGAACACACAAATTAGAGCGGGAGATGAGCGGTTTGGCAGGAACGAGAATCGTGACTTGCGGACCTCGACATGCGCCCTGTCCGAGGTAAGGGACCACTGCTGCTACCCACGCGCACAAGCCAATCCGGGCAGTGCGACGCTATGCATGCAGAAAATTATACCTTCCAGCTGGCAACCCCCGTATTGGCCCAGTAGCGTCTGCGGTTTCGAATGGGCGCGCAAGTTCCCCAGAGTGCAAGCAGCGCATTCAATCGCTGGTAGCTCGCCGTTGTATGAAGCAGCGGGTGTGTGTAGTCTTGTCTTAGGAAAAGCTTCGGCCACCTTTAGTTGTATGTCGGGTAGGCCGTCTTTACAACAAGGAAAAGGTGATCACCGCAATGCTGGAGAAGGCGCTTCCGCCCCATATGAAGCATATCAAGAGTCTCAAGGATATGAAGGAATGCAGAATCGAGGTCTGCTTTCCACCCAACGCGAACCGATGTCTTAAAGGCAGGCCTGAGCATGAACTCGATACAGAACTTCATAATGGTAGATTTCATATGTAGTGCGTTGAAGGCAGTGATCTGTTCCTATGCCGTACTGTGGCATTTCTGCCCTGCAGGTGAACGCAGCCACAGGGTTTCCTATTTGCCCTATCACGAAGGCTGATCTGAGTAGCGGCGTCCGCGCGTCAATCATCTGGCCCTGTGGCTTCATAGTCTCGAACAGAGCCCTGGAGGCAATGACACAAAAGGTATGTAAGCTGTCAACTAAGCCGTATGCTCCGTTCGCAAATTGCTGAATGCTCTGTGCAGCTATTTACGCCGAAAAGCGGTGACCTCCATGTATGATATCACTACATCCCGTGGGCGCGCCCACATATCCGTTTTGCTCATGTAAAGAGCCGCTGCAACTATTCTTTCGCACATGGGGCATCCACCTTCCGACTTGCGCTGTTCAGGATGCGGAAATTAGTCATCCGGAACACAAAATCAGCGATTCAGGAAAACCCAGGATTAAAGGCACTTTTGTTTGCCCCATGTGCGCGAAGGAGCACAGTGCCGCCGAGGATCTCGTTCCACTCTCCCCAGATGAAGAAGAAATTGCCAGCTTGCTCGAGAAGGCCACTGCATTGCAGCAAGCGAAGAAAACAAGCAAGAAGCAGAAAGTACCTAAACCAGCGGACCATGACGGAACATCGAATTCCGCAAAGGCCACCTGCCCAGCTACGGCATCTCCTGTCACGGACGCCGAGAAGGCGCCAGGATCTTCATGCAAAAACTCCGTAATACCGACAGACAAGGTTGGTAGTATTGTGGTGCCCCCGAAGCGACTGAGAGACTGGGTTTTAGAATCAGAGCCCCCTGCCTTGACGCCGAGCAGTGCGTCCAAACACCGAAAAGTTGCAGCTTAGCCCGCATCGGGTGTACCGTGGCCGTCGGCAATTTTTTTTGTACCAATAACTTCAAACGGCTCTAAGAGGGCCACGTTTTATAGCCTTTGCATGGCCCACTCTATGGCCAGTAAAAACGGAAGCGGGCGTGACATATGGAGCACATGGTTGCAGCCCGTAATTATTCCGACCACCTATGCGCTTTCGTATCATGACAGAACGAAGGAAACGAGAAATTCGTAGCATTCTGTACGCTAATGGTTTATTCATAAGACATGAGCAAAGTTGGCCTCGCGGTTGCGCTGCGCTGTCATGACAACACATGCTTGCCATCCAGGCGCTTCCTCGTTTCTCACGGTAATAATAGTTAGCGTGTGGAAGTGGGCTTAATTTGTCACGATGATGCTGATTAGTCAGCAAGCAACGCGACATATTATCGCGATGGTATTGTGGTTTGCACTTTCTAATACGGCAGTATGCTTTCCGCTGGCTGAACACGCACGACCTCGGCAGGAAAGCATAGGTTTCCATAGCAAATGGGATAGTCTGAGTGCAGAGGAGCCCTCGTTGGTAAACAGCAAGCAGTCAGCAGAATCTTCGTACTCCAGGATTCAAGAGCTTCTCACAGGTGCAACAGTAAAAAATGTGCCAGTACCTGAACGGGTAGCATGAACGAGCGTTGCAGGCATCTCCGACCTTTTGAAGAAGAGCAATTTTCCTGACTGCATAAATGACCAGTCAGTTGAGCCTTCCTTCCAACAAATATTCATGATGAACGAGAAGTTAGTACGCACCTCTTCCGGTTCCCAACCCAGAACTCATGCCTCCTGACCTGCAGGCGGCGTCTTGCCTCTCAAGTTGAGCATGCTCTTCTCCTGCTTCAAGGCCGATGGAGCCACCAAACCCCTGCAGGTGGGTGCGACACTACGGTGGGAACCGGTAGTGGGCCAGACCTTGCATCCTCTTCAGACTTGACAGTCTTATTCAAAAGCATGCAGCGAAATATTGAACGCGTGAGTCTTTGAACCGTACCAACAGCATCAGGTTAAATATCTGCAAGGCTGTCTCAGCTATCGGAAAATGCTTTCGGTGCGGCAAGCAGTCATGTATCCTCCAGCATAGAAAAGGACATGGACGCAGCTCGAAAGCTTATGCAGTCAGTGGCAGCAATTCACCTTTCGAGCTTGCCACAAGTGCCGGCTTTTCACAAATTGGGAGCATCCGTTTTCGGCTAATAATTCAACCTCGTTTCTTTGTGATTGATGCAGTTATCTTGGTAGAGGCAGCAAATAAGGGCAGATAAGGAAATGGAGGAGTTCACTTACTTTGGTGTATTCAGTTTGAAAAATGCAACATATCGGAGGCTCTGCCAACACCTCCAGAATAAGGTAACAGCCTACGGGCTGATGCAATAGGAAGCGAAACGAACGTTTTAAAGCACTTCTTTGACCGAAAAACGCACACATATGTATGTGCTTCCAACCACTACATAACTCCAAACAGACAAAGTCTGCAGCCTGGGTGTGACACGACGGAAGTAGTGTCAACCACGATGCGTAGGATGAATTATTTCCAAAAGTCATATAGATGTATTTTTGCGCTTTCACATGGATTCATACGCATGCGTACACTTCGTTCTATGCACATGCACCCTATTCGGTATTTATACAACGGGCAGCGATCGTCATTACAGAAGGTGCTCCGACTAACTGCGTATAACCCCCGGCAGGTGGCCCTTGGCCTCCAGGCAGCGCTTTCGCGCCTGCTGCCCCCTTCGTTCCACAGTAAACAATTGTGGCACATAAACAAATGCTCAGCATCTCCAAAGTCGCTCATTCCTTCGGTGGCGCAACTTTGCCGTCCACGACCATGTCGGGGTGCACGCCCGCGCGAACGAATCTGTCTACCGTTGCGTCCTGAGGGTCTACCATAAAGCTAGTGTCTTCCGCCATGGCAACTCTCCCAAACAGTTGAGGCACGTTGTGGGGGCCCCCAGTGGAGGTCTCGTGGATGTATATCAGTTTGCTTTGGTGCCTAGGGCTAGGCGCGTTGCAGGCCATGATGATCAGCCAGGCCAAAGTCGCGCCGCACCAAAATATGTTTTCTCCGAACGACGCGTTATTGCAGGACTCGCACTGAAACGCAAGCACACACAGACAAGCCAGCATTACACATTGTCTTGCAGTTGCGCTCTGGCGCGCACTCCTCCACCGCGTCCACTGAAGATGCAAACTGATCAAGCTCGAGGAAACAAAGCTGCACTCCATTCGGTCGCCTACCCTGACGAACTGCATGCCGCATATGGTTGACAGAATAGCCAGGGCAATCATGATAAGCAGGCCGAACAGGCGCGTAAGCTGCGTCATATCCTCGACGGTGCCACGGGTCATCCCACGCTGCATCACTGCTGACCGCTGGAAGATATAATAATTGAATGCTGTCTGCGTCACACACCATGGACAGTGAGAACAAGAACTCGCCCAGATTTAAGGAAGCAAGAAAGACGCACGGGGGGCGCCCAGTGGGGGCAGGGCCGTGGCAGAAGCCAATAAGCACTAGGCTTACCAGGAAGGCGGGAAATGTGGAGAGAAGCGTAAAGTACATTGGGAGTGTCTTGGGGTCCCTGAGATGCATCGTGCACGTCCACAAATGAATGGCCACCGCTTAATATCTGGCTAACAAGCCATCAGCCATACCCTGCGTGTCGTGCGGTGTAGCCCTGTCCACGCTCTCCTCTGGGTGCGAATAAGGTGACCTTTTGGAGGCAGTTCCGCTGATCATGATGGGCAAGTGTGGGGCATCCATCAGACTCTGGTGCAAAGACACTACACTTCATCTAAAGGGGAAATACGGTCACAAAGAACCTACTGCAACATGTAGCCGCTTAGTGGGTGGTGCATACCTGTGGTAGACAGCAGGTTGAATGGCATAATAGCAGAAGCTGCATGCTCCAAGGAGTGTCCATGAACAGGGGAAAACAAGAGCAATGAGATCTTCAACTGTTAAATAGGCTAGGGGGCCGCAGGCCTGCCGTCGGAGGCAAGCCCACGTCATTCTCTGCAACGCAGGCGAATACGGCAACAAAATATTGCCTTTGTTATGGCGACAAGTGTTTGTAAAACACAGACAACCTGTGCAGAATGTGCGATAAACACTGATGCATTTCTAAAACGGGGGCCCCATGGTAGGCCCCATGCCACTGTAATTTGATGGAGGCTACGCTTAAGTGGCTAAAGGCAGCACCAACTTTAATGGCCGAAAATAGTCTCCTTGGTTTTCACATATAAATAAAAATTATAGCTAAAAAAACAGCGAGCTGTGGAAGGGGGCAAATATACTCGGGCAATCCGGGTGTAATTTCGAAGTATTACAGCCGACCAGCTAACTGCTCACCCACGGTCGGGGAGCTGCACGCGCTACCGCGGCGGGTGAAGCTGCAGCTTTGGCTGCATCCTTCCTTCCCCTCCGTGAATCATGTGTGACCTACAGATATTTCACCGCTTTTCTTGCCATACTTAATATAATTCTCCTCTATGCTTGCAGCGTTTCATAAACTCTAGGCAGTTTAGTCGTATACTCTCGCATCGTCTGGTGCTATTCGTTCCACGCCGCAGGTGTGCGTGTGTACACGCAGCACTTCCTTCGCTCTTTGTACTTACATTGATTTCTTTTTCGCTTTTCTTTCGTGACTTTAGCTTTGCTGAAGATGGCGAGTGGAATGCCAGTAAACGAGTCCTGTGTGACAACCTTTAACGACCTTAAGCTCCGTCACTCCTGCAAGTGGATCATCTTCAAGATTGACCACGACGAGATTATTGTGGAGAAGCAGGGGAGCGGTGACGCTTCTACTCTTAAGTCTGAGCTCCCGCCAAGTGATTGCCGATACGCAGTGTATGATGAGGGTGAGGATGAATTTATTCCACATCATATTCTTCCCAAAGGCAGTGCGGGTGGTCTGCTGCACAGATGCAGCAGTTTGTAGTTGTCCACATTGTCACTCGTGTAGGGTCCTTGCTCCCACGCCTGGAACTTTAGAGCTGAATTTAAATAATAAATTAATGCTTCTAGGCTTGTTTGGGCGGGTACATTGCGTATATGCAGTAGCTGTGCTCGTGTGTGTGTGTGTGTGTGTTCGGCGTGCACTGAACTTCCAGGTCAAAGGATCCACTTCATTCTTTGGTCTCCCGATGTCGCCCCTGTGAAGCCACGGATGATTTACTCTTCGTCTAAGGACGCATTGGCGAAGAAGCTGGAGGGCACTGTGGCCACCACCTTGGAAGCCCACGAGATCGGCGACCTCTGCACTCTTCACTAAGTTTCCTGTTCAGTGGATATGGCATTATGCGGCAGAGCCGCCAGAGCTGTGGCGTGCTGGTCAGTAAGAGGTCGTTGGGAGTTTTCGCTTCCCGATCAGGGCGATGCTTAAGTGCCGAAGCGGCCACTGAACACCAGTGGAAAGGAACGAACGGCCAGTGCATCCAGCCCTTGGCTTCTGTTGCTATGAACATTCTGGTTTCGCCCCCCCCCCCCTACATATTCGTTTCGGGCAGGGAAACTTGAAAACAGGGTATCGGGAAACAACCGGTGTTGGAGGTAGTTGGCTATTACCCACTTCGCTGTGTGTCGTAGTATTTTGCAAAGCTCTTGTGCAGCAGTGTAGACACGATGTTGAGGCTTAATAGGCAATGGGTAGTTGCCGTTGTGTTTTTATTCAATTGCGTATCTACTGTAGGTAGATCGAAATAGACACCTATTGGGCAACAGCCCACTAGGGAAAGCTTTGGGGAGGCTTGCTCTGCTAGTGTGTGCGCTAGTCAATGTAGCGGGGTATCTTCCTGTATTTGCCGTGTCGAACCCTGTGCATCAAAGCACTGCGGGACGGGGTGCCGGCAACGCTTTTTTAAAAGCAGGTTCACCCCAGGCGGGTGGCACGATGCGGCGTTTCGCCACGATTGTCTCGATATACATTGGTGGACGTGGTGCAAGGATGTGGTATTGTGGCGCATGAGTCTGCCAGTTTTTGACAGCAAAGTGAGGGTGCGCATACATTGATTATTTTCATCCTGGGGACTGCGGCTTGCATATTTGGGCATGCATTTTAGAGGGTTTGAGGGCGCTAATAATCGGTGGTGCTTTGGAGGACCCCTGAATAGACGAATGGCGGGCGCATTTGTATGGGGCAGAAGTGCCTTTCGAGGCTTCCATGCTATTTGGTTATTGCCTACATACGGGGGGATTCGCTGTAAGCCTGTCTGGTGGTCGACACGTGTAAAGGATAGCGTTAGGCATTGGCTGCGCTAGCGAATGACCAGGTTGCATCCTCCAGATGTAGCGTCATGCTCCGGCAGATCCCGCAACAACACCAGGAACAGAAAATTTAACTTGAAGAGATGGGCATGGGAATCAGCAACGGGGTATTGATTAGGTTGGTACTAAGATGCTGCTTGAGTTTCCTCCTGTGCGGCACTTCCTTACTGCATAATTTTGCGAATTCTGGGACGAGGGCAGTGGGGAAGTTGATGCGTGTTTAGATTTTCCTTGGAGGGCAGAAACGTTTCTCAGCATGGATTTAGGACAGGTGCAGCCACGCTGTGATCCGTATAGGATTTGGCGAATGCTACGGTGGAGGAGTGGCATTCGTAGGATGGCGCTTCGGCGTCCATGTGTTAGGGGATAGACACAGAATAGAGGGCATAGAAGACCAGAGTGGTACGAGGTATTGTTTTGATGGCGGGGTGGAGGAGTTTAAAAGTGATTGAGCTTTCCCAGTGGAAGGCTGATGGCGCAGTTCATAGGTGTGTCCACCATGGTTTTCCTGTTCTTGCATTGAAATTCGTCCTCTTCAGACTCTCACTTCTATGACATATATTTGCGATCACTAATTTGCTCAGCATCTGTGGTCTTTAGAAGACTTTTGTTGCGCCGGATCACGCAGTTCACAGGCTGGTGCTGGGGAACTCTAAGGGGATAAGCGAGCCAATTCTCAGGGCCATGGGTTCCTTTTCTGTCGTACTGAGCACGTCATTTTATGTTCTAGCTTCACTTGACTTACAGATAGTCAGAACTAGTTGAGTCCAGCAAGCTCCTAGGTGGAGAAAAGGCACCGGATCACGCGCGGGAGAGGTATCAGGTACACTCGTGACACTTCCCCGGAGAGACGGTACCAACTAACCGCCGAAAATCCCAACATTGCATTCTCATGGTTACTGGCTGTTTGGGGAAAGATGAATTGGACTTCAAGGTAACAGCTTCATTTCCACCGTTCCGGCGTAGTTCAACTTCAGCAGCAATCACCGATTCAGGCAATGATTAGGATCTAGGGTTGGCCAATGCTTAGTTGTGTAGGGGCTTCCCCAGTAGCGAATCAGGCTGCATTTTCTCATTCTGAAGTACTATCTGAAGCTAAGGAGACTTATAGAGGGTCTTTTTTGATCCCTGAGTATTGAGGACGGGGGTGCTGTGTACACCCCATGAGCAGGCAAGCTCGTAGCGGAAACAACTAGACGAAAACTTTCTAGTGCATCAGTTGAATTTCCCCAAGATTTGGTGGGACTGAACTGATTGATTTGTTCGTAGGTATATCATTTATTACAAAGCGCGTGAGTCAGATTTTATGTAGGACTAGCTGTGACCGCCCAGAGTGCTCAGCGAACATAGCTCCGTGCAGGTGCTCTCCACTCCTTGCGGGATCTCTGAGACGCGGGTAGCTGAACGGGTGGGCCTTGATAAAATGAGACTTAGCAGCTTTCTATTGAGTGTTTACTGAGTCTGGAGTTAAGTGTCGTAGCCTTAGGTAGAGCGTTACTCACGGTAGTGAGTATTGTGTGCGGTGCATGTGATGCCTCAATTTGATTCTTCCAAAGCTTCAATCCATAAACACCCAAGAAATAGCTCGTTTGCCAAGTGTGAGATGGTTGTTTTGGATCAGGTTTGGGTTTGGGTAGAAATAGGAAATTGGCAGGAGCTGACTGCAGCTGCAGCATGCTGAACAGTAAGCTTGTTACCTGTGGAGCCTTCTGTCAACGGGTAGCTCATTTCCCCGAAAATTCTCTTCTAGTGTGATAGCTCACAGTGTCTTCCCAGCAACAAGCTGCAATTTTTCCGAGAGAGAGTCCGAAATGCATAGGCACCCCTGTACTGGGTATTCCATAGTATCTGAAAAAGCAAAGCTATCAAAGCTAGTGGGTTGTTCCACCTTATATATCGCCCACGTATACCACCCCCCATAGCCGTTAGTCAAGGCAGTAAACAACACAGTAGCTTGGTAGTTGCAGCAGTGTTCCAATAAATACAGCACCACTTAAAGCCCAGAGAGGAACTCCATTCATTACTCTTAAGCTTATTGCCTGGGGGGATAAATTGGGTCCATTTGTAGGGTACGGTTTCGCGCTGTCGAGGGCTGCCCCTCTCACTGCGCTCGTCGACCCTTCAGTTCTTTGTGCATGCCGAGAATAGCCTGCCACTTTTTGTGTTAGCAATCGCTCGTAGATCCCGTTGAAATAAGTCACCTCTCTGCAGATATTTTTTGCGTCCGTTGCCTTTCTGAAAGGGTCTTCGTTGGCAAGCCAATACCAACTACGAGTGTGCTGTTACGTTTTTTTGAGTGCCTGGAGAATACGGTCGCTTTGTGGTTACCGAAAGGTACTGAGTTGTTAGAGCTCCGGGGCACCTCGGCATCGTCAGATTATATGACTCTTGATTGGTTTTCAGCAGCAGTGGGGAGCAAGTCACCTTTTCTACTGTAGGCAATCTGTCATGAAGGGCTTTGCCATTACTATTTAGCCCCCTAGGTTGTTCATCCCTGGCTCATACTCTTCCAAGTTCTTGTAGCTACCTAGTCAGCTACCTGATACAAAGCAGGTAGCGAGTAAACGGTCCAACAGTGACAGATGTACGAATTCGCAATCCATTCCGTGATTGGTTTAAACAAATAATGTTGCGTTGAATTGTCAAGCCACAAATTCCTTAAACACACCAAATTTTAATTTCGTGCAGCACAGCTTCAGGCTCTTCTCTTTGCAAGGCGTCAGAGCTGAGATATATCACTAACGTAGATAGATGCTAAGGAGAGCAAAACGGCTCAAACTGACGAATGCAGCGTAGTTATCATCAACAGGATATATGGCCATTCACCGAAGCGTCAAACCCAATTTCGGTCTTCCAGCACGTGTATCGTTAGCACACAGTTACAGATGCATGAATAGGTTCTTAGCTAAGGCTCTCCACTGCTAAAGTACACCTGGCCTCATGCGTTCTTGCCTATTTCAAAAGTGGGTCACACTTGGTAACTCTAATCACCCATTCAGGTTTTCCAGTACTTGAACTGCTTGCAGAGCAACGAACAAAATGAAGCGTCTACTATACGAGTTCGCAAATATGTTCAAACTTACAAATATACCTGTAAGGTCACACAGGAGAGGTGTGGCTGGCAGGCTCCAAAAACGTATTACAGGAACTCGCTGTGTTTAAAACACAATCTATGCTACTACCTCCAACTAAATGGACCCATCGCAACCCAGGTGGCGTCTGATTTAAGAGAGGGAGCGAAAGCGAAAGAACCTAGAATACCGAAACAAAGAAAGCTCTGCGATTGAGTTTCAGACAGAATCATAAAGTTCGGGGTCGGTAAAGTATGATTGAGGGACAAGCCACGACCAGTATTTGCATTAAAACTGCAAAAACTGGTAGCCGGTCACATCGAAAGGTGAACTTTGGACAACTGTAATGAAAAGACATCTGCGGAGAGGGCCATCCGGCAGTTTTATAGCACCCCTGCTAAGCCGCTTCCATTAGTGCATGCGTCCGTAGTGCTTTCATATATGCCAAGTTCTGTAGAGTACCACATAAGATGGAGCACAAAGCGTGCCTTTTAGGATCACAGGAGCAGGAAGACGCCTAGACGCTTGGCTTAAGGCAAGCAACAAGGCCTAATATTCACTAAGGCAAACAATCTCGCAAGGCGGCTTTAGTGCAATCATGAAGGGGACAGTGACGAAGCTGTAGCATCGGAACGCTACTTCATAATCGACAATAGCCCAGGAAAATGGTGGAAAACTCGGTGAATCATGCTAGGGTCACTGGGGGGGGCAGGCATCAACTTTTCTCTGAATCACACAGATGCTCTTCGAACGCCAAAAACCAGCAGGACATCTAAGCGTGCAACGGTTTGTAATAGAAACGACTGAGGAATCTAGTGCAAGAGCGGCCAGTGAAATACGATGGCCAGAAATTGCCCGATAACAAGGCATTCTCAATGTCTGGAACATTGAAATGCAGCGACGAATTCCCTATCAAAAAAGCTGCACAACGCAAGCA